AAACCAGAGATATTTTTATTAGGGATTTTACCAGAAATATACAATAAAGAAATAAGATATTTAATTGTGAATGTTTTAACAGCGGCTAGAATTGTTTTTGCTAAAAATTGGAAAGGCGAGAAGATACCTGAAGATGAAATTATCAAGAAAATTATGGATTGTGCTGAAATGAGTAAATTGACATTTGAAATTAGGGAACAGGAAGATAAACAATATTACTTAATTTGGGATTTGTTTTACCAATGGCTAGATAACAAAACATGGAGATAAAAAACTGAAGTAGAAATATGTAAAGGTAATAATATATAAAGTGATTTTCCTTGTGTTTTGTTTTATTTATTTATTTATTTTTATTTGATTTATATGCCGCCCTTCTCCGGAGACTCAGGGTGGCTTACAATGCGTTAAGCAATAGCCTTCATCCTTTTGTATATTTATACAAAGTCAGCTTATTGCCCCCACAAACCGAGTCCTCATTTTACCTACCTTAGAAAGGATGGAAGGCTGAGTCAACCTTGAGCCTGGTGAGATTTGAACTTGCAGTAATTGCAGGCAGCTGGTGTTAATAACAGTGCTTTAGTCTGCTTTAGTCTGCTGCACTACCAGGGCTCCTTTCTTTCTGTTCAATAGTGGTTAAGTGAATATAAATACAAAATTGTTAAACGAGAGAAACTAATTAATTTGAAAATTGGGATGAGAGACTGAGCACAAAAGAATTCTAACCGATCGACATACTGTTTGTGATTGTATTTGAATGATGGAGATTTTATATTTTGTTTTTGTTTTTTTATGTTTGATATAAATAAAAAAACTTTTTTTAAAAAAAGAGAGAGCATCAATTGCGCTTCCTCCTCCCATTTCCACTGTCACCACAAAAGTTGTTGAGGGGCTAATAAAGACAAAACAGCCGAATGAATATATATTTGCCAATTCACCCTGCAAAGAAAACAGAAGCTCCTTCGCCATTGCTACTAATGTGTAAGACCAAGCCAAGATTAAGTATTATTTTGTGGTTTTCGGGCAGAAGAGGAAGCGGTCTTCAAAAGTATTTGGTGTGTCTTCAGTATGATTGAGATTAAAATGACAGCACTGTAGGACAACAGGAGAGTCGGGGAAAGCCTCCCTTCCTGCACTTTTAGGGATCCGTCCAGTAGTTCTTGCAACGCCTCGGTGATGGAGAAATGAAACATAAGATAATATTGCTAACTATAGTGATTGATATAGGGTGGGTGGGTAGGGGTGGACTATGTTTCCACTGCACCACTTTGAGGTTCTTTTTAAAAACTGTTGCTTTTGTCTAGATATTTCAGTGTCTTTGTTTTCCACTATTTTGCTTTTACAGTGGTGGTAGTTTTGCTTTCCCCTCCAAAAGGGGTGGGGGGAAACCCCTTGGAATCAGGAGTCTCCAACCTTAGCAACTTTAAGACTTGCAGACTTCAACTCCCAGAATTCCTCAGCCAGCTTTGCTTCAACTTCAACTCCCAGGAATTCTGGGAGTTGAAGTCTACAAGTCTTAAAGTTGCCAAGGTTGGAGACCCTAAATAGATGAGAGGGAGAGAGAGATTGAGACAGGGGAGCTATTCAGCAGGTTCTGGAGAACTGGTAGCGGAAATTTTGAGTAGTTCGGAGAACCAGTAGCAGAAATTTTGAGTAGTTCGGAGAACCAGTAGCAGAAATTTTGAGTAGTTCGAAGAACCAGTAGCGGAAATTTTGAGTAGTTCAGAGAACCGGTAGCGGAAATTTTGAGTAGCTCGGAGAACCGGTAGCGGAAATTTTGAGTAGTTCGGAGAACCGGTAGCGGAAAGTTTGAGTAGTTTGGAGAACCGGTAGCAGAAATTTTGAGTAGTTCAGAGAACCAGTAGTGGAAATTTTGAGTAGTTCGGAGAACCGGCAAATACCACCTCTGGCTGGCCCCAGAGTGGGAAGGGAATGGAGATCTTGCAGTATCCTTACCCTGCCACGCCCACCAAGCCAAGCCAAGCCACGCCCACAGAACCGGTAGTAAAAAAAATTCAATTCGACCACTGGTGGGGGTGGGGAGGGAGAGTATGATTCCTCTGCACCACTTTGGAGTTCTTTTAAAAAAAACATTGCTTTTGTCTAAGAAAGTATTTAAGGATCTTTGTTTTCCACTATTTTGCTTTTACGGTGGTGGTAGTCTTGCTTTCCCCTCAAAAAGAGAAAAAAAAAACTTGGCCTCTCTAAATAGATGAGAGGGAGAAGGAGAGAGAGATTGAGATTTAGAGTTGCTCTAAATTCCCTGAAATCTAATAACATTTGGACATTCTGACTGAATCAGAGAAAACCCTTCCCAGATCAGCTACATACAGGGGTAGGCTGCTGGGGGTTCGCAGGGGTTCGGCAGAACCTCTAGCTAAGATTTTGTGCAGTTCGGAGAACGCCAAAATCCCACTCCTGGCAGGCCCTGCCCACCCCCCCCTGCCCCTCCCAGGAATTCCCACGCGGCCTATTTTGGATGCAGGGAAGTGCAGGGAAGGCTCAGAGAGGGCGAAAAATAGGCCTACCGGAAGTTTGGAAAAGCTGGAAGCGGAGCCTGGGGAGGCCGTTTTTGCCCTCCCGGAGGCTCGAGGAAAACCTCCGGAGCCCAGGGAGGGAAAAAAACGCCCCCACCCCCACGCCGTGGTGCAGGAGGCCGACTAGGCCACGCCCACCATGGCCATGCCCACCCAGCAACCAGGCAGAGAACTCGTTGTTAAAATTTTTGAAGCCCACCTCTGGTTACATACAGCAGTGGCCAAAATTGTGGAAACCTTTTGGGAAAAGTGTATTTTTGAGGTTTGATGGCTAATAACACCACTTTTTTGGGGGGAGTTTCGAGAGAATCCTATTCCACTCCTGGGATGGCCTGGGAAGAGCCCAGACCTTCTTAACCCGATTGAAAATCTATGGAGCCGATTAAAGAAACTGGTTAGTCAGAACTTGCGACCCAGCAATAAAACCCAGTTAATAGAAGCCATCATTCCATCTTGGTTTCACATGATAACAGCTGCAGAACTAAAAGGCTTGGTTCCCTCCATGGGAAGACGTTGTAAGTACGTCATTCATGATGAAGGTTACCCAACGAAGTATTAAATGACATGGTGATCATTTTTGTATATCTTGTTTTTTCTATGGTGATAATTTTTGTATATCTCGTTTTTTCTACGTGTTTCCCTTTTCTTCTTAACACTGTAACTGCTATTTTAACAGCAAATCCTTCATAAAAGTTATTGCATAACATTCTTGATTAGATTATCTTTCCCCTGATGTATAATTTTATGGCACTACTCCCCCCCCCCAAAAAAAGGGTTATTAGCTAGTTTTAGAAAATACACTTTTCCCCCAAAAGGTTTACACAATTTTGGCCACTACTGTACATAACCTTGTGCCATGACATGTAAGGAAAAGAAAAGAAGTCAATCTTATCTTTACGAAAGCAATACAATTTTACTACTCTTACGTTCGTGGAAATTCTGGGTCAATCTGACACTTTAGTCTGGAACAAACAAGTCACTCTCTTTGAAGTGTGCCGTCACCTTTGCCCTTGATGCTTATCTCTAGGAATTATTCTGCAAGATAATGTAAAAATCGAAGTGCATTCAAGGCCGCTCGCATTGCTGGACAGAGAACGGAAAAGAATTTCTGCCGATCCAGAGATATTCCGCAGAGCCCGTCATTTGAAACGACGCCCTTATGGATTTTAGGCAAAACCAAAGTCGTCATTAGACCTTCTTGGCTTCTTGGTCAAGGAATATCTTCCTTTTATTCATAAGGGGGATTGCGATTTCTCATTCTTCTTCTAAGTTGAGTTGTAGACTCGCAAGATGGCCTTGCAAACGAGGAAACGTTTTTTTAAACACATGGCATAATATTTGTCTTGATCTGCTTTCCGGAGCTCATGTAGCAAGATGGTGGACCAGGTTGAACCATGATCAGATAAAGGTTCCCATTGCACATACGTGCTAATCGTTCCTGACTCAAGAATTCTACACAACGGGATAGGAATTCACGTTTCAGTATTACCATCTTTACGAGAGCGGAGTCTTTCCATAGATGAGATTCTTATGAAATTTCCCACCCATCCTCCCTCCCAACTCTGCGGACGCTATAAAATACTGAGCTGCGGTAATTTGGCAGCTTGCTGAAATGTATCGTCTTTGATCAGAGGTGGGTTTCACGTTTTGTTACCACCCGTTCGCCGCACCCCTGCATGCCCGCTCACTTCGCGCGCCTTCCGCGCCTGCACCCAGCCTTCCGCGCATGTTCTTTGCTCCTTCCACGCGTGCGCCCGGCCTCAAATAAATAGGGTTTATTTCCGCTACCGCTTCGCTCGAACCGGTCTGAACCGGCTGAATATCACCTCCGGTCTTGATAATGATGATGTTAAGTACAAAGCTATTTCAATTTCGATGTTGTTATGGCCCAATTGTACTTTTTAACATGGGAATTTATGATATTCTGATTGTAATTCTGTATCGAGAACCCTTGGACATTAATTAATCTTGCCCTAAGGGCAAGAGAGTGCCTTTAAAAACCCAGTTCATATATTATTATTATTATTATTGCTTGTTTGCAGTTTCCAGGAGGAATTGTATTGATTTGAGTGATATTAGTTGTGTTCTTGAGGTTAGAAATCAAGCATTCATCATTATTCAACACACACTTGAAATAGTTTTCCAACCTAAATTTGACTCACTGGATTTTTATAGTTGAATGGCACCTTATGCTTCCATGCCTTAATTGGAAATATATATATATATAAACCCTCTCTCTTTCATAATTCTTGACACAATGCTGGAAATTACCAGAAACTAAATGATGAAGCTTCTCCGAAGTTATCTAAAACGACATTCTTTGAGATTACTTGATTTAGCAGCAGGCAAACACTAAAGTTGTAAAAGAACATTTGTTTTGGATTAAAGCACCCGAGAAATTATTCGACGATGGAAGTGTCGGTGAGACAGGGACGGTGAAACGAAAAGCGCAACCGAAAAGCACAATTTACAAAATAAAAGCTCCGTTTTATTTTCCTTTACACTGCGTTTTGAAGACGATGGTGGCCACGGTTAGGAGGTTACTTCCCCGGCCGTCCTCCCGTGTGACGCCGGCAAAACTTGCAAAACGACACATCAATGCGTCCTGTAATGACAAAAGGGTGAGATCTAAAGGAGGTTAACTTCTTTAGAAAAACAAGAGGGACAATGGAGTTTGGAAAACCGCGGGAATATCAAAAGCAGAACCATGTTGGCAGGAGTATCTGAAGTAGCGGAATGGACTAAATGACCTATAATAGTGTTGGTGAACCTTTTTGGCACCAAGTGCCGAAACGGGAGAGCGCATGCACGCATATGCCAAAAATCAGAAAAGCAGCTATCCGGTGCACATGTACGTACCGGGAAGATGATATTCTGGTTTCTGGCACACGCATGTGCACCGGCTACCTGGTCTTCCAGTTTTCGGCGTGCATGTGTGCGTGAAGACCAGCTGGCCGGTGCACATGCTGGAAATCGGAAGATTCTCTTCCCGGCGTGCGCATGTGCTCCGGGCAACTATTCTTCCAGTTTCCAATGCTCCCGTGCATGTGAAGACCAGCTGGCTGGCGTGCTGAAACTCGGAAGAGCAACGGGTGATGGCTCACGTGCCTGGAGAGATGGCTCTGTGTGCCACTTCCACCACATGTGTCATAGGTTCACCATCACAGACCTATAAAGTTCCTTCCAACTCTGTTATTCTGTCTGTCTGAAGACTCGTTTGTTTCCATTTGTATTATTCAGACAACGGAGCCATAACCCAAGGAACAGAGGTTGGTAGAATGTGAATTTGAAAAACCATACAGTTTTTCCCGTATCTTCCATCTTCCAACAGCAGGACCACATTCCCCAGTTCTTGGCTCTAATGTCTAAAACCTTGAAATGAACATTTCTTTCCATCTTAGAAGTTCTTGGTGGCACCTCACCTCCCAGCTCAGCTGAGCCAAGGCCTATTCTCCTTCAGCCGTGTTTGTTGACTGGTTGAGTTCTTCTTGGGATAGGCCGAGAGCCTGAGGGGCTTCCTCCTCTTCCTCTTCCTCAGCTTCTCCGTCGTCTTCATCCATTTCAAACACGCGGATGTGCCGTAGGTTCGAACTTAGCTAGGAAGACATGAAGGACGGTTGAATTTCAAAGCCAACTACCTCAGAACTGAACTTTCAGTACTTAAGGACAGAGATATTTCGTCACCAGCTTGGGTGCCGTCATCCTAAAACTAAAAGCAATTTTGGGTTTTTTTTTCTCCCCCAAGGAAGATAACAAGATAAACTGAGGTGAATGAGAGATGGCGTTACAAGAATTTGTCCACTGGATTATTCTATCATTCAAAACCAGTCGAGATTTTTTTTTTATTCTCTTTTTTAAAACTCCTTTCTGGGAACAGGCTAATTCCAAGTCTCTTCGTGGATAACGGAAAAGCTTAAAGAGTGGTTATTTAGAAACCAGTCTCCTGAATTGTTATCGGTCTAAAAGCTCATGACTTACTGGTGTCTCCCCAAATAACTTTTTCAACCTCAGTTGTTGTTCAGAAACCTTCCAATTTTTACGATGGTTTTTATTTCTGGCGTAGGGGTAGAAATAGAAACCAGCACGAAACAAACAAAAACGAGTAAGCATCCCAAAATCAGAAGCAGAGAAAAGGAGTGAAATATCATATAAAGGAAATAAGATAAACAAATTGGTGGTGGCATAAAAATAAGACGGACATACCAATGGTGAAATCTGAACCGGTTTACGGGCGAATAGGTTGTAAAAAAAAAAAATGCTTTTAAAAGGTTAAAAAAAAGGCTCTGACGATCACACAGCTCAGCTGTGATCGTCAAGAGCCTTTTTTTTTTACTTTTAAAAGCAAAAAAGCAAAATCTTCTGCACATGTGCAGAGGGTACAAAACACATTACTTCCTGGTTAAAATCAGGAAGTAATGACAATCAGGAGGGTGGGCGGAGCTATCGTGCCACGATAGCTACCGGTTCTCCGAACCACCCGCCACGATCGCTACCGGATCGGGCGATCCGGTCCGAACCGCGAGCATTTCACCCCTGGGACATAGCCTTCCTCCATGGAATACAGACAGTTCTCGAGTTAGAACCTTTCGTTGAATGACTGTTTGAAGTTACAACGGCACTGAAAAAAGTGACTTACGGACGTTTTTCACCCTTGTGACCGTTGCAGCATCCACCGTGATCACGTGATCAAAATTCAAAAGCTTTGCAACTGGCATGTACTCGTGACAGTTGCAGCGTCCCGGGGTCCCCTTTGGCGACCTCGTGACAAGCAAAGTCGACGGGGAAGATAGATTCACTTAACAACCGGGTTGCTAACTTACTAACCACAGCGATTCCCTTAACAATTGTGCCGAGAAAGGTTGTAAAATGGGGCAAAACTCACTTAACAACCGTCTCGGTTAGCAATGGAAATTTTGAGTTCAACCGCAGTCATTAATAGTCATGGATTCTTCCTCCTCGGTGACCCCTAAAAATGTTAATTCTCCTGAGGTTGATGGAGAAAAATTTAACCTCTTCCTGATGAGTCTAAGACAGTGATGGCTAACCTTTTTGCCATCGCATGCCAGGAAGGGAAGGGGCAGGGGGGTCACGTATGTGCGTGGCCACACCCATAATTCTATGGTCCCCGCCCGCGCGCATGTGCACGCCAACCCCCCCCCCCCCCGCTCACCCCACTCCTGGCACGCAATGGCCTGGTAGGCCAGTTTTTCTTTCTCACCTGGCTCCAGGACCTCTCTAGGAGTCTGGGGAGGGCGAAAACAACCTTCCCCACCACCCCCCGGAGGTCCTCAAGAGGCTGAAAACGGCCCGTTTGACAATTTCCAGTCCCACCGGAAGCTGAGCTCACGTGCCCACTGATATGGCTACGCGTGCCACCTAGGCCATCACGGGCCTAGGCTAACTCCGTGTGGCCAACTCACTGCGGGACAAGGGTTAGATTAATATCGAAGAAACGGTGGAATAGAATCATTAAAGAAAGGATGCCGAAAGGAGGGGCGAAATGAAATGTGAATGACAAAATAAAATAAAATAATATAAATAAAATAATAGATAAAATAATATAAAATATAAAATAAAAATAAATAAAATAAAAATAAATAAATAAAATAAAAATAAATAAATAAAATAAAAATAAATAAATAAATAAACAAACAAACAAACAAATAAATAAATAAATAAAATAATTTTATTTCTATACCGCCCTTCTCCCGAAGGACTCAGGGCGGTGTACAGCCTATTAAAAACACAAAGACAAACACCAGTTAAAAATAATTAAAATTATTACATAATTTCGGCTCAGATTTAAAACCCCAGAAATTTAAAACACCCAATTTAAAAATCATTACATTGATAGCCTGGTTTGGCGGAACAGCAGGGTCTTGAGGGCACAGCGAAATACACGGAGGTCGGAGATCTTATGCATTTCCGGGGGCAGTTCATTCCACAGGGCAGGGGCTCCCACAGAGAAGGCCCTCCCCCTGGGTGTCGCCAGCCGAAATAAAATAAAATAAAAAATAAAATAAAATAAAATAAAATATTGTCTTAATTACTTTAAATACGTAAATTGAATTGTTGAATTGGCCCGCAGCGAGTTGATCACGGAGGGTTGTCCCACCGCGAATTGGCCGTGACGAGTTGGCCCCACTGAGTTATCCCATTCTGCTCCCTGACGGCCCAACCGTCAAGGAGACAACCCATTTGTATCCTTGAAGAAACGACGACACTCACAACGCAAGACACTTTCCGGATTCCGTTCACTGTGACGTAGTTAGCCTTCATATTCTCCAGCACCCTCCACTGAGTCTCTGGGGTGACGGTACAGGTAGGAATGCTTTCCCGCTGCATGTCTAACCTAACAGCCAGGAGAAAACCAAGTTAGAGGAACGCCTGCAGTTCACCCCTAGTAGCCCTCGACTTGCAACGGTTCGTTTACTGACCGTTCAAAGTTATGTCGCTGAAAAAAGTGACTTATGACCGTTTTTCACACTTACAACCATTGCAGCCTCCCGGTGATCACGTGATCAAAATTTTAGAAGCATGGCAACTGGCATGTACTTATGCCAGTTGCAGCATCCCGGTGTCACATGATCCCGTTTTGTGACCTTCTGACACTCCAAGTCAACGGGGAAGCCAGATTTACTTAACACAACGGGTGACTCAATGTCTGTGGAGATTCTCAGTCATCCAAGTCAGGGTTGTTTTTTTCGGGAGGCAACTGGACTTTCTGGTTTTTCTTTTGAAGACGTTTCGCTTCTCATCCAAGAAGCTTCTTCAGCTCTGACCGGATGGTGGGGAACGGAAGGATTGATACTCCTTGCAGACAGCTGGTCATTTGCATCCTTTTAGAGAGCAGTTGAGGCCACTCGGAGGTTTATAAAAGATTGAAAGAATATACCGTATTTTTCGGAGTATAAGACGCACTGGAGTATAAGATGCAGCATAATTTTTGGGGAGGAAAATGGGGGGGGGAAGTCTGCCTACCAGGTATATTCACCTGGCTAGCGTCCTTAGTCTGGTCAGCTTCAGCACATTAGTTTGCTAGTTATTTATCCCCTGCTTGGGGATAAAAAAACCAGCTTCTAAAGCACAACGGATCTTTGGAGAGAGAAGCAATGAGAAAAGCAGGCAAATCACGGAAATCACTTCACTTGCTAGCGCCTCCTTAGGGCTGAAAAAAAGCTTCACAGCTGAGAGTCAGAGGGAGCAGGCAAAGCACGGAAGATCACTTCACTGAAAAAAAGTTTCTAAAGCCCAGCTGAGAGTCGGAAGGAGCAGGCAAAGCAGGAGACAGCGACTCGTTAGGGCTGAAAAAAAAGCTTCGAAAAAGCTACATTTGGAGTATAAGACGCACCCGAATTTTCAGCCTCTTTTAGGAGGGGAAAAAGTACGTCTTATACTCCGAAAAATACGGTAAATCCTTCCGTTCCCCACCATCCAGTCAGAGCGGAAGAAGCTTCTCGGATGAGAAGCGAAACGTCTTCAAAGAAAAACCGAGGAAGTCCAGTTGCCTCTTGATTTGGGGAAAGTGGCAGATTGTTCCACAGGAGAGAATAAGAAGATTGGAGTCAGAAGACTGCCTGAGAATATCTCCTGTTTCTCTGCACCTCACATTAAGGGGAGGTTTTCAGGAGATGTTCTCTATTTATTTTATTGGAGATTATTTTATTCATCCTGCAGTGAATTCTATTTCGCTCCTGTGAAGAACCTGACTCTTGGAGGAGAGAGTTCCTGTTCTGGATAACCTTCCAGATCCCGGTTAAGATGTAGATTTTTTCCAAAAAGGCTCCGAAGCAGTGTTCCTCCATCTTGGCAGCTTGAAGATGGGTGGACTTCAACTCCCAGAATTCCCCAGCTGGGGAATTCTGGGAGTTGAAGTCCACCCATCTTCAAGCTGCCAACGTTGAGAAACAGAGGCCTAGAGACTTATTTTGGTCAGACACTGCTAAGCATTTTATCCCCAATCCCAATTCTTTGTTTTCGTTGTGGATTCTTCCTTTCATTACCTCACTCACATTATACCGTGTTTCCCCGAAAATAAGACCTGGTCTTATTTTCTTTTGGGCTTCAAAATAAGCACCAGGTCTTATTTTGGGGGGGATGTCTTACCCGCTTACTTTAGGACCACCGCAGTCACACCTCCCATGCCCCGACACCTGTTGAGCTGCTGGATGACTTCCGTGGCCACTCGCGCCAGACGCTGCATGGCTCATCCATGCGGGTGCTGCCGCTTGCAGCAGGCTGCGTGGTGCGTTGTGCCATTGCGTGTGAGTTGTGGCACTGACGGTGTCCTGCCACGAGCAGCCGCAGAAGAAGTCAAGTAGATGTGCGAAAGGTGTCGGAGTGTGGGAACCCAGTTGTGACAGTCCTAAAGTAAATGGGTGCGGGGTGAATGGGACAGCTCCCCCCCCCCTAACTTGATTTTTACGCATGTGCCTCACCCCAGCTCGTACAACCAGACAGTGGGCAGGACTTAACTAACGCTTATTTTTGGGGTAGGGTTTATATTAGGTGTAGGCATGAAAATCGAGCTAGGGCTTGTTTTTGGGGTAGGTCGTACTTTTGGAGAAACACGGTACTTAAATGTATTTTTTTAATCCCTTGCAGGTAGAAGAGGGATAGAGACCCTTCAAATAAATAAACGGGCGGTTCAATCTGAAAAGATGAAATTGCATCAACATTTGGGCTCTCACCTTTGACCAGAATTCCAGTTAAACCCCGTGTCCTGGTTCCCCTCCGTACAGATGGATGACAAAGGTAACTGAGCCAAAATCCGTTCCTTCCCCTCTTGTTCTGAATTTTCCACCAGGATGACTGTTATCGTTTCGTCATCGTAAAAATGAGCATCCAGACAGCTGTAGGAGCTGGAGACCAAGAAATAAAATCAAGTTTCACCCACAGAAATACAGATGGGGAGATTATCGCAAGGTTTCATAGTAAAGGCTAGTGATGGGATTCAGCTGGTTCGGGCTGATTTGGCTGAATCGGTAGTTAAATTGCTTTTTAAAAAAAATCTTTTTGCCAGATTTTTAAGTTCTTCCATGTCATCTGCACCTTTATTATAACTGTCTGGTTTGGCTCTGCAACCCAAGACGGACACAGATTTCGGAGGATAATTAGAACTGCAGAAAAAACCACGGCTACCAACCTGCCTTCCATGGAGGACCTGGATACTGCACGAGTCAAAAAGAGGGCTGGGAAAATATCTACAGACCCCTCGCATCCTGGACATAAACTGTTTCAACTCCCACCCTCAAAACGACGCTATAGAGCACTGCACACCAGAACAACTAGATACAAGGACAGTTTTTCCCCAAAACGCCATCACTCTGCTTAACAACTAATTCCCTCAAAACTCTCAAACTATTCACTAAGTCTGCACTACTATTAATCTTCTCATCGTTCCCACTTCCCATCTCCTTCCACTTATGACTGTAACTTTGTTGCTTGGATCCTTACGATTTATATTTATATTGTTTCCTGATTGCTTATTTGTACCCTATGACAATCATTAAGTGTTATACCTTATGATTCTTGACGAGTGTATTTTTTCTTTTATGTACCCTGAGAGCCTATGCACCAAAGACAAATTCCTTGTGTGTCCAATCACACTTGAACAATAAAGAATTCTCTTCTCTTCTCTTCTCTTCTCTTCTCTTCTCTTCTCTTCCGTTCCCTTCCTTTCTCTTCTCTCTCCTCTCCTCTCCTCTCTATTCTATTGCATTCTATTTCATTCCATTCCACTGTATTCTATTCTATTCTATTCTATTCTACTCTACTCTACTCTACTCTACCCTACCCTACCCTACCCTACCCTACCCTACCCTACCCTATTCTACTTCTACTCTACTCTACACTCCACTCCACTCCACTCCACTCCACTCCACTCCACTCCACTCCACTCCACTCTACTCTACTCTACTCTACTCTACTCCAGTCCAGTCCAGTCCATATATTCTATTCTATTCTATTCTATTCTATTCTATTCTATTCTATTCTATTCTATTCTATTCTATTCTATTCTATTCTATTCTATTCTTAGAGCTGTGTTAGCCTTTTTTTGAACTGCTGCAACGTAACCAACACGCCACAACTGAACATTTTTATAATTCTACGAATCATCGCATTCCTTCGTCGGGTTGTGGAAGGTTTTCACAGACTAACCTTGTTTCATTACTTTCGTTAAGGCTTCTGTTCAGAAAATTTCCAAACTCCACAGCGAGCAGTCCGTTATTCGTGGACCTACAAATATCAAAAAAACATAAAACGGTTTATTAGGAGGTGTCTGAAGATGTTTTTGGCAGAATTGTGTTGGGGGGGGAAAAAGAAAAAAGAAAACGAGACACGCTCAGTTTGCTACGCTACCTTGAAATGTCCGTATGCCTCCGCAGAATGTAGAGTTTGGACACCGAGTTCTCTAACATGGTGAATAGAACATAATGCAAATTGTACGATTTGTCGTGCCACCTGCAAAAGCAATTTTGATCCTTTGTTAGCAACTAAGCATCTGTTCTGACCCAGCTCCCCAAACACGACAAACCCTCTGAAATGAACTCAAAGATTCCCTTATTAGGAGTGTCGGCAGCCCAGGAAAAAAGTTTCTCTCTCACTGTAGGCTAACAAGTCCGTCCGGCAGGGAGATGAATAGCTGTCTGCCATATCTATTCATCTCTGCCCCCTGCCTTTTATTCCCCAGAGCTAGGGTGGGGGCTTCGCTAGCAGCAGTGGCTCTTCCGTCCTGAGGACCGGCCCATAGATTTCCACTGCTCTCCTCTCCTCTGCTTTCTGTGCATCTATGCGTCAGGCACTGGACCCAGCTGTTCCTCCTCTTCCTCATCAGCCACCTCCAGACCTGGGGGCTGTTGACTCTCCATCTGAGGGCTGACGGACGGCCCAGACTCCTCCTCTGTCTCTGTCTCTTTCTCTTCTGCCAGCTCCATTCCCTCCTCCCCCTCGGAGCTCTCAGGTTGCCTTGATGCTGACCCTGACTCCCACGCCTCCTCCTCCTCCTCCTCTGATTCGGCTGCTGGAAGAGCCGGCTGCCAACAAGCCACAACAGCATCATTGATTTAGACTTAGAACTTAGACTCAGAATAACTTTGTTTTCACTTTTAATGTACACTAATCGTCCATAAATTAAAATGAAATTTGTGTACAGCTTTCAAAGGGTCTCCGCTTTCAATATACACTACGTAAACATGACAAAATAATAAATAAATACTTATTTCCCATGGGCGAATAGGCGGCAATATAAATCAAATAAATCAAATAAATAAATCAAATAAATAAATAAATAAATAAATAAATACATACATACATACATACATACATACATACATACATAAATACATACAGAATTATGGATATACCCACATGTATTATGAGACACAGAGAAACCACACGGTCTAGTATACGATATATGAACCGACTGTAATAAAGCAAGCATGTACTTACAAAAAGGGCAACTTAAGCAGCTGAGACGTCGAATCCTCACTAAGATAGGAAAGAAAGAAATTAGAAGAGAATCTGGGAGTTTGAATAGGCATACGGTATGTACTAAAGTAAAGTAAAAGGGACGCGGTGGCTCAGTGGCTAAGACTCTGAGCTTGTCGATCGAAAGGTCGGCAGTTCAGCGGTTCGAATCCCTAGCGCCGCGTAACGGGGTGAGCTCCCGTGACTTGTCACAGCTTCTGCCAACCTAGCAGTTCGAAAGCACATTAAAAAAATGCAAGTAGAAAAATAGGGACCACCTTTGGTGGGAAAGGAACAGCGTTCCGTGGGCCTTTGGCGTTGAGTCATGCCGGCCACGTGACCACGGAGACGTCTTCGGACAGCGCTGGCTCTTCAGCTTTGAAACTGAGATGAGCACTGCCCCCTAGAGTCGGGAACGACTAGCACGTATGTGCAAGGGGAACCTTTACTTTTATGTACTAAAGTAAATATTGTATGGGTTTTTATATAGTCAGAACAAGACAAGGAATTCTGGGAGTTGAAGTCCAGAAGTCATCAAAGGGCCACCCTTGTTGGCTTAGGAATTGGCTCAGTGTGAAACATGGTCACAAGTGACTTTTTTCCATGCTGTTGCAACTTCCAACAGTCACTAAACAAATGGTTAGTGGTTAATGGTTGGAAGTCAAGAACTATCTGTAAACTGCAGTTAGGAGAATTAAACAATATAAAATAAAATAAAATCCCCTACCTTTTGGAGGCCCTATACAAAGGCATACAAAACGCCTGGTGGACAGTTTTCCCAATCACATCCTGGAGAAGAGAACAATTTTTTTAAAAAAATCTACAAGTATGTAATACAAAGAATTATCTGCAGCAGCACCAACAGTAACTCTGGCACCGCAATAGGAATATGAGCTATGGGATATGAGATATGGGTGTGGATTAGAGAAATAATAAAAGAAAATTTTGATTTTGACCCAAAAGCTTTTCTCCTGGGAATTTTGAAAACTGAATATGCAAAAAAGAAAAAGTATTTAATTATACATATTCTGACAGCCGCTAGAATTTCCTTTGCCCAGTATTGGAAAGAAAAACAAATACCACCTCAAGAACATGTTATTGGAAAAATATTGGAGTGCGCCGAAATGAACAAATTGACTTCAGAAATTAATGACAGAGAAGATTCAGAATTTTATAGCGTGTGGGACATGTGGTACGAATGGATGGGGGAAAGAAATAAAGAAGGTAATAGAGATTAAATATTAACTAATTAACAAAATCTATATGAATAGTATTAGATTTAGTCTTAGAGAGTTGAGCACTATTATCTTTAAGTGTTTTGAAATTAAATCTAGCTTCAAGAAACAATATCAACAAAAGACAAGCAATAATGCATGTAGATGTATATATGTATATAATTGCACCAATGAACCGAAAATGTACCGATTGTATCACTATATGTTATAATAAAAATCAAATTAAAAAAAAAAAAAAGGAATATGAGCTCTCTTTGGGGATAAATGATCCAAATCAGGATATTTCTTAGAGATATATGTCTAGGCCTGTGCTTAAAAGTAACCCAATAGATTGCAGGTGACCCACAGTTTTAAGCCCAATTCTGCTGCTCTATTTTAAATTTCACAACTTCTTTTATGAATTCTGCTTTCCTTCTGTGCTTGTTCGTTATCCATTTAGTGTATGGCATCTACGGAGGTCAGGCAAACACTGATATTCAACACTAATAAAAACCATGAGTTTAAGTAAAGCATCCAGATAGATGGTAGGTAGGTAGGTAGGTAAGTAGGTAGGTGGTAGATGATAGATAGATGGATGGATGGACAGACAGAAAAATAGGATAATAGATGGACGGACAGACAGGATAATAGGGTAATAAGATGATAGATAGATAGATAGATAGATAGATAGATAGATAGATAGATAGACAGACAGACAGACAGATAGATGAGATGAGATGAGATGAGATGAGAGAGAGAGAGAGAGATAGGCAGGCAGGCAGACGGATGATAGAGAGAGACAGAGATGAGAGAGAGATGGATAGATAGATAAATAGACAGACAGACAGATGGATGGATGGATGATAGAGAGATGATAAATAGAGAGAGACAGGCAGAAGGCAGACAGACACAGAGAAGTAGATAGACAGAGATGAGAGATGAGAGAGAGGTAGATTAAGAGATAGATAGATAGATAGATAGATAGATAGATAGATAGATAGATAGATAGACGGACAGACAGGCAGACAGATGGATAATAGAAAGAGACAGAGACAGAGACAGAGACAGATGAGATAGATAGATAGATAGATAGATAGATAGATAGATAGATAGATAGACGGACAGACAGACATGATAGATTAGAGAGAGAGACAGACAGATACAGAGAGGTAGATAGATAAATAGACAGAGATGAGAGATGAGACGGAGAGAGAGAGAGAGGGGGAGAGAGAGAGAGAGAGAGAGAGAGCGCATAATAAAATAATCTATATTTAAACACAGCCGAGATCCATGCGATGGCTTGCCATATCCAAATCTGATGTACTTCTGGATACTCACAGCTGGTTTTTGGAGACACTGATCAATGATCCTTTCCATTCTCCTCTTTACAAAATGCAGTGATTTTTGAGGGTAGTATGGAAACAGCAACGGGCTTTCTAAGCGACATTAAAAAAAAAAAGTCAAATTAACAAGACCGGCAAGAAAAGGCTGCATTTTCTATTACTGGACACTTTATGGAAGATGACTGGTGTGTCAACATAAGCAAAAATCAGCTTTGTAACAATGCCGATGGTCCTTGACTTATGACCCTAGTGGACGGTGCTTAAGGCTCGACAGTCATAAAAATGACCTGATCTGTTTCGACTACCTTTCTGCGGCGGTCACAAAGCGAATACCACAGTCGTTAAGCAAAACCACTGTTTGCTATGGGCCAGTTCTTCTGAAAAACCTTAAAAGGCACTTCTTCAGCACGCTAGCCAAACTCTCTCCTTTCCCTCTCTCTGTCTCCGTGGCTCTCTTTCCCCCTCTTTCTCTCTCTGGCTCTCTCTTTCTCCCTCTCTCCCCTTCTCCCTCTTTCTCTCACTATGTGTCTCTGTCTCTCCTCTCTCTCTCTCTGGCTCTCTCCCCCTCTTTCTCTCTCTGTCTCTCCCTTTCTCTCCTCTCTCCCTGGCTCTCTCTCTCTCCCTCCATCTCCCTCTCTTCCCTTCTCCCTCTTTCTCTCACTATGTGTCTCTGTCTCTCCTCTCTCCCTGGCTCTCTCTTTCTCCCTCTTTCTCTCACTATGTGTCTCTGTCTCTCCTCTCTCTCTCTCTCTCCCCCTCTTTCTCTCTCTCTCTCTCCCTTTCTTTCCTCTCTCCCTGGCTCTCTCCCCCTCTTTCTCTCTCTGTCTCTCCCTTTCTCTCCTCTCTCCCTGGCTCTCTCCCCCTCTTTCTCTCTCTGTCTCTCCCTTTCTCTCCTCTCTCCCTGGCTCTCTCTCTCTCCCTCCATCTCCCTCTCTTCCCTTCTCCCTCTTTCTCTCACTATGTGTCTCTGTCTCTCCTCTCTCCCTGGCTCTCTCTTTCTCCCTCTTTCTCTCACTATGTGTCTCTGTCTCTCCTCTCTCTCTCTCTCTCCCCCTCTTTCTCTCTCTCTCTCTCCCTTTCTTTCCTCTCTCCCTGGCTCTCTCCCCCTCTTTCTCTCTCTGTCTCTCCCTTTCTCTCCTCTCTCCCTGGCTCTCTCCCCCTCTTTCTCTCTCTGTCTCTCCCTTTCTCTCCTCTCTCCCTGGCTCTCTCCCCCTCTTTCTCTCTCTGTCTCTCCCTTTCTCTCCTCTCTCCCTGGCTCTCTCTCTCTCCCTCCATCTCCCTCTCTTCCCTTCTCCCTCTTTCTCTCACTATGTGTCTCTGTCTCTCCTCTCTCCCTGGCTCTCTCTTTCTCCCTCTTTCTCTCACTATGTGTCTCTGTCTCTCCTCTCTCTCTCTCTCTCCCCCTCTTTCTCTCTCTCTCTCTCCCTTTCTTTCCTCTCTCCCTGGCTCTCTCTTTCTCCCTCTTTCTCTCACTATGTGTCTCTGTCTCTCCTCTCTCTCTCTCCCCCCCTTTCTCTCTCTGTCTCTCCCTTTCTCTCCTCTCTCCCTGGCTCTCTCTCTCTCCCTCCATCTCCCTCTCTTCCCTTCTCCCTCTTTCTCTCACTATGTGTTTCTGTCTCTCCTCTCTCTCCTCTCTCCCTGGCTCTCTCTTTCTCCCTCTTTCTCTCACTATGTGTCTCTGTCTCTTCTCTCTCTCTCTCTCTCCCCCTCTTTCTCTCTCTGTCTCTCCCTTTCTTTCCTCTCTCCCTGGCTCTCTCTTTCTCCCTCTTTCTCTCACTATGTGTCTCTGTCTCTCCTCTCTCTCTCCCCCCCCTCTTTCTCTCTCTGTCTCTCCCTTTCTTTCCTCTCTCCCTGGCTCTCTCTTTCTCCCTCTTTCTCTCACTATGTGTCTCTGTCTCTCCTCTCTCTCTGGCTCTCTCCCCCTCTTTCTCTCCTCTCTCTCTCTCTCTCTCTCTCTCTGGCTCTCTTTCCCCCTCTTTCTCTCCTCTCTCTCTCTCTCTCTTTCTCTCCCCTTCTCCCTCTTAACAGTTCCACTCATATCTTAGCCTAATGGTTGAGATTCTAGAAAGAGTGCAGGGAAGAGCAACGAAGAGGATTAGGGGACTGGAGGCCAAAACATAGGAAGAACGGTTGCTGGAATTGGGTACGTCTAGTTCATGGATCGGCAACCTTAAACACTCAAAGAGCCACAAAGGTCCTAACTGAAAGCCCCCGTTTCAATTCTGGAGCCGACCGGAAGTCCGGTTCCCCCATCATAGTCTCCTCCTAGCGTGGTGTCCTTTTTCCTCTGATGACCGGAAGTCCTATTCCCCCCCCAACCCTAACCCTAACCCCCACCACTATAGAGTCTCCTCCTAGCGCAGTGTCCAATTTTTATTTTTTTTTTACTTGTCATAACCGAAAGCTTTATCAATTGTGGAGCTGATCGACGACAGGGAGCCGCAACAGAGGGATGAAAGAGCCACATGTGGCTCCAGAGTTGCCGACTCCTCGTCTAGTTTAATGGAAAGAAGGACAAGGGGGGACCTGATAGCAGTCTTCCAATATCTAAGGAGCTTTCGCAGAAAAAGGGAGGTCAACTTGTTCTCCAGAGCATCCGAGGGCAAAACAAGAAACCATGAGTGGAAGCTAATCAAGGAGAGATCCAACTTTGAGCTAAGGAGTAATTTCCTGACAGATAGAACAACTAATCAGTGGAAGGACTTGCCTTCAGAAGCTGTGGGTGCTCCATCACTGGAGGATTTCAAAAAGAGATTGGACACTCATTTGTCCAGAATGGTAACGAGAGAAGCAGGTTGGACTACAAGACCTCCAAGGTGCCTTCCAACTCGTTATTCTGTATTCAATTCCTCCGTCCAATAATTAGCCATATTTAGTTCTATCTCTACGCAGGATCATCCTCTTTTAACGACCGCATAATCCCTTGCGGGGGGTGGAGTCTGGGCAACTGAATGGAGCTAGCAGAGTGTTTTAATGGCCAGATGCCTTTCCTGTCGCCAATGCGGAGTTTTGTTCTATCTCTATGTAGTATGTCCGTTATTTACTAGATTGCATTTGTATGTCTGGTAAATACTAGATTGTATTTACTAGATATGCAACTGAATTTCATTTTAACGTATGCCGATTAGCGTACATTCAAAGTGACAATAAAGTCATTATTCTATTCTATTCCATTATTTTTCCTACTCTGGAACTCTGAACTTTCTTCAGGTCTCACTGTACAGCGAGAGAGCGATTTCACTTTCAGAATTAATCTCAGTTGCATAATGAGGTCAATTACCAAAATGTACAGTAACTCAGATGTACTTCTGGAATTTAATCTATTTATTAAAATAGATTAAAATAGATTAAAATAGATTAAAAGTGCGTCTAACAAGCTGGGGTTTTGCTGATGAAAAGGTGGAATTGCTCCATTCCTCCAATGAACAGAAGTAACTTTTCTCATACCAGGGATTGAATGTTAATTTTTATTTACTTGTTGTAAAGGCATTTCAGAAGAAAACGGTAATTTTTTTAATTTATTTTTTTGCTTTCCAAATAAATCACAACCACCGATAACCAAACTCACTGCTGTTTTGAGCACTGAGCATCCGTTGCTCGGTAAACCTATCGAAGGATTCACAGAATTCATTTCTGGTTGAAACTCTGGAATGTCTTATATATAAAGCCCGAGTAAAGCCACACCTAGAATACTTCATCTAGTTTTGGGTCACCACGCTATGAAAAAGATGTTGAGACTCTAGAACCGTGATGGTGAACCTATGGCACCATATCTGTGGGCACATGAGCGATGGCCTAGCTCAGCTCCAACGCGCATGTGCGTGCCGGCCAGCTGGTTTTCGGGCTTTCCCAGGCCCACTGGAAGTCGGGAAACGGGCCATTTCCGGCCTCCGGAGGACCTGCAGAGTGTGTGTGGGGAAGGCAGTTTTCGTCCTCCCCAAGCTCCTAGAAAGCCTCTGGAGCCTAGGGAGGGCAAAAAACGGGCCTACCAAGCCCATTGTGCCATAATGTGCCAAAAGCAGGGAGAGCGCGGGCGGGGGGGGGGCGCGTGCATATGCAGGGGGCAGGGCGCATTGAATTATGGGTGTGGGCACTCGCGTGTGACACCCCCCCGTGCGCGACCCCCACTTTTGGCAATCGATGGCAAAAAAATTTAGCCATCACTGCTCTAGAAAGAGTGCGGAGAAGAGCAACCAAGATGATGAGGGAACCGGAGGCTAAAACGTACGATGAACGGTTGCAGGAACTGGGCCTGGCTGGTCTAGTGAAGAGAAGGACCAGGGGAGACAGGAGAGCATCTTCCAATATTTGAGGGGCTGCCCCAGAGAGGAGGAGGTCAAGCTATTCTCCAAGGCACCCGAAGGCCAGACAAGGAACAATGGATGGAAACTGATCAAGGAGAGATTCAACCTAGAAATAAGGAGGAATTTTCTGACAGTGAGAACAATCAACCCGTGGAACAGAAGTTGCCTTCAGAAGTTGTGGGAGCTTCATCCCTGGAGGCTTTCAAGAAGAGACTGGACAGCCATTTGTCAGAAATGGTGCAGGGTCTCCTGCTTGGGCGGTGGGGGGTCGGACTAGATGACCTCCAAGGTCCCTTCCAACTCTGTTCATCTGTTAAGTATAGTATCTGATATTATAAGACATTCCAGAAATGAATTCTGTGAATCCTACGATTGGTTTAATCATGAACACTGGATGGATGGCAGTGGCGAGTTTTAGAAGACATTGAGAAAGCAGCAAGAAATGAAACTTTTGGAAGAGTAAATGCAAAAAAATTGCAAAACGGTAACCTTGGGGAGGCTGCGGAGGAACACGATAGCGCTTGAAAAGTGTGTGTGTGTGTGTTTCGGATGGGGGGAATGTGAGAGAGACTATCCGGATCTATTTACCCTCCTTCCAAAACGCAAGGCGGTGAATTAATAGTTTACGAAGGCCCGAGTTTTACTCCCTGTCGATTATCTCCAAATGAAAACCGTACCGTACCTTTAAGACCGTTACTATTTTGAAGGAAATTAAACCACTGGTTTCCATGTGTGTTAGGCGGAGAGACAAGATCGTCGTCTTCGTCTTTTAAATACTGAAAAAAAGAAAATGGTTTTAATAAGTATCGCGGGCGGGAGGAGGAGGGGGAGGGGAGAAATGCCCGGACTTGTAAGTTTTTCTCTCGATTTGCAAAAATAATAAAATATCAAGTCTGATTTTTTTTTTCCTCCCTCTCGTCTTTTCAACTGGGAAACAGAAAAACCTTTCAAGAGGTCCAGTCGTTTTTTTTTTGCTGTAAAAACCTTTGCAAAAAGTGGTTTATGGCTCAGTCTTCAATCTGTTTATCGCAGCTTTCCTCCAACCGGTCTGTTATCTTTGCAGAGTGGGACAATTTATCAGAAACGGCTGTAAACCTTTGCTCCGTGAAACTCGCTCGCAGCTACGATTGTGCCTTGTGACTGAAGAGTTGTTCATTAAGGGACACATTTTATGCCCCGAAATGTGCATGCCCTGGTCCCTTCGGCCTTGCCGCGGGAGAAAGCCACTACGAGCGGCGGTGTCGTGTTCACAAAACTCCGTTTCCCTCCTGGACGCATCCATTTAAATCTACTCCGCGTAGACCTCGACGTACGAGTGCCATTCATCGTCCTCTTTTAGTGACCCCCATAATCCCTTGCGGGGAGTGGGGATGGAGTCTGAGCAACTGAAGGGAGCAGAGTGTTTACTGGCCGGATGCCCTTCCTGTCACCAGTGCGGAGTTTTGTTCAGCAGATATATTCTCATTGTGCCCATCGTGCTTCTACCTAGGATCGAGCTCACAGGCTCCTGATTGTGAGGCGAGAGCGCCACCTCTAGGCCACCTCACCACTCGACGTACGACCACCGTCGAGCCTAAAAAATTCCTGTTTCGTTCAGCGAGACATTTGTTCAGGGAGGTTTGCCCTCATTGTATGATGCTTCTTGCCGCCGTCATTAATCATGGCCGCGCTTAAGTGAGAAACCTTAAGGTGTTTAAGGGAATCTGGTTTCCCCCTGGACTTTGCTGATAGGAAGGTCGCAAAATGGGATCACGTGATCCCAGGATACTGCGACCGTCGTAACTACAAGTCAGTTTCCGAGCCTCTGAATTTTGATCATGTGACCGTAGGGAGCCGGCGAACTTTCCTCATGTTTAGAAAATATACAGCTAGTCCTCGAGTTACGACCACAATGGAGCTCCAATTTTACGTTGCTGAGCGAGACGTTTGTTAAGTGAGCTTTGCCCCATTTTATGACCTTGCTTGCCACAGTTGTTAAGTAAATCACTGCAGTTGCTAAGTTAGTGACACGGTGGTTTAGCAAATCCACTGCCCTCTCTTGTTGGGTCGCAAAAGAGGATCATGTGACACCCCCTACACATACTGGACATTGCAACCGTCATAAATGTGAGTCCGTTGCTGAGCGTCTGAATTTTGATCACATGACCATGGGGATACTCAGCCGTAAGTGTGAAAAACGATGGTTGTAAGCGTGAAAAGCGGCCGTAAGTGTGAAAAACGGTCCTAAGCCATTTTTTACCCCAGTGCGGTGGCAACTTTGCCCGATCACTAAGTGAACTGTCGTAAGTGGAGGACTACCTGTATCTCAAATCTCCAGACTGTTCTACCTCGTGAGATTTGAGGCTATCACCCTACATCTTGCAAGAAGAGATCATCATCCTGTTTTATTCATAGATATGGCAGGGATCCATTGTGCAAATCAGAGGTGTTATTCAGCCGGTTCAGACCGGTTCGGGGGAACCGGTAATAGTGACCCTTGGGTGCCCGCCTGGGCGCAATCCCGTTGTATATCGCTGTGGTTTTGATGCAACACACGTGTGGATGGCACGCACGAGCTAATTCCTGTGTTGTTTGATGTCGCACGCATTGGCGGATGGTGTGCGCTCACATCCGTGGTGCTGGGCGAACCGGTAGTGGCAGAATTTGAAGCCCACCTCTGGTGCAAATCCCACGCAAACCCACCCGTGCCCAAGGGTTTTTCTCTACATGGGGAAAAAGTGTGCGTAACATGACTCCAAAATTGCAGACCGCTTCATGGACTGCAGACTTCCTTGTGGAAAGTCAAAGCTGGCCAACTCTTCCTTTCTCAAGAACTCCGGGACTCAAGCCGTCACTCAATACAATGACTGACACCTTACCTGCCCAACTCTCTCCACGTTGAAGTATTTCCCTTTTCGATTGTAGAGTTCAGGTGCCTAGAAAGGAAAGAGGGAAGAGGGCAGGAGAACAGGGAAGAAATTGTTTTAAGTCCTGAGAATTCTCTATCAGTAGTAAACCCTTGGCTGGGAATTCGGATTAGTCCCCAACGTTTGTTTAATCAATCAACGATGATATCATGCCATTGTATTAGGTTTTAATAATCCTATGCACCCCCTGTCTTGGAAACGTTGTAGATGTGTGGACTTCGACTCCCAGAATTCCCTAGCCAGCCATGTTGCCTGAGGAATTGTGGGAGTTTTAAGTCCATACGTCTTGAAATTTGCTAAGGGTTTTAGGGCACTCTGCGGTACAGTATAATCAAGGGGGAGGGGAATAGCTTTAAGGGAAGTGGCATAAATAAATGTTAAGCTACGTCGAGATGACCTGAACATGCTCTTTTGAAAGGGGGAAAAAAAAACCTTCCTTGCCATGAAAATATCTGCAAAAAAATAAAATAAAACAAATAAATAAAATAGCTTGCCTTCAGAAATTGTGGGCGCTCCGTCACTGAAGAATTTTAAGAAGAGACTAAACAGCCACTGGTCTGAAATGGTATAGGGCCGCAATGGCAAATCTATGGCACGCGTGCCACCTGTGGCACGCGGAGCCATATCTGTGGGCACGCGAGTGTTGCCCTAGCTCAGCTCCAGTGCACATGCGCGTGCTGGCCAGGTGATTTCCGGGCCTTCCGGTCCCACCAGAAGTCGGGAAATGGGCTGTTTCCGGCCTCCGGAAGGCCTCTGGAGGCATGGGGAAGGCTGTTTTCGCCCTCCCCAGGCTCCAAGAAAACCTCTGGAGCCTGGGGAGGACGAAAAACAGACCTACCTGGCCCACCGTGTGCCAAAAGCGTGGGGAGCGTGGGGGGAGGGTCGTGCATGCATACGCGGGGAGGCGGTGCGCATTGAATTATGGGTGTGGGCACGCATATGCATGACGCCCCCACACTCCCTCCGCTTTTGACACGCGACGGCAAAAAGGTTAGCCATCACTGGTATAGGGTCTCCTGTTTGAGCAGGGGGTTGGACTAGAAGACCTCCAAGGTCCTTTCCAGCTCTATTCTATTCTGTTCTGTTCTGCATTCTATTCTATATTCTATATTCTATATCAGTGATGGCTAACCTTTTTGCCATTGCGCGCCAGGAAGGGGTGGGCGGGGGGAGGTTTGCACACGTGGGTGCCCACACCAATAATTCTATGCGCCCCACCCCTGCGCATGTGCGCCCCAACCCACTCTTTCTCTCCCCCCCCCGCTCCTGGTACCCGATGACCCGGTAGGCCCATTTTTCTTTCTCACCTGGCTCCAGATCCTCTCTATGCATCTGGGGAGGGTGAAAACAGCCTTCCCCACCCCCTCGGAGGCCCTCCGGAGGCCCGAAATGGCCTGTTTCCCAACTTCCGGTTGTACCGGAAGTGACGTTTTTTGTTTTCCCCAGCCTCCAGAGACTCCTAGAGAGGGCCTCCGAGGGGATGGGGAAGGCTGTTTTCGCTCTCCCCAGATGTATAGAGAGGATCTGGAGCCAGGTGAAAGAAAAACGGGGCTTCCCCACCCCCCCAGGCCCTCTGGAGGCAGGAAACGGCCTGTTTCCCTACTTCTGGTGGTCCCAGAAGGCCCGAAAATCAGCTGGTCGGCGCCGGAGCTGAGCTGGCGTGCCAGGCGACATGGCTCTGTGTGCCGCCTAAGGCACGCGTACTATAGGTTCACCATCAGGGTTCTATAGTCTATATTCTATTCTAATTCCTTTCTAAAATAAAGCAAATATAAAATAAAAATAAAATAGAAAGCTTACTTCATTGAAGTGCTCCGTGAGAAAATCAGCCACAAAAGTAATGTCCTTCTGGGTCATCTTTGAGAAAAAGGAACACAACAAATCACTACCACCATAAATTTGCACTTCACGCATCTACACCAAACGCAGCACAGCTGAAACCAACAGCCGTCACAATTCTGCAAACCAACAAACGGCCAGAATGACGTTTTCAAACAACTTGGACAGAAAAACAAAACAAAACCCCAGAGCGGTAATGCAATAATATTTTGAAAAGGAAACGTAAGAAATGTTAGGATATGGTGTAAGTCTAACAAGTCGTCCAGGCAATATATGTGTGCTATAACTTTAAATGTAATGCTGAGTAATTGTACTGTTGAGTCATTGCACTGCTGACTTCACTTATCTTAAGTGGCTAATTACTAGTGTAAACTGTATATAAGGAGGAAGCCGAGCTATAGTCATTGTTGGACCTGCTCTCATCATTGCTTGACTTGCTGCTTGACTGGAACTGTTGATTGAAACTGTTACTGTCGTGTGTGAAGAAGTGGATAGATATTCTACCATCGTGATTTGTTACCAGCGTTGAATTGCTGTTTGTCTGGTAAGAAGATATCTGTAACTTCAGACTGACTTGAATGGCTAAAGACTTGGATTGACTAAAAGACTATGCAATTGTTTTTCACTACAAAGTAAAAGCTTTGTTAAACCAGTTTGTATTGTATTGTATTCATTGCTCTCAGTACTCAGTTTCTCTGCGCACTTAACTCTGCTGTTTGGTAACACAACAATATCCTTAACAAGAAAAAAACATAATTAAGCTAATCCTAAAATCCTTTCGGCTGCTTTTATATTGAACAAAAGTCGGCTTTTAAGAGGACCAAAATGAATCATTTTCTAAGAATAGTTTGCCTGGCAGTTTAAAAGAATATTTTAATGTTTCGTTTATGAAGGAACTGTTTGCAGCTTGGAAAAAATAGAATTTAACACCCGTGTGAGAAAAGCAACTGTCAGGAACTGAATTTGAGTCGTTGCACTGGAGAGATACTCTAAAAAAAGCTGTAACTTTCAAATTAACTACTAATGTCCAGTCATTATAACTTGGGGCAAAGAAGGCTGCCCAACATGTTGATATCTAAAGTTGGAATGTCCAATACAAAATTGCAAAGTTTCTTTTTTGCAAATTGAATAGTGGGCTAAATATTGTCCTAGATTTGGAAGTCTGCCTTTCAGCAATCAGCTTCTTGGCAACAAATCCAAATTATTATTTATTTATCAAATTTCTACACCGCCCAGCTTATCTATATGACTCCGGGTGCTTGACACAATGGTTCAGATATGAGAGATTTCATTCTATACCCTATAATGGACATCTCTGCATTTACGGAATGGCTGTTGTGGCCCGTACGCAGCCTGTGCAGCTAGTAGCTGATTCCGACAGCGAGGAGGCTGGTGTGGTGCTGCGCCAGCAGCCTATGCAGCTGGCACTCGAGTCGGACAGTGAGGAGGCTGGAGAAGATGTGGTGCCAGAGGCAGGGATTCAGCCAGAGCCTTCAGAACCTCCAGAAGCTCCCATAAGTGAAGAGGAGGAAGAGGAGGAGCCTCTTCTCGATGCACGGGCGCGCAGAGCTGCGAAAAGGCAGGAGTGGCTTCTCAGGAGGAGGTCTCCTCGAGAGTAAGGCTTGGGGCTAATTGGCCACTCCCTTAGCCTATTTAAGGAAGGACGACGACTGAGGAAATTTGCAGGGAACAACTTCGTTCACTCTCCTTCGCATCCTGATCTTAGTTCTCTTATCAGTTTCCTGCGAATTGCTTCTGGGCTTTCTGCCAACCCTAGTAAGATTACGATTATTTATTCTTTGGATTCTTGTAGGCTGTTAAGAAAGTTAATTAACAGCCTTTATTTGAAAAAGACTGATTTAATTTAGTAAACTAAGGTTTGTACAGACTTTGTGTGTGCTGCGTTCTTTGGGGTCCGTAGCTGGGGCAGAACAACGGCAGAGATAGAGGATCTGGCTCACATCCTATTTGATTGTTGCTTATATAAGGGGATGAGACACAGGTACTTCGGTCTATATACTAAACGAGTGATCCATTGGGATCCCCATAGCAAAACAACTTGCCTTAAGAGCATCCAGAATTTGAAAACAACATTTAATACAGCACAGTACTTGAGCAAAATGGTTCGGTTGAGATCGGCATAGGTGGGAGTGATTGGGGTAGATTGTAGGCAGAGGTGGGTTTCAGAGGTTCTGACCAGTTCTGGAGAACCGGTAGTGGAAATTTTGAGTAGTTTGGAGAACCGGTAGTAAAAATTCTGACTGGCCCCGCCCACATCTATTCTCTGCCTCCCAAGTCCCAGCTGATCGGGAGGAAATGGGGATTTTACAGTATCCTTCCTCTGCCACATCCACCAGGCCACGTCCACTAAGCCATGCCATGCCCACCAAGCCACACCCACAGAACCGGTAGTAAAAAAATTTGAAACCCACCACTGATTGTAGGGGTGACACCGAAATATAATTTTATCATTTTTTATTTATCCCTATATTAAATTATTGTATTGTATTCCAATTTCATTTTAAACTTTGTTTTATTCCAATTTTGTTTTAAATTGTGCTTTATTCCAATTTCGTTTTAAATTGTGTTTTATTCCAATTTCGTTTTAAATTGTACTTTATTCCAAGTTCGTTTTAAACTTTGTTTTATTCCAATTTCATTTTAAACTTTGTTTTATTCCAATTTCGTTTTAAATTGTTTTATTCCAATTTCGTTTTAAATTGTTTTATTCCAATTTCGTTTTAAATTGTACTTTATTCCAATTTCGTTTTAAATTTTGTTTTATTCCAATTTCGTTTTAAATTGTGCTTTACTCCGATTTTGTTTCAAGCTTTGTTTTATTCCAATTTCGTTTCAAATTGTGCTTTATTCCAATTTCGTTTTAAACTGTGTTTTATTCCAATTTCATTTTAAATTGTTTTCTTTATCGGATTTTAGTCATAATTTGTGTTTGGAACTCTGCACTTCGATCCGGCCCATGGGCTAATCAATAAACTAAACTGAAACGAAAACGATATGACTCCGGGTGAATTACAAATAACGACGTGACTAAAAGAACGTTAAGAAAGCCTCTCAAGTGTCAAAACGATGTGCTGCCCATCCACCGGGAACGATAATTTCTCAATGACTTGCTTGATTCTGATTTCGAGGACTCAAAAAAATAAGAAGTCTAATAGATACACCTTATTAGGTTTGGAGAGTCATGTGGATAGCTGGCCTGGGGGATATTTAGAAAAGTCAGAAGAACTCAGAGCTGTAAAAGACTTCTGCACCACATTAAAATGAGTAGCATTTCATTCACTCCTACGGTCTTTCAGCACTCTGGTCCAGAAATAAAAGCTCTCAAAACCATCCCCGTCAGAATAGAATAGAATATTAGAGTTGGAAGGGACCTTGGAGGTCTTCTAGTCCAACCCCCTCCTTAAGCAGGAAACCCTACGCCACTTCAGACAAATGGTTTTCCAACATCTTCTTAAAAAGTGTTTACAATTTCTGGTGGCAAGTTGTTCCACTGGTTAATTGTTCTCACTGTCAGGAAATTTCTCCTTAGTTCTAAGTTGCTTCTCTCCTTGATGAGTTTCCACCCATTGCTTCTTGTCCTGCCCTGACTTGGGTTTCCTGCCTGAGCAGGGGGTTGGACTAGAAGACCTCCAGGGTCCCTTCAAACTCTGTGATTCTGTAGTTCTGCCCATCACTTAGGGAAGGAATGTTACCAGACGCATTAAATGGGTAGGAATTCTGCGGGCCCTCGTTAAATGCTCCACGAGAAAACATTGCAACGGCACAAATGCTTTGTGACTCACAAATAATAAGATCGAAGGACAAGAAATGTTAGAAGCCTCTCATGTGTGCGCGTAAACGATGGTTACCTTGTTCAATTCGGGAGGAACAGGGTCTTCGGACATTCGAAGCATGGCTGGAAAAAAATAAAATAAAAACAAAGCAGAAAACAGGGAGTTTTCGATCTACGGCCACAACCGACCCCCAAATTTCTGTTGTTCAGCGAGACATTTTGTGAAGGGAGTTTTGCCCCTTTTCGACGACTTTTATTGCCGCTGTTGTTAAACGAATCATGGCAGCGAATCTGGCTCCCTCCTTTGATTTTGCAACTTTCATAAACACAGCCTGATTGACAGGTGCCCGAATTTTGATCGCATGACTGTGCAGATGATAGAATGGGCATAAGTGTGAAAAACAGGGATACGTCATTTTTTCCAGTGCCATTTGTAACTTTCAACAGCCCTAAAAGAATAGTTCTAAATTGAGAATTATCTGCGTATCAATGTTAGAGAATAGCAACTTGGGAATTGTATTATGTTATATGAATCTAAATGTAAAGGTATTGGAGTAAGACTGATACTTAATTGATTTTATTGAATATGCTCAATTGTTGAAATGTATTATTTGGAATAGTTGATAAAAGAATTATTGGAGATTGGAATAAGGGAATTTAAGGTAATAACTGGGGATTGTATTATGTTACGTGAGTCTCCGAGAAGTAAAATATCTTCAAAAGAAAAGAATAAGAAAGTCCAGTTGCCTTTTGGAAAAAAAAGCACCTTTGGGACAACGTGGATGACAGAGGATCCCCATAGATGTTGGATAACAATATGTCTGCGAAGATGCAACCCAGATCAGAGAGCATCAAAAGAGTTCACAAATAACATTGCTTTTCCATTACACAGAGGAACCTCAGTCATTAGTCTGCACTACTATTAATCTTCTCATCGTTCCTATCACCCATCTCCTCCCACTTATGACTGCATGACTGTAATCTTGTTGCTGGTATCCTTACGATTTATATTGACTGTTTCCTAATATGATTTGATTGCTTATTTGTTCCCTATGGCTATCATTAAGTGTTGAACCTTATGATTCTTGATGAACGTTTCTTTTCTTTTACGTACACTGAGAGCTTCTGCACCAAAGACAAATTCCTTGTGTGTCCAATCACACTTGACCAATAAAAAAATTCTATTCTATTCTATTCTATTCTATTCTATTCTATTCTATTCTATTCTATTCTACTCTACTCTATCTTCTTCTTCTTCTTCTATTCTATTCTATTCCTCCTTCTCCTCCTTTTTATTCTATTCTATTCTATTCCTTCTTCTTTTCTTTTCTATTCTATTCTACTACTACTTCTTCTTTTCTTTTCTATTTTATTCTATTCTATTCCATTTCTTCTTCCTCTTCTTCTTTTATTCTACTACTTCTTCATTCTATTCTATTCCTCCTCCTCCTATTCTATTCTATTCTACTCTATCTTCTTCTTCTTCTATTCTATTCTATTCCTCCTTCTCCTTCTCCTTCTTATTCTATTCTATTCTTTCTTCTTTTCTTTTCTATTCTATTCTACTACTTCTTCTTTTCTTTTCTATTTTATTCTATTCTATTCCTTTTCTTCTTCCTCTTCTTTTCTTCTACTTCTTCATTCTATTCTATTCCTCCTCCTCCTATTCTATTCTATTCTATTCTACTCTATCTTCTTCTTCTATTCTATTCTATTCCTCCTTCTCCTCCTTCTTATTCTATTCTATTCTACTCCTCCTTCTTATTCTATTCTATTCCTTCTTTTCTTCTTCCTCTTCTTCTATTCTACTACTTCTATTCTATTCTATTCCTCCTCCTCCTCCTCCTTATTCTATTCCTTCTTCTTTTCTTTTCTATTCTACTACTTCTTTTCTTTTCTATTTTATTCTATTCTATTTTATTCCTTCTTCTTTTCTTCTTCTTCTTTTCTTCTATTACTACTTCATTCTATTCTATTCTATTCTATTCTATTCTATTCTATTCTATTCTATTCTATTCTATTCTATTCTATTCTATTCTATTCCTTCTTCTTCTATTCTATTCCTCCTCCTCCTTCTTCTATTCCATCCCATCCCATCCCATTCTATATTCTATTATAATTGGTAACTGAACTAAAGGGGTAGAAGCTATAAAGGCCATCGTGTAGACACATCACTGCCTTCTCGTTGGCACAACCCACCAATAACTTAGATCCAGGGATGGGATTCAGCCGGTTCGTAACAGTTCAGGCGAACCGGTAGTTGTGACCTGCAGATGGGCCCGCCCACTCGCCCTGGAGTTATGCCGTCCGGTTTAGCTGTGTAAGCGCATGCGTAAACAAAGCACATGCACAGAAGGCCATGTGTGCACGCTCACATTTTCGGTGCTGGGCCGAACCGGCTAAACCGAACCGGTTGTTAACATTATGTGAAGCTCAACTTTGCTTAGATCAACTGAGCCTAAGAAAGCTGTGCAGCTCTTGCTTTGAAACCAGCTTTTTAAAAGTCCAACCAGATAAGAGAGAAAGTTAGGGGGGAGGAAAAAAAAGAAGTATTTAGAATTACGACCGTTCTTCTTACCTACATAAAGCCAACGGAAGAATGCTTTGAAATTTTTCATGCTGCTGTCTATAACTCTGGGGGGAAAACAAGAGAGAGAGAAAAAGAAATGATTCTCTTAAGGTGGCATTCCTCAAGGGAAAAGGAGTTTTCTTTGTGAGTTCAGTCATTTATAGGTAGTCCTCGAGTTACGACCCACAATGGAGCCCAAATTTTCTGTTGTTAAGCGAGACATTTCTTCTTCTGAGTTTTGCCCCGTTTTGTGACCTCTCTTGCCGCAGTTGTTAAGTGAATCACTGCAGCTGGTTAGTTAGTAACCCGGTTTTTGAGGGAATCTGGCTTCCCCATTAAGTCGCCAAAAAAGGATCGCGGGACACAGCAACCGTCGTTAAGTATGAACCAATTCTCTGAATTATGACATGACCACGGGGAGGCTGCAAAAGCCCTAAGTGTGAAAAAAAATCTGTCCCACGTCACATTTTTCATTGTGCCATTCTAGCTTTGAACGGTCGCTAAGCAAAGCTGTCGCAACTTACGTCGGAAACGACCTCTATCCAAACGAAGGGTTTGCAAAATAATTCCAATGACTTACTGGAGGAGTTCGTTGGCTTTCAGAATGAAGGAACCGACCGCAGTAATCGCCTCTGCAAATAAAAGAATAAAAGCGAATTGAAGGCCCGGTGAACGCGGCTTCAACAGCGAAATCGGCGGGACGGTGTCGTACCTTCGATTCCGGAGGCGTCTAAGCCAAGGCATTCGTACTTCTGCTTCCACAAAGCCATGCCTTTCAGCTCGCTCAGGTGGTACAGCAGGGCCTCCGAACCGCTATCAAAGCAACAGGGGATCCCATTAAAAAGGTTGGGAGAAAGATCTGCCTCTCAGGGGTACCGGAAGGGAGCCGTAAAGGCAAAAAAACCAACAACAACAACAACAAAAAGCAAGAATCAAACAAGTGATGGATTTTTTTTTGCTCCTGGACTTTAGCTTAACAGTGTGATAAAAACAAACCAAATTGGAAATGGGTTTCCTTTCCTTCCTTTACTCCTTCCCTTCCCTTCCTCCTTTCCTTTCCTTTATCCCTTCTTCCTTTCCTTTATCCCTTTCATTTCATTCCTTTTCTTTGTCTCTTTTTCATCTCCTTTCCTTTCCTTCCTCCTTTCCTTTCCTTTGTCCCTTTTTCCTCTCCTTTCCTTCCCTTCCCTTCCTCCTTTCCTTTCCTTTATCCCTTCATCTCCTTTCCTTTCCTTCCCTTCCTTTACTCCTTTCCTTCCCTTTGTCCCTTCTTCCTCTCCTTTCCTTTCCTTCCCTTCCTTTACTCCTTCCCTTTCCTTTCTCCTTTCCTTTCCTTTATCCCTTCTTCCTTTCCTTTGTCTCTTTCCTTTCCTTTCGTCTCCTTTTCCTCTCCTTTCCTTTTCCTTCCATTTCTTCCCTTCCTTTCCTTTCCTTTGTCCCTTTTTCCTTTCCTTTCCTTTCTTTCCTTTCCTTTCTTTTTCTTTTCTCATTTCTTTCTCTTCCCCGTCCTCTTCTTCCTCGCTTCTTCATCTCCTCGTTCCCTTTCTTCCTTCTTTCTCTTTTCCTTTCCCTTCCCCCTTCTTCCTCTCTTCTCCCCTCTCCTCTCCTATTTCCCTTCCTTCCTTCTTTTCTTCTTTTTCTTCCCTTCCCTTTCCCTTCCCCTTCTTTCTCTCCCCTCTCCTCCTCTTTCCCACCCTCCCTCCCTTTCCTTCTTCTTTCTCTTCTGCCTTTCCTTTTTTTCCCTTTCCATTCACTCCCTTCCTCCCCTCTCCTCTCCTTCCCTCCCTCCCTCCCTCCTTCCTTTTGGTTTTCCCTCTATTCTGATGGAGTGGAGTGTAATTTCTGAAACAAATCATTACTCTTCAAAATTCAACCCGATCAAGGAATCTCCTCGTCCAGCTGCCAAGTTGAAATCTTTTTATTCCTCTTTTTAACAGAAGGACGTGAGATAGACAGGAACACGTTTTAAGTGATGTTGGGGTTTAGAGAAGAGTCCCCCAAACCTGGCTACTTTAAGACCTGTGGACTACAACTCGCAAAATTCCCCAGCCAGCCCACCCACAGAGAACAAAACAATAATAATATTGAAACATCACCAACGTATCTCAATCCATGCACCTGCTGAATTTTACCTCTGCAGGTGACTTATCACGAGCTTCTGGATGCTGGAGTAAGACGATTCCATGGACTGGCCAAGCTTTTTTAAACCCTGTGGGGGAAGAAAGTGCATCTTTGGTCAAGCGGGACAACCCCACACAAACCATAAGAATTTCAAGCAAAGATGTTTAAACGCATGTCTGCCAAATGCTGGAAATGTAATCAGTCTCCGGGCACCTACTATCACATGTGGTGGACATCAGGGGTGAAATCCAGCAGGTTCTGGCAGGTTCTGGAGAAATTTTGAGCAGTTCGGAGAACCCGCAAATACCAGCTCTGGCTGGTCCCAGAAAGGGGTGGGAATGGAGATTTTGCAATATCCTTCCCCTGGAGTGGGGTGGAATGGGGATTTTGCAATATCCTTCACCCAGGAGTGAGGAGGGAATGGGGATTTTGCAGTATCCTTCCCCTGGAGTGGGGCGGGAATGGAGATTTTGCAGTAGCCTTCCCCTGCCACGCCCACCAAGCCACACCACGCCCACCAAGCCACACCCAAAGAACCGGTAGTAAAAAAATTTGGATTTCACCACTGGTGGATGTGTGAGAGTAGAGAATTATTGGTATACATACATGGTTGGAAAAAAATGTTTAAAAGCTACATATAGATTATAAAACAGAAATATTTTTTTTAGGCATAGTACCAGAAAAATATAATAAGGGGAATTTGTATTTAATATTGCCTGTTTTGACTGCAGCAAGAATTGTATTTGCACAGTATTGGAAAAAAGGAGGAAACACCGAGAGAGGAGAGAATGTAATTAAAAAAAATATTAGATTGCGCAGAAATGGATAGACTTGACATTAAAGATAAAAGAGAAGGAAGATGTACAGAATACTTTCAAATATGGGATTTGTTTTATAAATGGTTGGATAATAGAAGTAGAAAATAGGAGCTAGGAAAACATTGTATTATGTAAGCAATTGATCCAGACAATACACTGTTAACAAAGCACATATCTTTTCTTTTATGTACACTGAGAGTGTATGCACCAAGACAAATTCCTCGTGTGTCCAATCACACTTGGCCAATAAAAATTCTTTTTTTCTTTTCTTCTTTTGTTCTTTTTTTCTTTTCTTTTCTTTTCTTTTTTCTTTTTTTCTTTCCTTTCCTTTCCTTTCCTTTTTTTCTTTTTTTCTTTTCTTTTCTTTTCTTTTTTTTTCTTTTCTTTTCTCTTTTTCTTTTTTTTTTTTTCTTTTCTTCTTCTTTTCTTCTCTTCTCTTTTTTTCTTTTCTTTTCTATCCTTCCTTCTTCTTCTTCCCTTTTTCTTCTATTCTACTACTTCTTATTCTATTCTATTCTATTCTATTCTGTTCTGTTCTGTTCTGTTCTGTTCTATTCTGTTCTGTTCTGTATCATCATCTTCATTTAATGATCCCATAATCCCTTGCAGGGTGGAGTCTGGGCAACTGAATGGAGCTAGCGGAGTGTTTTACTGGCCAGATGCCCTTCCTGTCGCCAATGTGGAGTTTTGTTCGGCAGATATATTCTCACTGTGCACAAAGCACTTAACGTATGTTAAATGAAAATGTACAAAGAAACGATATAAAAAAACCACAAGAATTTCATACCGTATAAGCTGCCCTACCTTGACGGTGAGCTGGTTCATTAGCAGTGCCTGAAGCTCAATACTTTTTGGAGAAGGAGAAGAAAGGAAAAAAGAAAAAAAGAACACCGTTTTATTTTCATTTTTCCTGCTGGAAGAAGGATCAAACGTGGATGGGATTGGAATACTTTACCTTGCTTTGCCCCACAAAAGTAACTCCATAAATTCATCCTGCACGGACGTGGTTGTATTCTTCTCCTTAATAAAATAAAATTAAATTAAAATAAAACGGAGATTGTTATCTTCTGGCATTTCAAGCCTCTCCTTGAATCCACGAACACCGAACTGTCAACCAGCATAACCACAAACCCGTAATTTTGACCCACGCCCGTTCGATTGGGACGGAACAAAAATCATTGGCCATGACACCGCATGCCACGCGTGTAGATTCCTATCAACAAACATGTCGACTTGGAGCCAGACACTGCGACGTTCATAAATCTGAGTCGGTTGCCACGCGTCTGAATTTTGATCAAGTGACCATGGTCGCAAGTGTGAAAAACGGTGCTAAGTTATTTTTTTCCCCCTCCCAGGGCCGTTGTAACTTCAAACGTTCACTAAGTGACCTGTTGTAAATTTAGGACTACCATTGTTCTGCCCCAGCTACGGACCCCAAAGAATGCAACGCACATAAAGTCCGTTCAAACCTTGGTTTACTAAATCAGTCTTTTACAACAACGGCTGTTAATTAACTGCATTAACAGCCGCTAAGAATTCAAAGAATAATAACTGAAAGCTTACTGTAGTTGGCAGAATGCCCAGAAGCAATTTGCAGGAAGCTGATAAGATAAGCAAGACAAGACAGAAGGTAAGTGAACGAAGTTGTTCCCTGCAAATTGCTTCAGTTGTCGTTCCTCCTTAAATAGGCTAAGGGAGTGGCCAATTAGCCCCAAGACTTACTCTTGAGGAGACCTCCTCCTGAGGAGCCACTCCTGCCTTTTGGCAGCTCTGTGCGCCCATGCATCGAGAAGAGGCTCCTCCTCTTCGTCCTCTTCACTTAAGGGAACTTCTGGAGGTTCTGAAGGCCCTGGCTGAATCCCCGCCTCTGGCACCACATCTTCTCCAGCCTCCTCACTGTCCGACTCGAGTGCCAGCTGGCGCAGCACCACACCAGCCTCCTCGCTGTCGGAATCAGCTACTAGCTACACAGGCTGCATACGGGCCACAACAACCATTGAAAGTTACAACGGCCCTGAAAAAAAGTGACATAGGACCGTTTTTCACACGTACGACCATGGTCACGTGATCAAAAAATCGGCCGCTTGGCAACTAATTCACATTTACGATGGTCGCAGCGTCCCGGAGTGTGTGTGTGTGTCACGTGATTCTCCTTTTGCGACCTTCTTGACAAGCAAAGTCCATGGAAAAAGCCGATTCACTTAACAACCGTGTTACTTTTTTTAAAACAATTGCAGCGATTCGCCGGAAAGGTCGTAAAACGGAGCCAAATTCACTTATCCAGTTTCCAAAGTTTCACTTAGCAACAAAAAATGTTGGGGCTCAATTGCGGTCGTTAAGTCGAGGACTGCCTCTATTAAAAAGCGTTAATAATTGGGGAGGATCGTTTTTGGCAATACCTGTACAAACTTGGTTAATCGTGAATCCATCTGCAACAATATTTCTTCCCAAGCTTCACACATGCAGGTCAGCGAAAGCTTTAAGTACTGTTTGCAAACAGAGGAGGAAAAATCATCAAATATTAGGGGGAAAGGCATAAATTGTAATCACATATATAATCTCATTCAGTTTAGCCTGATGTTCAGTTTTCAAACAAACCAAAAAAACACCACACATCGCTATAACAGGATAAAAAAATTACAAATTGCATTAAATATTTTATGAAGGTTTATAATAACTGTATGATTTAAACTTTAAAAATATATCCATCGAAGCAAATGAAAGAGAAAAAGGGAATGATAATTGGTTAGGATTTAAGATTTAAGTAACGGGTTTTGGGGGATAATGGCATAGTTAAATAGACAGATTTGAGAGAAATAACTGAGTAAAATATTAAGTTGTGTTAATTGAAAATTAAGATTTGTTGAAGACCACAAGTCTTAAAGCAAAGCTGGCTGGGGAATTCTGGGAGTTGAAGTCCACAAGCCTTAAAGTTGCCAAGGTTGGAGACCCCTGCTCTATAGAATATCTCGCGGTTGGTACAATATGAAAAGGTGCAGATTTTAAGGCCGTACCTGCAGGAGAGTGGAAATGTGCGTAAATTTTCGGGCCATTCGAGTCACTTCTGGTAAATAGGTTGAGAGCAGACTGGTGTCCATCTAAATCAGAGAATCAATTTAGTACCCAGACAATATTACATGCCCTCTGCAAACTGCAGAACTGGCTACAACGCAGAACAAAAAAAAAATAATTAAAATTAAATTGAATAAAAAATAAAATTAAAAATCTTATTTTTTATGTGGGAGCACGATTCGGGTTTTTAAAACAAGGGAATAATGGTTGAATGAATGTTCCGTTTCAAAATATTAAGACTCTCTGGGTTCATTAAAAGGCAGCCAGTTTGATCTAGTGACAAACTGGATTTCTTCGAGGGCTGGATCAGCATTGTAGTTCTCCTTCGCGGGGCCAACCGGTGGGCACGTGGGGGGGAGACAGAACGGACGCCTCCTGCAGCACCTTGCCAGCCAAAACGGGGCACCGGGGGGGGCACACAAGGTCCCCCCGCACCCTATTTTCGGCGTGGACGACTTCCTGCAGCACCTAATTGCCTTCATGTAAAACCAGAACTCACACTCTCCGAGTTATAGCCAGATGCCTTAACCACTGCACCAAATTAGCTCTCCTGTTACCTGTAGCTGGTTTTTTTTTTAAATAAAATTTTAGCCTTTCCATGGAGTTGATTTCTTGGCTTGGTCTACATAGTGGAGCTCCCAAAACAAATAAACGTAGGGCCAGATTGGGAGAAAACGAAGCAAAATAATTATAACCTGCTGGTTAAATTTCCAGAAGACATTGGTAGAATGTATTCCAAAGTTAGCGTGTGATCATCTTCTTTTAACAACCCCATAATCCCTTGGGGGGGACGGGGGACGGTGGAGTCTGGGCAACTGAACGGAGCTAGCAGAGTGTTTTAATGGCCGGATGCCCTTCCTTGTCGCCAATGCGGAGTTTTGTTCAGCAGATATATTCCAATTGTGCCCAGAGAGAGAAATATCTGCCTCTACCTAGGATCGAACTCACAGCCTCCCGATTGTGAGGCGAGAGCTCCACCTCTAGGCCACCGCACCATTCCAAAGCAGGGTGAAATCCATCAGGTTCTGGAGAACCGGTAGCGGAAACTTCAAGTAGTTTGGAGAACCGGCAAATACCACCTCTGGCTGGCCCCAGAGTGGGGTGGGAATGGAGATTTTGCAATATCCTTCCCCCAGAAGTGGGGAGGGAATGGGGATTTTGTAGTATCTTTCCCCTGCCACGGCCACCAAGCCATGCCATGCCACGCCCACCAAGCCACACCCACAGAACCGGTAGTAAAAAAAAATTGGATTTCACCACTGCTCCAAAATTAGCCTGAGATGTTCTTAACAAAATAAGAACCTGCAAAGTTCTTGATCAAATGGCCATGATCTTCTACTCACTTGGAAGTACGTTATTTCGGGATCGGTGTCCGGACAATTGTCTACTTCTGTCACAACCGAAAGTGATTTCAAGTCACTGGATAAGCACAACGCAAGGCAGGAACCCGTCACCTGGAAGAAGCAAAAATCATAAACCACATTTTCTTTAAATATTTAAAAACAGCTCACGCTGCAAGCTGTTACATTCTTTGCCTCTTTTAGGAGCAGGTGATTACGACTCTGGGGTTGTTTATTCCCATCTTTATCGTTTATCCTGCTGTGTGTAAAAGTAGTGAGTTTGCTAGTCCTCGGTTTATGACGACGACTGAGAACAAAATTTCTATCGCTAAGTGAGACGTTTTGTTGGAGCATTCACAACTTCTGGAGGCAAGTTGTTGTTCCACTGATTAATTGTTACATTAATTCGATTAATTGTTCTATTAATTCGATTAATTGTTCTATTCTTCTATTCTGACTTTGCTTTGTCAGAAGGTCGATCAAAAGGGGATCATGTAATCCCGGGGACATAACAACTGTCATACATATGAGGCAGTTGTCCAGCATCTGAATTTTTGATCATGCCATCGTGGGGATGCTGCAACCGTCGTTAAGTGTGAAAAACGGTCGTAAGTCACTTTTTCCAGGGCCGTTGTAACTTTGAATGGTCCCTAAAATGAACTGTTATTAGGCCGAGGCCTACCTGTAATCTATTCATAAATGGTTGAGTTTATACTTCACTGAAGCTCGCATTGCAATTGCTCAAAATATTTGCTATAAAGAATCTTGTTTTAACTGAATAATACAGTGAAGTTCATGGAGTTTTTTTTTTTTTTTGCCATGGGTTCTTTGGGGTTTAGATGTAGAGTGACTGAACCCATTTATATTTAAAATCAAAATTAAAGATGCAGTTTTAGCCAAGATATTAAAGAGGTAAAATAAGCTGTTCTCCAGCTGGATTTAAAACTTGTGAAATGGGAAGGGGGAAATGATGCATACAGCAGGAATAATTTAATGTGAAATTGTCAAAAGCCGGCTCTCTCTTCCGTATTTTCAGATGGGAAGGGAGAAAGTAGGAAACTATTTTGAAGATCTAATTAAAAAATCCAGCTGCAAAGGAAAGCTCTGAAGGGAAGATATCTCTGGAGATTCTCAGTCATCCAAGTCATGGTTGTCCCAAAGGTATTTTTCCAAAAAGCAACTGGACTTTCTTGGATTTTTTTTCCTCTTAAAAAACGTTTCGCTTCTCCTCCAAGAAGCTTCTTCAATTCAGATCTTCAAAAGTTTCCTTGAAAACGTTTTGCTTCTCGTCCAAGAAGCTTCTTCAGTTCAGAAGTTCATTAGATCTTTTATAAGTTTCTTTGAAAATGTTTCACTTCTCACTCAAGAAGCTTCTTCAGTTCTGAAGTTCATTAGATCTTCAAAAGTTTCCTTGAAAACATTTCACTTCTCCCGTAAGAAGCTTCTTTAGTTCTGTAGATCTTCAAAATAGTTTCCTTGAAAACATTTCGCTTCTCACCTAAGAAGCTTCTTCAGTTCTGAAGAACGACCCTTCTTTTCTGAAGAACTGAAGAAGCTTCTCGGACGAGAAGCAAAATGTTTTCAAGGAAAAAAAAAATACACAAGAAAGACCAATTGCCTTTTGGAAAAACACCTCTGGCGGTCTGAAGGGAAGAACATTTTTACTGTCAATGAGTGTGACAGCGAAAAGAACTACATACCCCTGTTATAGTCGCAATCTTGTACATTCCGTAAGCATAGATCTCAATGAACCCATCAATGCCTCCGAGAACCAGGGCATTAAGCCTGCATAGAAAAGATTAAAAAGAGAGAGAGAAAGAGACAGAGAGACAGACACAGAGAGAGAGGAGAGAGAGAGAGAGGGACACACACACAGACACAGAGAGAGACAGAGAGAGAGAAAGAGAGAGGAAAGAGACAAAGAGAGACAGAGAGAGAAAGGAAAGAGAGATGACACAGAGAGACAGAGAGAGAGACAGACAGACAGAAAGAGAGAGACAGAGAGACACACAGAGAGAGGAGAGAAAGAGAGACAGACATAGAGAGACAGACACAGAGAGAGACAGAGAGAGGAGAGAGAGGGAAAGAGAGAGGAAAGAGACAGAGAGAGACAGAGAAAGAGAGGAGAGAGAGAGGACACACAGACACAGAAAGAGAGAGAAAGAGAGAGGAAAGAGACAGAGAGAGACAGAGAGAGACAGAGAGAGAGAGGACACAGAGAGAGAGACAGAGAGAAACAGAAAGAAAGAGAGAGAGAGACAGAGAAACAGAGAGGAGACAGACACAGAGAGAGAAAGAGAGAGGAGAGAGAGGAGATAGGGAGACAGAGAGAGGAAAGAGAGAGACAGAGATAGAGAGGAGAGAGAGACAGAGAGAAACAGAGAGGAGACAGACACAGAGAGAGACAGAGAGAAAGAGAGAGAGAGAGAAGGAAACAGAGAAAATAATGGATGCAGTCAGGTTAGAAAAAAGATCAGTGTTAGCCATCGCTTGGACATGTATATAGGTAGCCCTCAACTTATGACCCCAATTGAGCCCAAAATTTAGGTTGCTAAGTGAAACACTTAATCAAATCAGATTAATCAAACAAATTGCTGCCTGTGTCCCTTTTCAGCATCCTTGCTTGGGAGTGCAAATGATAGAATTTTACTACACCCCCAGAAGTCCTACCCAGCGTCTAGTCTGAACCCCAAAGGAAGGAGACCCTCCTGAAAGAGAATTCAAAGGAGGTTTTATTGGCTTCTTGAGCAAAACTTGCTGGGTTTCCTATTAGGCACCCACAATCAAAACCTAATTTTTTCCCCGTTTGGGAAATAATAATAATAATAATAATAACAACAACAACAACAATAATAATAAACATATTTACCTGACGTCGCCCATGAGTTTCATAATTTCATCGGATTTTTCTTCACTAAAATATAATAATCACGATCAGTAACAAGAAGCTCTTAAACCAGAAACTTTTCTTTTTGAGTGTAATGGATAAAGACTTCGAACTTTGATGTTATATATCTTGACACCAGCATGATTACTTCATGCACAAAAATAGAAGGACGCTTTGATTCCCATAATAGACAAAGAGCTGCAAAAGTTGGTGAAGTTAGCAGAGATGGCTAAATTGAACGCTTTGATAAAATAAAAATAAAAATAACTTGTTTCTACTTGGAAACCGCTTCTGGACTATATGCTCGGGGTGGGGGAAAAACCGAATCTTTGATTTTGGGTTTTACTAATTAGGTAGATCTGTTGTTATTGTCTAGTCTATAAGGTAAAGGTAAAGGTTCCCTTTGCACATACGTGCTAGTCATTCCCGACTCTAGGGGGCGGTGCTCATCTCCGTTTCAAAGCCGAAGAGCCAGCGCTGTCCGAAGACGTCTCCGTGGTCACATGGCCGACACGACTCAACGCCAAAGGCGCACGGAACGATTTTCCCTTCCCACCAAAGGTGGTCCCTATTTTTCTACTTGCATTTTTTTTTCACCTGCTTTCGAACTGCTAGGTTGGCAGAAGCCGGGACAAGGAATGGGAGCTCACCCCACTACGCGGCGCTAGGGATTCGAACCGCTGAACTGCCGACCTTTCGATCGACAAGCTCAGCGTCTTAGCCACTGAGCCACCGTGTCCCTTAGTCACGTCTAGTTTATATTACTATGTAAAAGTTTTTTTAAAATGAGGTTTGATGCTGTTATCTTATTCTAGTACACCAAAGGGAATTTCTGGTACCCCAAATCCAAATTTTCTCTTTTCCTCCCGTTTCCCTACACTTTTCCCTTCTCTTCTCCCGTCCTTATTTTCCCACCGTTTTCTTTTGTATTTTATATTATGAACTAGCCTTCAAAAAGAGATCAGTTAAAAGAAGCATATCTGACCAAACCTTCAAATTCTCAAAGAGTAAACAAACAGAATAGGAGTTTTACCTGAAGATTTTTGCTGTGGTACTGTAGCTGCATTTTAAAAAAAGAAAAGAAATAGAAGCAGATTTAGAGAATGGTGTGGATGGTAAGCTAATTAAACAAGGGGAGGGAGGGATGAATGGATGGATGGATAAATAAAACACCTCCATGTTCCCTGCAGTTATTAAAACATACAAGTAGCCTTATAACTTATGATAAGTCAGGTCGTATTAATTCTATTCTTGCTCTGGATGAGGCCAAAACTTCTTCTGGACAAGTCTATTCTAAAATAATCTGGAGACTTCCAAAAATCATCATAATCTTTTAACGATCTCATAATCCCTTGCGGGGTGGGGTCTGGGCAACTGCATGGAGCTACCCTGTTTCCCCCAAAATAAGACATCCAATAATAATAATAATAATAAGCCCAATCAGGCAATAAGGCCAAGCGCTTATTTCAGGGTTCAAAAAAATATAAGACAGGGTCTTATTTTCGGGGAAACACGGTGGCAGAATGTTTTAATGGCCAGATGCCTTTCCTGTCGCCAGTGCGGAGTTTTGTTCAACAGATATATCCTCATTGTGCCCAGAGAGAGAAATATCTGCCTCTATCTAGGATCGAACTCACAGCCTCCTAATTGTGAGGCGAGAGCTCCACCTCTAGGCCATCGTACCACTCCTGGAGACTTCCAAAAATGATCCTTCCAAACTTGGCTAGAAATCATCAAACTGCCCCCAGAATGGTATGGTCCCAAAAAGATCTCCGACATCGTTGTACTGTGAATTTTAGCAAAAACCCTCAGTCCCTCAAAACTGTGGCTAAGGGTGAAACACTATTTAATTCAACCAGGCTTGTTCTTTTTAATTAATATTTTTTTTAAACATTTTTTTTTAAACAAAAAGAAAGCTTTAACACTTTTTCTGTTTCAACAGTTTCGCATCAGTCAAAAATTTCATACTAATACATTTTTTCCTCTGTTATTTCTACTATATCTTTTATACATAATACTTCTGATATTTATTTATTTATTTACATATATACATAACAATACCTGTGTACACACTTTCATTTCTACAATTTTCTACAATTTATTCTGAGCCACTGCACTGCCCTAGGAGTAAATCCATTCTACTCAACGGATTTTCTTCTCAGTAATGTTGCCTTAAACATGGTGTAAAAAAAAAAAATCTAAAATCATAAAACAGCCAATTATCAGGCCACAAATTCAGGAATATGTTCAACGTCAGAAACTACCTCTGGTGCTTAAAAATGGCTTCGTTCAACCATCAAAGGTTTGTGGAAGCCAGGCTCCTTACGCAACTTCCACAACTTCATTGTTCCCCTCTGACAACACAACTTACTTCTTTGGCAAAGCAGGCAGCTTAGGAAGGAGGAGACTGGCTTCGTCTTCAGCGTTATAAAACGAAGTGAGAACACTGAAATGAAAGAACGATACTTGGATTTAATGCCTGGAAGATCCCGGTAAAAATAAAAAACTACATTTCAGAACCTTCTTCCCAAACACGATTCTCTTCCGAGGTGTGTGAAAGTTACGAATCCCAGAACAACCCACTTTGAAGGCCGATTTCAAAATAATTACCGTACTTTTCAAAGTATAAGACGCACTTCCCACCCCCCAAAAGAGGGTGGAAATGTCGATGCGTCGTATACACTGAATACGGCCATTTTTGGCCTCCTGAAACCGTGCCCTGCGTGTCCCATTTTTGCCAAAAAACAGGTCCGTTTTTCACAAAAACAGGACACACAGAGGGTTTGGGAGGCCTGCAGAGTGCTCCTGGAGGCTGGGGAGGGCAAAAACCGGACGCGTGGAGGCCAAAATCTATTTTTTTCCCCTTGTTTTCCTCTTCGAAATCTTGGTGCGTCTTATAGTCCGAAAAATACAGTAATAGAAACTTGGATCTAAATTATTATCGATATTCCAGCTGAATTGTTGTGATGACTCCTCTGGATGCTTCCCCAGATACCTCTCCAGATGTCAGCTTGGGGAGGGGGGAAGATGAACTACTTCCAGGCACATCTGGAGGGGAGTTGGTCAATGGCTCCAAGAAGCCACCTGAGAGGGATTTGGCTGAAGCACAGCTGTAGCAGGACAGCCCTGAGGCTCCAGCTGGGGAAAGGATGCAGCTGGAACCCGGTCAGTGAAGAGGAGGAGCAACTGCCTTCTGCACTTGATCCAAGAACATGCAAGGCAGAGAAAAGGCCAGAGCAGAGAAGGTCAGCTAGGTTACTCGTAAGGAGGCGGCCTCGCCCCTCTTCATGGGCTGCAACAGAAGCTGGTGTCAGGTTTCGGTGTCGTCTCAAATAAATTGCATTTCCAAACAAATAGTCTTTGATGAAATCTTTCATTTATTAAGCACAACAATCTGTCCCCGACTCGTCGTAGCCAACACTGACTTCCTGACCCCAAACCTTCCCTTTCCGTTCCCCAATTCTCTGCGTCTCATTGGCCATCTTCCAAATCACTCTCCCCATATCTACTACTTCAGCTCCCAGGAATGTCCCCCCTCCCATCCCATCTCTAGGGGATATTATCTTCAGGGAAAATAAGCAGGTGAAAAGTCAAGCGTCCTCTTGCCAGCTGCCCCCTCTTCTCCTCCTTATGTCAGCACTGGAACGAATGTAGTTTGGAGTGCTGACAGCTGGCTATTTAGCACAGAAGACAGATGGAGGCGATGCTGGGTAACGACGTGTTTGATTCCTAGCTGTGTGTTTTCTGGTCGTTGTGATTGCTGCCTCGCTTTGGATTGACCCCTGGCCTTGACTTTGGATCGTGCCTTGTGAACTCTGGACTTTTTCTTGCCTTGTGATTTAATTTTGCCTGTTTATTTGGGTTGGGTTTCAAGTGTCTGGTGGACTCACTGGCCATTGCTCTGTGGACTGGCATCGGGCTGCTCATGCCTGGACTTAATTGGAACAGTTCTGGGGTTTTGGGGAAGGGAATTGCGGGGGAATATTAATAAAACCATTAAACCACAATTACGTGCGTGTGAGAGGCAGGACCAAAATCTTGAATTTCAACTGACCTGTTTTCTTCTGTAACTTCCATCCAGTACATGAATGTCAGAGGAACGCTGACCGAAAAAGAATGCAAACTCTCTGGCTTTTCCACGTCGCACAGAATAACTTTCTTCGTATCCGCAAGTCCAAAAGCGAGAACTGCAAAAGCAATGGGGGGCAAGGCAGGGGTGAAATCCAGCAGGTTCTGACAGGCAGTGGAAATTTTGAGTAGTTCACAGAACCGGCAAATGCCACCTCTGGCTGGCCCCAAAATGGGGTGAGAATGGAGATTTTGCAATATCCTTCCCCTAGGAGTGGGGTGGGAATGGAGATTTTGCAATATCCTTCCCTTAGGAGTTTAGTGTTTATTGGATTTCTATACCGCCTTTCTCCCAGGGGACTCAGGGCGGTGTACAGCCACATTAAAACACATGAATTTATAAAATTTAAAACCAATTAAAACAAATATATACTATTTGGCCCTCAAATTAAAACACACATACACCCACTTAAAATTCATATTAGGCCAGTCCAGCTTGCTGGATTCAAGATTCAAGGAGTGGGGAGAGAATGGGGATTTTGCAGCATCCTTCCCCCAGGAGTGGGGTGGGAATGGGGATTTTGCAATATCCTTCCCCTAGGAGTGGGGTGGGAATGGGGATTTTGCAGTACCCTTCTCCCAAGAGTGGGGAGGGAATGGGGATTTTGCAGTACCCTTCTCCCAAGAGTGGGGAGGGAATGGGGATTTTGCAGTATCCTTCTCCTGGAGTGGAGAGGGAATGGAGATTTTGGAATATCCTTCCCCAAGGAGTGGGGAGGAAATGGGGATTTTGCAGTATCCTTCTCCTGGAGTGGGGTGAGAATGGAGATTTTGCAGTATCCTTCCACTGCCAGGCCCACCAAGCCAAGCCACGCCTACAGAACCAGTAGTAAAAAAAATGGATTTCACCACTGGAGCAGGGGAATTAAAACATGCAGTGCGTAGAAGACACTTCCTTTAAGATCTGGGATCAATCAGGACTAGAAACCGGAAGTACAGAAGAGGAGAGAGGAGAATTCCTATATAGGACAACTCCTATATAGGAGAACTCCTATATAAGAATTCTCCTACATGCAGGGTTTTCTAGCTCTGGAGGTGGGGAAATCCAGTCATCTGAAAAGTGAACCTTTAATATAAAGTTTTGTTTTGTCAGTCATTACTTTTGCCGTCTGGTCTCCAGGCGAGCGCAGACACATCTTTGCCCGTGCTTTCATTTGGCGGCAAACTCCAGACTCGCTGAAAATTTGCCAGGCGGTGAAGCAATACCTAGAAAGAGATGGAGAGATTAAGTCACGTCCACCTTTAGAAGAAAAGCGAAGTCTTCTAAAACTCCCGTTCCTCAAGGTGATTCCTATTTTCCCACCGTTCCTCAAGGTGATTCCTATTTTCCCATCACAGGGCGAGATCTCCGCCTTGCCTGGTTCCTAAATCATCTGACGCGGCAAGCAAATCGGAAATGAATTTGCACAACTTCTTTCAACCAAGAAGCTCTGGAACCAAGTAAGAAAGAATCCTCCAGATCAGGGATAGGGAACGATGGCCCTTGTGTGACTTGAGGACTTCAACTCCCAGAATTCCCGAGCCAGCAGGGATGGTGAACAATGACCCCTGTGTGACTTGAGGACTTCAACTCCCAGAATTCCATGCTGGCTCAGGAATTCTGGGAGTTGAAGTCCACACGTCATCAAAGGGCCATGGTTCCCCACCCCACTGACCCAGATTAACAGTTTCACAATTTGCAAGCTCAACTCTTTGAGAAGATTGACAGTTGATCCCAAGTTTTGTTGAGTGCCCTACAATTCCTGCACCCCACTCAACATAGGATCACTTACCTCCCCCACTCTGTTTGCCAGGGCAATCAGATCCCTCTTAGGAGACCAGGCCATAAAAGTAACTTCTTGAGGAAGCTGCTTCTCTCCAACTTGCCTGAAAGCCGGCATGGTGGTGGCATCAGTACCTGGAATCCAAAATATATAAACCATGATGAGGGTTAGCTCAGATTAATTGAATCTGTGTGACTGGAGACACTCTGAACAGTGACTGATTGGTTTATTTTTTTTTGGTCTTTTAGTGAGCCTGTAGTCTGTTCCATTGGGGTGGAGTCAGAGAAACTGAATATGTCACAACCGCCAATGTGTGACACCCTCCGGCACGCGATTTATTGAGCTTTTCAACCATGGATAAGTCCAAGAAATGAAAAGTTTCAGAAGAAAACAGAACGTTTAATTCAACTACATATGCTAGTTTTGTGGCCGCTCAAGAAATAGTCAGGCACGGGAAGGGTTTTTGTGGCTCCCGGTGTTTTCTTTTCTGTGGGAAACGGGTCCAAATGGTTCTTTGAGTGTTTAAGGTTGCAGACCCCTGTGATAGACGTATGCATGCGCACACACATACATATATAGAAAGAGAGATGATAGATATGGAAATGGAGATGGAGACAGAGACAGATAATGTAGATCAGTGTTGGCAAATCTTTTTGGCACCGAATGCCAAAATGGGAGTGTGCACGTGGCAGAAAGCAGAAAAGCAGCCACCCAGCGTCCATGTGCATGCCGGGAAGATGATCTTCCGGTTTTCAGTGTGCGCATGTGCACCGGCCACCTGGTTTTCCAGTTTATGGTGCACATCTGTGTATGAAGGCCAGTGCACATGCATGTGCAGGAAACCAGCTCATTTTCCTGGTGCGCACATGTGCACCGGTGGAGGGGGCTACTCTTCCGGTTTCCGCTGCTCCCACGCGCATGAAGACCAGCTGGCCGGCGCGCCAGAACTCGGAAAAGCAACGGGCGACGGCTCGTGTGCCTGGACACATGGCTCTGTGTGTCACTTCTGGCACACGTGTCATAAGTTAGCCATCACGGATATAGATGATAGAGAGAGGTGCTAGAGAGACAGAAAGAGAGAGAGAGATGATGGAGATGGATGAATGAATGAAATGTGTCCACTCAGTCATCAGGAGTCCCGCTCAAATTGGGAGTAATTTTACCTGAAAGCAAGCAGTGAAATTCGGTGCACGGTTCGGCCCTCCAGCCTCCCTCCAGGGAGTCCACTGCAAGGACAGGCGAAGCAAAGGCCTGAAACAGGTTGAAGAGAGTTTTAGAATGGACACCCTGAACTCTTCACCTGCTCTGATCCTGCAGGATTGTTAATTCGGGTGTTCAAGCTCACAACTGGGGGTAGCGGAGGGTGGGCATTTCTTCCCCCCCCCTCTTTAAAACCTAGAGGTAGACAGGCATTAAGAGCTTATCTAGGTTATCAAGGAAGAGGAGGAGGAGGAGGAGGAAGGAAGGAAGAGGAGAGGAAGAAGATGAGGAGGAGATGGTAGCTTTGAAAGGAACCAGAGGGGGAGAAGGAGGAGGAGGAAGAGGAGAGGAGAGGAAGAGGGGGAGGAAGAGGAGGAGGAAGAGAAGAGGAGGAAGAGGGGGAGGAAGAGGAGAGGAAAAGGAGAGGAGGAAGAGGAAGAGGAGGAGGAAGAGAAGAGGGAGAAGAGGAGAGGAGAGGAAGAGGAGGAGGAGGAAGAGAAGAGGAAAAGGAGAGGAGGGAGAGGAGAGGGAGAGGAGGAGGAGGAGGAAGAGACGACGGGAAGGAAGAAGAGAGGGAGAGGAAGACGGGGAGGAAGAGGAGAGGAAGAGAAGGAGATGGTAGCTTTGAAAAGAACCAGAGGAGGAAGAGGAGGCGGAGGAAGAAGAAAAGAAGGAGGAAGAAGAGAAGGAGGAAGAGGAGAGGGGAAGGAAGAAGAGAGGAAGAGGAGAGGAAGAGGAGGAGAGGGTAGCTTTGAAAGGAACCAGAGGAGGGGGAAGAGAAGAGGGGGAAGAAGAGAGGAGGAGGAAGAAGAGAAGAGGAGGAGGAGGAGGAGGAGGAGGAGGAAGAGGAGAGGGGAAGGAAGAGGAGAGGAAAAGGAGAGGAGGGAAAGGAGAGGGAGAGGAGGAAGAGAAGACAGGAAGGAAGAAGAGAGGGAGAAGGAGAGGAAGAGGAGGATGAAGAGGAGGAAGAGAAGAGGGGGGAAATGAAAAGAAGAGGAGAAGAGGAAGCGTCCTTCCCTTCAGAGGAGACCCCCTCCCCGCCGGGCAGAATGGGGTGTGTGGGGGGGGTCTTTCTGCTGAGGAGCCCCCAGCCCCGCGGGGAAGGCTGCCCCAAAAGCGCCTCCTCCGCCCCCCCTTTCCCTCCCCCCCCCCATGTCCCAGGACCACAAACCAGGCGCGCACCTGGCCGGCCGCCTCGGCTCCTCCTCCGCCCGGCTAAGCTCGGCCCACCCGCCCGCCTTCCTTCCTTCCTTCCTTCTGGGCGGCGGAGGCTCCGGAAGCGGCGTCGGCAAGGCCTCCGCCTCTCCTCCCCTCCGCCGCCAGGAGGAAGGAAGAGCAGCGCCTGGGAAGGCCCGAAAGGCCCTGGGGGGGGGAAGGTGGGGGTCTCCTCTTCTCCTCATTTCCCTTCCCCTCTTCTCTTTCTCTTTCTCCTTTTCCTCCTTCCTCTCTTCTTTTCCTCCTCCTTCTTTCTCCTTTCCCTCTCCTTTTCTTCTCCTCTTCCTTTCCTCCTCCTCCTTTCCTTCTCTTCTTCTCTTCCTTCCTCTTTTCCTCCTTCTCCTCTCCTTTCCCTCTCCTCTCTTCTTCTCCTCTTCCTCCTTTCTCTCTTCTTCCTCTCCTCCTCCTCCTTCTTTCTCCTTTCCCTCTCCTTTTCTCCTCTTCCTCCACTTCCTCCTTCCTCTCTTCTTCCTCCTCCTCTCCTTTCCCTCCTCTCCTTTTCTTCTCCTCTTCCTCCTTCCTCTCTTCTCTTCTCCCCTCCCCCTTTTCTCTTCCTCTCCTCCTTCTCCCACTTCTCCTTTTCCCTCCCCTCTTCTTCTTCTCCTCTTCCTCCTTCCTCTCTTCTTCCTCTCCTTGTCCTTTCTCCTTTTCCCTCTCCTCTCCTCCCTCTTTTCCTTTCCTTCCCCTCTTCATCTTTCCTCTCTTCTTCCTCCTCCTCTCCTTTCCCTCTCCTCTCCTTCTCTTCCTCCTTCCTCTCTTCTTTTCCTTCTCCCTCTCCTCCTCCTCTCCTTCTCATCCTTTTCCTGTCTTCTTTCTCTCCTCTCTTCTTCCTCTCCTCCTCCTCCTCCCTCTCCTCCTCTTCTCTTTTCTCCTCCTTCTCCTAAGTTATGACCACAACGGAGCCCAATATTTTATTTTGCTTAAGTGAGATATTTCTGAAATGGGTTTTGCCCCATTTTACAACCCACCCTGCCACAGCTGTTAAGTGAATCGTTGCAATTGTTAAGTGAGTAACAGTTGTTAAATCAACCTGCTTTACCTATTGACTTTGCTGGTTAGGAGGTCGCAAAAGGGGATCATGTGACCCCGGGGACACTGCAACCGTCGTAAACATGAATCACTGCAACTGTCGTAAATATGAGTCAGTTGCCAAGCGGTTCAATTTAGATCATGTGATCATGGGGAAATGCTGCAACGGTCGTAAGTGTGAAAAACGGTCATAAGTCACATTTTTCAGTGATGTAACTATGAGCAGTCACTAAGTGAGCTGTTGTAAATTGAGGATTACCTGTATGTGCCCAAAGACATATTTGACTCTAAAAATATAAACCTTTTCTGTTAATCCAGTGACATCTTTTTAATAGTCAGATTAATAACAAGACAATAATAAACAAAGGAATAAGCACTGAAATGTTTTATTCTATATCTTCTTTTTTCTTTTTCTTGCAGCTTTTGCCTTTTTCCAACATGTTGTCTCCAGAACAATCCTCTTCAATTTCTTCTTTTTCTTGGCCTTTTTGCTATCTCTGCAGAAAAGAAATGAAGGGGGAAGAAGAAAAAAAAAACCAATTGTGGCAAGAAAGGATGAAAGAGATGGGAAAATGGCCTTAAATAAATTAACCACGCTATCAAATTACAAATCTTCGGGACTGTTTGTAGTTTCCAACAGGCAAAAATATCCGCCTGAAACTCCATCGCTTGGTTTACCCAAAATGTTAAGCCATAGTAGGTTAAACCAGATGTAGTGATTTAATAAACCGTGATTATACAATGAAGAGTCACGGGAGAGAATTTTTGTAGCTCAGGGTTGAACTGTGGGGTCCTTGGTGCTCTCTGAGGTGGGTTGTTTTCTTGCAAACGTTTCATGACCCAGATAGATAACGTCATCTGTTGTGACTCCGACTCCTGAGTCTGTCCTCATGGAGGAAGAGGACTCAGAAGGTGAGGGGGAGGAACTGACAAGGCCTCCCTCTCCAGGACCCTCCTCTCTGGCAATGCCTCAGGTTCCATCCGAAGGCCAGGAGGAACAGCCTGGGATGGGCCAGGAGGAAGGCATTTCGGAGCACCCATTGATAGAGAGTGATAATGATGAATCCTGGCTTGATCCCAGACAGCGTCGGAGGGAGAAGCGTGCGCAGCAAAGGAAGAGGCTTGGATTGAGCTGAGTCACTGAGCCACACCCCACAAGGGATAAAAAGGGGGCATGATTGCTCGACAGGCTTTGTGACGGACAAAAGTTTAAACTCTAAAGAGTCACATCGTGAATCCTGCACTTCGGCTCAGATATATTTTGGACTAAACTCTTGTGGATAATTTGTCGCTCTGGAAACGGACTGCAGATAAGGCCTCTCCTGCTTTTTGGGAGTACTAATTGGACTTGGCAGGAGTTTTACAGTTAGCTGCCAGAAATCTTGTCTGCAAGAATTCTGGTCTGTTTATACAATAAATTATTGGCAGGCGTGTTTGATATTGCATTTGTCTGTGTGAGGACGGGGGACAGAACAGGTGCAGGTATCAAATGCAGCATGTAGCACTTGTGATGTTATGTAGTTTGGTCATGAAAAGTCTGCAAGGAAACAACCCAGCTCAGAGAGCACCAAGGACCCCACAGTTGGTGTTGTCCTCTTCCTCCTCTCTGCCAACCCTCCTCCCTTCTAGCACTGATGATGTTACCTACCTGGGTCATAAAACGTCTACAAGAAAACCACCAAGCTCAGAGAGCACCGGGGACGCAACAAGGAAGAGCTCAAAACAATCGGTCTCATTTTGCAGGATATGAATCAGCAGGATATGAATTCCGATCATCAACTTACTGGTCAATTCTGCCGATCCGTTGCCGATTTGGACACGTGGTGCGTTTGTGATCGTCTTCACCGCAAATAAAGCACCCGGCATGAGCTTCTTCGCAAGGGTGAGTGGGAAGAGCGCAGCGACCGCAGATGCTACAGTGAACCCAGGCTACCAAAGGAAGGAAGGATTCAGTCCTCATGAAAAGCAGCAATCAAACGTTCGAATTGTTTTGTCCACAGCTAAACCAGCAATTTGCTGGCTGGGCAAAGTTTGGGAGCTGAAATCCGCAAGCCTTAAAATTGCAATGTTTGAAAAACGGGGCCTTAGAGGGACTGCACTGAAAGTGTTTTTTTTAAAAAAAAACAACTTTGCAGGAATCTACAGTAAAATGTACAGTAAAATGTTTCAGTAAAGCCCCAGACTCAAATATGAGAATTCCTGTTGCTGTTTCTGGACCCTTTGGGAACCATAACTAATCAACATCAAAAGGAGGTCAAATTTCCTAAGAAGATATCCACTGATCTCAGTTAAGGGTGTCTGTGATAGATAGATAGATAGATAGATAGATAGATAGATAGATAGATAGATAGATAGATATAATTAATTAGAGATAGATAGATAGATAGATAGATAGATAGATAGATAGATAGATAGATAGATATAATTAATTAGATATAGATAGATAGATGGATAGATATTGACAGACAGACATAGATAATTAGAGTAGATATAGATTATAGATAGATAGGTAGGTAGGTAGATAGATAGATAATTAGATTAGATAGGTAGAGATAGATAAATAGATAAATAATTAGATAATTAGATATAGATATAAATAATTAGATAATTAGATATAGATAGGTAGATGGATAGATAGATATAGATAGATACAGATAATTGGATATAGATAGATTAGATATAGATAGATAGACAGTCAAAGAGTCATTTTGCCACAAAGCAAAACACTGAAACTTTTTAACAGCCGTTTGATCTTGAATTCTTCTGACCCCAAACTATAAAGTTATTTTAAAAAAACCACAACAACTTACAGGGTTTTACACATTTTTTGCAAAGGTTACAATGAGTCCAACATCTGCCATCCTATTGTGGGGAAGAAAAAATATGTTAATTTTCATATAGATTAAAAGAACAAAAAGGTATCATTTACAATCAAATTATTACAGGTAGTTCTCGACTTACGAACACAATTACTGCCCAAATTTTCGGTTGCAAAAAGAAACGGTTGTCAAGTTAAGTTTGCTCCATTGTACGACGTTTCTTGCCACAGTTATTAATCAACGAATCAATGCAGTTGTTAAGTTAGATAACATAGGTGGAAAGTCCCCCATTGACTTTGCTTGTCAGAAGTTACTGTATTCTACTCTATTATTTTATTCCCTTTTTAATACGTCTGGACTGGCCCACGTTCTTCCCCAACCTCCTCACTGTCCAACTCTGACGGACCACAACAACTCTGAGCTATAACTTTGCCACAAAGTTCTCCTTGCTTCTTCCTAGTAAAATGGAAATAAGAGATCCATCCATCCGAAGACAACATGTTGTAGCCAGGGTGTTTGGGATTCAGCATCCTGATATCTGAATTCCACCTTGCCCCCATCCACTGAAGACAGGAGAACTAAATTAAGGAGCAACCAAGCATCGCAAGAGAACTTCTCAAGGACAGACTCACTTTTGAAGTACAGGAATTGCAGATGTCACAATGCCGATTCTCGGCGCTGACGTATCTCTGACAGACAGGGCAAAACCTGACGGAGAGAAACCAACGAGAAGGTTTTGAGAAAGGATGCGATTAGTCCTGACTAAACAGAGGCTCGGTAAGCCAGGGGTCCCCCCAATCCGTGGTCCGGGACCAGGCCGTGGCATCCCAGAAACCGGTCCGCGCAAACAAGCGAAGCTCCATCTGCGGGATGCAGGCAGCACATGAAACCACGCCCCTTCCGGTCCACGGGAAAAAAACTTTCCACGGAACCGGTGTCTGGTGCCCAAAAGTTTGGGGGGGGGAGGCACTGCGGTAAGCCACGTCAGTGAGTTTTGTGGGTAATTTTTTTTAAAAAAAATAATTTGTTCTCTTGAACGGAGAGTTTACCTGTATCCTTCTTCTGCGGGAAGAACAATCGAACCTGGTGAGAGGTTAGTAAAAATACGAACCGGGGATTGTTTGCGGCCTCTTTTCCCGTGCTTATATAGCGCGTGATTGTCATAATCAACCTAAAAAAATCAAAATAAAAGCAGGAGTAGTAAACGAAAGGGAGGCTGAGAAATCTTCCAGCGTATTGGGGATGGAAAAGTTGAATTGTCTCTCCTATTTTCTACCCTCACCACCTTGAAGGACATAAGCACCATGATCAACCAAGCTTCAGGCCTTAACTAATCCAGTTGTCAGGTTTCGATGCTATCTCAAAATAAATGAATTTCCAAACTGCCGATTTTTGAGGAAATTTTCGCGGTCAGCACTGACCTTTGGCCCCCCAAGCCCTCCCTTTCCGATCCCCAATTCTCTGCGTCTCATTGGCTATCTTCCAAGCCACTCTTCTCATCCCATCTCCGTCAAATCACAGGAATGTCCCCCCCCTCCCCCCATCTCCGAGGAAACAGAATCTTCAAAGGAATTAAGTAGGCAAAAGTTCAAGCTTCTCCTCTCCTTTCACATGTCAGCGCTGGAACGCTGACACCAGTCTTTTAAGTTATGCAGGGACAATTAACTGTGTGAATGTAAGAGAAGGACAGGCAGAGGCAGGGGGTGGAGTCAAGAGAGGAATCAGCCTGGAATCTTTACGTTCCCAGAAAGCGTTCTTGAATTCCATTGACTCTTAGCTAGTGCTAACTAGAAGCTGGACAGCCACTTGTCTGAAATGGTATAGGGCATCATCCATAAGGGCTGGACAGAAAGTTGGATTTGAAAAGCAAAATTTCCTATCATGGGCACATCACACTTATCAGAAATGTTTTAAAGCAGCCGCATCTTTTCCTCGCCTCAGTCCAAATCTTCCTTGGAGAAATTATGATGATAATTTTTTAAGAAAAAAATTAAAGGACCGATTCAATCGATGGTTCAGCACAACCCAAACTAAAGCAAATCCATAATCGGAAGCAGAGAGAGATTCTAGGAGTCTTAAAGAAATTGGCATTCAAATGTGGATAAAACGTTTTTTTACAGATTTCGACAGAGGACTCTTTGTCCTTACCTGATAATCCAACATTGTGAAACTTGGAAAAAATTCAAGAATGCGTGGCTCAAAAAAATACGGAAATATCCAAAGGATAGGTAGCTCTTTGCTGGTAGAAGAACCTAACGAGGAAAAGAAGCAGGGAAGAGATATAAGTACTGTTCGCAATATTTTTAAAAAATAGATATGAAAAATGTGAAAATAGATACAAATAAAAAATAGGTATAAAATGATATAAAATAGATATAAATTTGTGTAAATACAAATAAGATTCTGCAAGGAACAACACAGCAAACAATTTAGGGCTAAAACGATCTATTTTGCAAAAGAAACTTTGCAGCCCACTCTGAACTGTGGCATGCTAGCTGGAAAACTTTAAATGAGTTTTCAGTAGAAGGTAGCCATTAAAGCTGTGAGCCTTTCCTACATCATGTCAAAATCCTAGCTTGTCACCTAGACTAGGGTACGATAGAGTAGAGTAGAGTAGAGTAGAGTAGAGTAGAGTAGAGTAGAGTAGAGTAGAGTAGAGTAGAGTAGAGTAGAGTAGAATGAAGTTCAGAAGAGAAGAGAAGAGAAGAGAAGAGAAGAGAAGAGAAGAAGGGGAGGGGAGGGGAGGGGAGAGAAAGGAAAGGAAAGGAAAGGAAAGGAAAGGAAAGGAAAGGAAAGGAAAGGAAAGGAAAGGAAAGGAAAGGAAGTTAATGGGAAGGGAAGGGAAGGAAAGGAAAGGAAAAGGAAGGGAAGGGAAGGGAAGGGAAGGAAAGGAAAAGAAGTTAATGGGAAGGAAAGGAAAGGAAAGGAAAGGAAAGGAAAGGAAAGGAAAGGAAAGGAAAGGAAAGGAAGAAAGAAAGAAAAGAGGAAGGGAAGGGAAAGAAAAGAAAGGAAAGGAAGTTAATGGGAAGGAAAGGAAAGGAAAGGAAAGGAAAGGAAAGGAAAGGAAAGGAAGGAAGAAAGAAAAAAGGAAGGGAAGGAAAGGAAAGGAAAGGAAAGGAAAGGAAGAAAGAAAAGAGGAAGGGAAGGGAAGGGAAGGGAAGGGAAGGAAAGGAATTTTCTCAGTAGATATTTTCTCAGCCCTCTTTCTGCTTCCTAAGTACCTCAGAAAGAGTTACCTGTGCCTCCTGCTGAGCTCCACATTGCCCTCAGTTTTTGGAAACTAGAAGCCAAGGCCTCCACCAAGCCTCCAAAGGGGGGATCGGCCACCATGACCACGTGCCTCCCACGGTCTTCCTGCAGGAATTCCTCACACACACGGGAAGCAGCCTGCAAGGGAGCCAAGAGAAGGCTGGAATTCTGGAGATCTGGTCTCCTCCACAGTTTTACTCTTTTAAAAGTTATCTTTTAACTATCTTGTATTCCGAATAGAGCTGGAAGGGGCCTTGAAGGTCATCTAGTCCAACCCTTTGCCTGAAACAGAAGACCCTGTACCATTTCAGACAAATGACTGTCCAGTCTCTTCTTCAAAACCTCCAGGGATGGAGCACCCCACAACTTCTGGTGGCAAGGAGTTCCACTGGTTAATTGTTCTCACCGTTAGGAAGTTTCTCCTTAGTTCTAGGTTGCTTCTCTCCTTGATTAGTTTCCATCTATTCTTTCTTGTCCTGCCTTCAGGTGCTTTGGAGAATAGGTTGACCCCCTCCTCTTCTTTGGGGCAGCCCCTCAAATACTGGAAGACTGCTATCATGTCCCCCCTAGTCCTTTTTTTCCCCTAGACTCGCCATACCCAATTCCTGCAAACCTTAATATGTTTTAATCTCCAATCATCCAATCGCCTTCAATCATCTTAAGTTGCTCTTCTCTGTACTTTTTCCCAAGGTCTCAGCATCTTTTTTTGTAACGTGGGGACCAAAACAGGAGGCAGTTATTCCAGGTGTGGCCTTACTAAGGGTTTTATAAAGCGGTACTAATCCTTCACCTGATTTTGATTCTACGCCTCCGTTTTATGCAACCAAGGATTGTATTAGCTTTAATACGTTGTATTAACGGATGCCTTTAATTTCATCAGGGCGCACATATAATGATAAGCAGAGTCATATGAAGGGGTTCAGGAACTGGCCGTCACTCCCCGAATAACCCACTCCCCGCTGCACCAGCGTTGATAAAATGTGCCCAGAATGGCCCTTACCTCTCCAGCAAAGAAATAATGGTTGAACATGTTATAGTGACAAAAGTCCTCCTCGGGATAGAACTGCGAATACCTGTCAAGGAATTGTTTCCGATTAGGTTTACAAATGAGATTTCAGCAATCAAAATGTAGATGGACGATCAGTTGAATTCAACGGATAAAAATGTCTCATTTTTTTCTCCCTTGAAAAAAATTCTCCTTTGGCATTCAGCCACTCAAATGTCTCCTAAAAGTCCATCCATCTGTCCTTCCTTCCTTCCTTCCTTCTTTCCTTCCCTTTTCTCCTTCCTTCCTTCCCTCCCTCCTTCCTTTTTCTTTCTTTCCTTCCTATTTCTTTCCTTCCTTCCTTCCTCTTTCCTTCCTTCCTATTTTCCTTCTTTCCTTCCTTCTCCTCTTCCTCTAAAACCGCTTATAGGGCTGTAAAGCACTATGAAGCAGTATATAAGTCTAAGTACTATTGCTATTGCCCTTCCTTCCTTCCCTCCCTCCCTTCCTTTTCTCCTTCCTTCCTTCCTTCCTTCCTTTCCTTCCTTCCTTCCCTCCCTCTTCTCCTTCCTTCCTTTCTTTCTTTCCTTCCTTCCTTCCTTCCCTCCCTCCCTTTTCTCCTTCCTTCCTTCCTTTCTTTCCTTCCTTCCTTCCCTCCCTCCCTTCCTTTTCTCCTTCCTTCCTTCCTTCCTTCCTTTCCTTCCTTCCTTCCTTGCTTCCCTCCCTCCCTCCTTCCTTTTTCTTTCTTTCCTTCCTATTCGTTTCCTTCCTCATCGTTGCAGGATCTCCATGGTCATCCAAATTCAGACGCTCGGCAATGGACTCGTTTTTACGACAGCTGCAGGGGAAGCCAGGTTCGCTTTACAGCCATGTTACTAATTTAATAACTGCAGGGGATTCACTTAACAACGGTGCCAAGGAAGGTCGTTGAAAAAGGAGCAAAATCCAATTAAGAACCGTTTTGCTTAGCAACGGGAAACGATGGAGAGGCATGGAAAGAAAGCAACTGTTGGGAAAAAAGGAAGAACTCCTGGCGAAAAGAGGACAGCCATCTATCCCATAATAAAAACCTTACCGGAAATCAATATCGAGCAAAAGACTCTTCATGGAGATCTTCTCATGGGAGGAAGCTTCCAACTGGATCAGTTCATGAAGCCTGAAATTGATCAAGGAGAAGGTCAACCTAGAATTAAGGAGAAACTTCCTAACAGAGAGGACAATTAACCAGCGGAACAGCTTGCCACCAGAAGTTGTAAAAATCCCTGGAGGTTTTTAAGAAGAGATTGGACTACCATTTATCTGGAATAGTATAGGACCGCGAGGGCGAATCTGTATTCTGCAACTTTGGCCCCATGTTTGTTCAAGGGCAAAGGCTAAAACGCCATTCTGTCAGCACTTCAAGCTGCATTTACTCTAGTGCTGACATAAGAAGGAGAAGCGGAGGCGTCTGGAAAGGGACATTTGACTTTTCACCTACTTATTTTCCCTGGAGATAATATCCCCTAGGAGATGGGATGGGAGGGGGGAAATTCCTTTGAGCTGGAGCAGTAGATTAGGGGTAGAATGATTTGGAAGATGGCCAATGAGTGCAGAGGAAAGGGAGGGTTTTGGGTCAGGAAGTCTGTGTTGGCTATGATGGAGTCGGAGTTAGAATGTCGTGCTTAACAAATGGGAGTTTTTCATCAAAGACTTTGTTTGAAATGCAATTTATTTGAGACGACCTCGAAACCTGACACATTTGTTAGTTAAGGTCAACTATGGGGGGGGGGGAACACTAAGAGCTCACCTTGGAGTGCCCACACAAAGCACCCGTCGGAAACCTTGCGCCACGAGAAGATCCAACAGGAAGTGGCAACTTCTATCGGTGAAGAGATACTGCGCATTCGTCTTCTTGTTCTCCAGAGCACTGAGGAGTTGGGTAGGTCTTCTCAGCTGGGCCGCCGAGATATCAGAGAGTATTGGATGGCCAGAGTGTCCTTCCCATTCAGATATCAACAGGAGCTGTTGGCATTCTTGGCAAAACTTCCTTTTCGATGGTGGTAGAGCGATGAATTCCTTGTACCTTACAGCAGAAAAGTCACTGGTATAAGGGCATCGCCTTGAAGTTCCCGCCCTTTTAATTGATGTGCCCATCTACTTAGATTTCAAACTTTGGGGGCAATGGCCTTTCTTCTGTTTATGGTACAACGGTAGCTCTTCCTTTCGTCCTTCCCAAAATATTTGCTTCCAACACTGGAAGTATATAGCAGTGGCCAAAATTGTGGAAACCTTCTGGGAAAAGTGTATTTTTGGAGGTTTGATGGCTAATAACACCTCTCTCTTTTTGGGGGAGTTTCAAGATAACCCAATGGGAAATCCAGGGAGCCGACTAAAGAAACTGGTTAGTCAGAAGCGACCCAGCAATAAAACCCAGTTAATAGAAGCCATCATTCAATCTTGGTTTCACATGAGAACAGCTGCAGAACTCAAAGACTTGGTTCCCTCCATGGGAAGACGTTGTAAGGCCGTCATTCATGCTAAAGGTTACTCAACTATTAACTGACATGGTGATAATTTTTGTATATCTCTTTTTTTTTTTAATTTCATTTTTATTATAACATATAGTGATATATTCAGTACATTTTCGGTTCATTGGTGCAATTATATACATATATACATCTACATGCATTATTACTTGTCTTTTATTTGATATTGTTTCTTAAAGCTAGATTTAATTTCAAAACACTTAAAGATAATAGTGCTCAAATCTCTAAGACTAAATGTAATACTATTCATATGGATTTTGTTAATTAATTAATATTTAATCTCTATTTCCTTCTTTATTTCTTTTCCCCATCCATTCGTACCACATGTCCCACACGCTATAAAATTTCTGGTTTCTCTTCAGATCGTATAAATCTTTCGCCTTTTATATCTCATTTTTTTCTATGGTGATAATTTTTGTATATCTTGTTTTTTTTCTACGCGTTTCACTTTTCTTCTTTATCCTGTAACTGCTATTCTAATAGCAAATCCTTCCTAAAAGTTATCGCATTACATTCTTGATTCAATGATCTTTCCATTGATATATAATTTTATGGTACTACTCCAAAAAAAAAAAAAAAAAAAAGTGGTGTTATCAGCTAGTTTTAGAAAATACACTTTTCCCAAAAGGTTTCCACAATTTTAGCCACTACTGTATCTGTAGCTCAGGGTTGAACTGTAGAGTTTTTGAAGCTCTTTAAGCTTCGTTGCACACATTTCGTTACCCAACTAGGTACCATCATCAGTGTGAGTGAGGGTGGGGTTTGTTGTCTGTTTATAAATAGCAGTTACTCATGATGTTGCCTAGTTGGGAAATGAACGTCTGCAAGCAAATATCCACGCTCAGAGAGCGCCAAGAATTCAACCCAACAGAATCAATTTGCATTTCATTATTCCACCTTCGCAACAGAGATGACCATCTATGGAGATCATGGTTGTCCTAAAGGTGCAACTGGACTTTTTGGCTTTTCTTTGAAGACGTTTCGCTTCTCATCCCCAAAAATAAAAGAACTAAAAGACATCAAGGAAACTCTCCGAATGTGTGGTTATCCCAAGTGAGCCTTCATCAAATCCCAAAAAAAGACCTGGCAGGAGTTCCTCCATAACAAACAAAGAGGACAACAATAAACAAAGCAATGTTGTCATTCCACATTACAGGAATATTTGAAAAGCTCAGGATTCTCTTCAGCCAACACAACTTCCATGCAGATTTTAAAGCTAAGAATACATTAAGGCAGAAGCTTGGCCACCCCAAGGATAAAACACCCAGGCACAAACTGAGCAACGTGGCATATGCAGTACGATGCAGTGAGACGTGTACAGATCTGTACATTGGGAAACAAAACAACCACTTCACAAACGCATGGCCCAACATAGGAGAACAAACCCATCGGGACAAGATTCAGTGGGCCATCTGCATTTAAAAGACTGCATTTAAAAAACAACCGTGTTATTAATTTAACAACTGCAGTGATTCACTTAACAACCGTGGGAAGAAAAATTTTGGAATCTGCACATTTCAAAAAAACAGCAATTTTATGTGTACGAGAATAATTCCTCTGCCGCAAGACACATAAAGAATACATTAAGGCAGAAGCTTGTCCACCCCAAGGATAAAACACCCAGGCACAAACTGAGCAACGTGGCATATGCAGTACGATGCAGTGAGACGTGTACAGATCTGTGCATTGGGGAAACAAAACAACCACTTCACAAACGCATGGCCCAACATAGGAGAACAAACCCATCGGGACAAGATTCAGTGGTCCATCTGCATTTAAAAGACTAAGGTCACTCTTTTGAAGACAGAAAAATCCACATTTTGGACAGAGGGGACTGCTGGTTTGGAAGAGGGGTCAAAGAGGCCATCTATGTCAAAATTGAACAGCCCTCTCTCAACTGAGGGGGAGGGATATGACATCATCTATCTCCAGTCTACAACACAGATCCTTTCAGCAGTTTCAAGAAGGCTCCATGGCCATTTGCACCACTCAGGTGACTCTTGAGGACACAGATAAACCTCCAAGTGGCCTCTAAAAAAGGATGCAAATGACCAGCTGTCTACAAGGAGTATAAATCAGGGGTGAAATCCAATTTTTTTCCCTACCGGTTCTGTGGGCGTGGCAGGGGAAGGATATGGCAAAATCTCCATTCGCACCCTACTCCTGGGGGAACGATATTGCAAAATCCCCATTCCCTCCCCACTCCAGGGGGAGGATACTGCAAAATCTCCATTCCTCCCCACTGCTGAGGAAAGGATATTGCAAAATCTCCATTCCCACCCCACTCTGGGGCCAGCCAGAGGTGGCATTTGCGGGTTCTCCGAACTACTCAAAATTTCCGCTACCGGTTCTCCAGAACCTGTTAGAACCTGCTGGATTTCACCCCTGGTATAAATCCTTCCATTTCCCATCATCCAGTCAGAGCGGAAGAAGCTTCTGGGATGAGAAGTGAAACGTCTTCCAAGAAAAATGAGACAGTCCAATTGCCTCTTGAGAAAATTACCTTTGGGACAACGGAGGTGATCAAATTTCTCTTTATAATTCTTAGTTTTTAAGGAATTATCCAGTGCTGTTTACTACAGAGACTTGAATATCTATTTTATGTAACCCAGAAAAACATATTTAATTTTCAACTGATTAATGAAAACAAAGCATTTCAACCCAAACAATACCTTTTTACATTGTCGGAATGAGTTTTAGAGGGCCGATGACTCCGGTTGTATTTTTCCCGTGCTGAAAGACGAGCTTCTGATATCTAAGGAACATGTAGAGGGGAAAAAAGAAAAAAGAAAGAATGAGAAAGAAGTGTGACAGGCAGTCCTCGACTTACAACAGTTCATTTAGTGACCTTCAAAGTTATAACATCACTGGAAAAAGTGACCTATGACCGTTTTTTCACACTTACGACCTTTGCAGCATCCCCATGATCATGGGATCAAAATTCAGAGGCTTATAACCGACTCGTATTTATGACAGTCATTGTGTTCCCCTTTTGCGACCTAACGACGAGCAAAGTCAATGGCGAAGCCCGATTCGCTTAACAACCGTGTTACTAACTTATCAACTGCAGTGATTCACTTAACAACCGTGGGAAGAAAGGTCGTAAAATGGGTGACCTTTCACTTAACAAACGTCTCAGTTAACAACAGAATGTTCTGGGCTCAATTGTGGTCGTAAGTCGAGGACTACCTGTCGTTTAGTTGTTTTCAAGATTTCCGCCAAATGCAAGTTCAATTTATTTTTTTCCTCTGAATTTCTGGTTCAGAAAGAAAAAAAAAATATTTCTAATTTTCAAAGCTTTGTATGTGTATGTGTATATCCCACCCCCTTTATTTTGGAACAACTGATAGATACTTTAGAAAAATTGTTGTTTTTGGTTTTAAACCCCAGAGCACACATTGAAATATGCCCATCTTTACACTTTCGTCTTTTACCTTCTGTTTTCTATCTTCTATACCAGAATTACCAGCAATTTAGAGATTTGTGGGGTTTTTTTTAACCATCCCCAGATTTTAAAATCTGCACATTTCAAAAAAACAGCAATTTTATGTGTACGAGAATAATTCCTCCGCTGCAAGACACATAAAGAATACATTAAGGCAGAAGCTTGTCCACCTTAAGGATAAAACACCCAGACACAAACTGAGCAACGTGGCATATGCCTGGTGGCTCAGCAGACTAAAAGCATTGTGATTAACACCAGCTGTCTGCAATTACTGTAAGTTCGAATCTCACCAGGCTCAAGGTTGACTCAGCCTTCCATCCTTTCTAAGGTAGGTAAAATGAGGACCCAGATTGTGGGGGCAATAAGCTGACTTTGTATAAATATACAAAAGTATGAAGGCTATTGCTTAACGCATTGTAAGCCACCCTGAGTCTCCGGAGAAGGGCGGCATATAAATCAAATTAAAATATATATATATATGCAGTACGATGCAGTGAGACATGTACAGATTTGTACATTGGGGAAACAAAACAACCACTTCACAAACGCATGGCGCAACATAGGAGAACAAGCCCATCGGGACAAGATTCAGTGGTCCATCTGCATTTAAAAGCCTGCATTTAAAAAACAACCGAGTTACTAACTTATCAACTGCAGAAAGAGAAGACGATCCTCCCTTGAAAGGTAAAGGAGGAGTAATTCTGTTAAAACGTCTCGTTTTGACTTACCTTTTCATCTTCCCACTGAAAAAAATGGCACTCTCTCCTTTCTCTACACGCCGAACAAGCGTAAAATCTTCTCCCTTTTCCTTTCCCTGGAAGAATCCTTGCAAACAAAAGAGTAGGACCTAACAAAGAAAATAATAATAATAATCAGAAATGGGAATGTGGAAAGAAACAATAAAACAATTGCAATTTGTCGGACTAGGAATTTGTTTATTGCTCACCTGGGATATTTGGAATTCCTAATAACGTCGTTTCCAAAGGAATAAGGAAAAAGGAACCGTTAAATTAGCTCCTGTTTCAGTCAGTGCTTTGAAAAGGCATCTGAGGACATACAGAACCACAAATGGGAGTCCTCAACTTACAACAGTTCATTTAGTGACGGTTTAAAGATACAACGGCACTGAAAAAAGGGACTTACGGCCGTTTTTCACACTTATGACCATTGAAGCTTCCCCACGGTCATGTGATTTACATTCGGAAGCTTGACAACTGTCTCTCATTTATGACGGTTGTAGTGTCCCGGGGTTACGGGATTCCCCTTTTGCGACCAAGAAGAGACTGGACTGCCATCTGTCAGAAATGGCGTAGAGTCTCCTGTTTGGGCGGGGGGTTGGACTAGATGACCTACAAGGTCCCTTCCGACTCTGTTAAACTGTTATCCGACCTTCTGACGAGCAAAGTCAACGGGGAAACCAAATCCACTTAACGACTAAGTTACTAACTTAAACAGCCGCAGTGATCCACTTAACAACTGCGGCGAGAAAAGTCGTAAAACAGGGCAAAACCCACTTAACAAATGTCTCACTCAGCAACATAAAATTTTGGGCTCCATTGCGGTCGTAAGTTGAGGAATACCTGTACACCTTTCCCATATAGACAACCTGAGGGATACATGGATGAGAGGAACAGCTCAGAGAAACAGATGGACGGATTTGAAAAAGAAGCTAACGATTAGATGGGTTGCAAATGAGTGCAAGTTGAAATACAGGTAGTCCTCGATTTACGTCCAAAATTGAGCCCAGCACTTCTGTCACTAAGCGAGACATTTAAGTGAGCTTTGCCCCACTTTACGACCTTCCTTGCCACAGTTGTTCAGTGAATCCCTGCAAATGTTAAAGTTGGTGACACGTTTTGTTAAGTGCAAGAGTTATATTAGTCATCTGGTCGTTAAGTGAATCTGGCTTCCCCCATTGACCTTGAAGGTCACAAAAAGGGGACCGCGTAACCCGGGGAACGCTGCAACGATCATAAACGCGAGTCAGTTGCCAAGCATCCAAATATAAATCACATGACCCCCCCCGTGGGGGGGGGCTGCAACGGTCGTTAAGTGTGAAAAATGGTCCTCCATCCCGTTTTTTTTCCCGCGCCGTTGTAATTTCGGTCACTAAAGGAAGCGTTGTAAGTCGAGGACTGCCTGTAGACAAATAAAAAGAGAAATTTATGCAATCGCAGTTCATTTGGAAGGACTTTATAAATAAGGCATCAAATAAAAAGAAAATGTGGGCGAGCAAGCAAAACACACACACACACAGGGTGCAAACTCTCCATCTTTAAGCAATTGGGGTGCATCTCCAGCTGTCTCCTGCCTACCTCGCAGGGTTGTTGTGTAAGGGGGCGGGACCAAAAAAAAAAGGCAACCGACCAATCCGATGCCTCCCGGGCTCGACCCTCCCAGGCCTATTAACTCACCATGCGGGCATTCGGGCGCCGGGGCTGCGTGGGAACCGCGTTCGAGCACCACCGTCACCCCGTCCGCCTGCGAGGCTGCCTCCATCTCGGGTCGCTTCCCTGCCTCGCGAGGCCCGCCTAACAGGAAGCTCTCTTCCCTTTTCCTATCTCTAGGAAATCGCCCCTAGGCTTCTCACAGCCGCGACGCCCCGCCTCTTCCGGTTTCCTTTGAAATCCCTAGACTTTTAAAGTATAGACAAGCCTCCCGTTTTGGAAAGCGGAAAGGAGCGGTGGCGGGACGCGCAGTCCAGAAACGGATAGACTTGAAGCTATGAAAAGTGAGGCTGCATCATTTTAGCCCAAGTCGTTAATTTCTGATTTTTCAACGGAAAAAGACTTAAAAAAAAAAAAATTCTTTCAATATCCTGCTTGGTGCTTAAGGAAACTATTTTATAGGCTCGTTAGATCAATCAATCTTCTCCCCTTTTTAAATGTAAATTTTTAAATGTAAATTTTAATTTGTTTTAAATTATGGGGTATTTTGAATTCAGCCAAATTATTTAATTCGTTTTTAATTCATTTTAAATTTTTTGTATTTATGTGTTTTATCTCGTGGCTGTTCACCGCCCTGAGTCCTTTGGGAGAAGGGCGGTATAGAAATTTAATAAAATAAAATAAATAAATAAAATAAAATAAATTAAGGCTGCGTTTTAACTTCAATCGTAGCAACTTTTCAAACATCTGGACTTCAACTCCCAGAACTCCCCTAAACTGGGGGATTCTGGGAATTGAAGTCCAGGCATCTTTTTAAAACTTTTTTAACTTAACTTTAGAGAAAGTTAAGAGGGGGTTAAGTTTTATTTGCTATTATTTGGTCATTAAAACAGGCTGCATCAGTGTTTTTCGAACTTGGCAGCTTTTAAGAGGGGTGGACTTCAATTCCCAGAATCCCCCAGCCAGCTAACCTAGGGGAATCCTGGGAGTTGAAGTCCACCCCTCTTAAAAAGCTGCCAAGTTGGAAAAACCACTGAGCTGCATGAAGGCGATTTAAGAATCGGACTTCCTAAATCACCTACATCCTCAAATTAATGTTCCATTAATCTTCCAATGGCAAAGAGACCCATTTTGCTGGCTTGCCAGAGATTTCGTCGGCTACCTGTGGTAAGTACAGGTAGTGGAGTGGTGTGGAGCTCTTGCCTCACAATCAGGAGGCTGTGAGTTCGATCCTAGGTAGAGGCAGCTATTTCTCTCTCTCTGGGCACCGTGAGAATATTATCTGCTGAACAAAACTCCGCACTGGTGACAGGAAAGGCATCTGGCCATTAAAACACTCTGCTAGCTCCATTCAGTTGCCCGGACTCCACCTGGCAAGGGATTATGGGGTTGTTAAAAGATGATTGAGTACAGGTACTCCTCAGCTTACGACAATGGAGCCCAAAAATCTCTGTTGGTCAGTGAGGCAGTTGTTAGGTGAATTTTGCTCCGGTTTATGACCTTCCTTGCTGCACTTAAGTGAATTACTGCACTTGTTAAATTAGCAACACGATTATTAAGTGAATCTTGGCAGATGGTCACAATCCTGTTAGATCACAGGAACCCGGGACATTGCAACCATCGTAAATACGAGTCCATTGCCAAGCGTCTGGATTTGGGTGATCACGGGGATGTGATAATGATCGTACGTGTGAAAAATGGCCGTTAAGTCGTTTTTTTTCGGTGCTGTTGTAACTTCGGTCACTAAATGAACTGTTATGACATTGAGGACCACCTGTGAGTGAGTCTTCATTCAATTAATCAGGAGGGAGAGACAATGCAAATTAGAAGCTGGTTTTTGATTGTCTTACCTTTACATTATAAGTAACTCAAGGAGGGGAACGTATGTATATATAATGCTCTTTCTTCTTTCTATCTTCCTCATAACAACCAATCTGTAAAATAACTTGGGTTGAGTGTCCCAGAGTCACCCAGCCAACTTTCATGCCGGAGGCAGGACTAGAACTCACAGTCTCCTGGTCTCTAAGACAGCACCTTAACCTCCATGCCAAATTACACTGCTGATTACATCAGGATCGTTAAATGTTAAAAAAAAACCAGGGGTCGTTAAATTTATTTATTTTATTTTAATTTAATTTGTATACCGCCCTTCTCCCAAAAGGGACTCAGGGCGGTGAACAGCCAAAATTAAAATACATACAATACAAAAGTTAAGATAATTAAAAGAAATTAAATCAATCGGCCTCCCAATTTAAAACCCCAAGTATATAAAATTTAAAAATCCCCTCCCAATGAAGATGATGATGGTTAGATCAGGAATCCTCCCAAGATTTGGATAAAGAAAAAAAAAATAACTTGAGCTCCCCCTTTTAAGCCAGTTTTTATATGCAAACTATTAAGAGAGGACTTAATACATTGCGATCTGTAAAAATCACATTCAGGAGCAGTGCTTCGGAGTCAGTTTTTTCAATCATTTCACAGGAAAGCATGCTACTGTTGATTTGGTGATCTCTTTGGAGATCCTCTTTGCAATGCCGTGCTCTTTGGGTAGCGTTAAAAGATCAGAAAACACAAGATTTTTAATTGAAACAATTCGCTTTAATGATAAAACCATCAGGCTGGCTAAAAGTGTTGTCTTGTTACACCGAGTGCTAAGAACATGGAAGATAGCAGCAGGACAAATACTACAAATGGGTAAAATGAACCTCATCTTAAGAAGGGAAGGTTCTCTGTTCCAGATGTTTCTCTCCAACAATAGATTAAATGTAAGCGGACAGTTGTGGCAGATCTGCAGCAGCGTAGACCTGCTTTTTATTGTTTGGGGAAAGCAAAGTCCGTCCTTTTTTTTTTTTTTTTTCATTTTAAATAGTTTGCAGGAATGGATAAAAACTGAAATCAGAATAAATTTATAAACCCGCAATACAGTAAATTTTCAATATTAAGGCTTATGCATTTTAGAATATCAAGTAAATTATCCCAACAGGCTACATTGGTTCAACAAACATTAAAAGAAATAGCAATGCAAGAACAAGGGGGGTATTGCTCAGCAGTTAAAGATACAGCATTTCTGAGAAAGCTAGGCACAACTTTAATCCCCCAAAAAACCCTTATTTTTGACACAGACGTTTTGAGCTTCGAACCCTGAAGTTTAAAACAAGTTTTACTAAATTCTTGGTAAGTGTAAAGTTACATGGATTATCATTCTTGCAAGTGATCAGCTAAAGCCAAGTGCAAAGTTTAGAGCGGTTGAAGGAATCGCCTGACAACAAAATAATCAAAAATGATTTTTCTGATTTGCAAGTTTTTGATCTCCTCGAGACCAAAATAGTGGTGTTAGGAAGAGGCAGCAACGTACCAGTGAACTTTGGTTTCAAGTTAGTCGATTTAATTGGCTTTGGTAAAAGTTTCAAAAACCCCAATGCCACTGACAAAATTGCAGCAGAAATATTGTTCTAACAAAATACAGTATTTCCCCAATTCATCATCCTGACAAAAGAATCACAAGACTGAAAGCATGCATTTATCAATACCTATAATCTCACGGGTGGTGGGGAAAAAAAACACTTATGTTCCTTTTTTTTGTAACGTTTTCCCTCATCCGGTTCTTGGTCCAGAAAACCAACAATTCTTGGAATGTGTCACTTCTTGGTGCTAAGTAAAACCAGTCTTTCAAAAGTATATCTTTAAACATCAACAAAGTCATCCGTAATTGGCTCAATTTTTTTTTTTTTTACACAGAAAACACAAAAAACTGAGAAGGCATGAAAACTGTGTTCCTAAAACCGTGTATTCCCCCAAAGAAAAAGCCACACATTTGTAAATAGCAATGGTCAATTGTTTGTTTTTGTTTTTGTTAAGTACAGATGGAGCTCGTAGCTAAAAACCCAGAGATAAGCTGTGCAATAAATTAGGCATGCAACCGTGGGGAAGAAGCACTGGCCAAGGGCTCCATTCCTTTCCCAAATCAAACAATACACAGTGGAGCAGATGCTAAGTTGCACTTAGAACTGCCTGCCTTCAGCGCAAAGGTGGTGTGAGAACTATGACATCATTACAGTATGTTTCCTCTCTACAAATATGCTTTTTTAACCCACCTGCAAGCCCTTTATTTTCCAAACGCAGACAGGGTGGGATTGGCCCCTGTGGAGTAGGTTAAGATGACGGAGAGGCATCTATGTAGTGGAATAAAAGGCCAGGCATTTCAATCCTATCTATAAAAATTAGATTATAATTTCTGATATTGTAGGCAACAAAATCTTTCCCCCCCCCCCCCAGATAAGTCAAAAGTAGTCTTTGGCATCTGTAAACTTTTATTCCCCCACCCCTTTCCAAAAGTAAATAAACAAAAAACAAAACAAAACGTCGAACCGTCTATAAAAAATAACAGTTTAGGACAAGCTCCTTGTTTCCCTGATGTAAAATTTCACAATTTTAAATAAACTGTAAACGGAGTACATTCAATATATAAAACGTCTTGAGGTTTTGGCAGTCCAGCATAGGGAGGGGGAGAGAGAGAGAGGGAGGGAGATCAGAGAGGAAAAAAAAATATTTGGAAATCTTTACGAAGTAGGACATCTTGCTAAACTAAAGGTCTTTAACTTGTCTTTTACCAGGAGGAGAAAAAAGGCTTCCGGCTGTGAAAAGTCTGAGTAAATGCATTGCTCAAGTGAACGATCCTTCCTTGAGTTCCACCGTGGCTTCTCTCCACTATCACCCGAGGCATCTGGACCAGTTGAAGAGGACTTCTGCCATCCTTTAAGGCCTGAGTGAGATTAAGGATCTGCAAAAAAAGGAACGATGCGAAGATAGAAAATAGTACTTTTATGAGCTTAGCCCTAACGCTGGCAGAAATTGTCTTATCTTAAAAGCTATGCGTTCCCTATGGTAACACGGACACGAGACGCACACAGCTGTTATGTAGTTCATGGAACTACGTCTACGTGGAGGGAACTGGGGTACCCCAAGGCTCCGTTTTAGGACCAGTATTCTTCAATATCTTGGAGCGGTGTGGTGGCCTAGAGAGGTGGAGCTCTCGCCTCACAATCAGGAGGCTGTGAGTTCGATCCTAGGTAGAGGCAGATATTTCTCTCTCTGGGCACAATGAGGATACATCTGCTGAACAGAACTCCGCACTGGTGACAGGAAAGGCATCCGGCCATTAAAACACTCTGCTAGCTCCGTTCAGTTGCCCAGACTCTACCACGCAAGGGATTATGGGGTTGTTAAAAGAAGATGATGATGATGATTCTTCAATATCTTCATCAATGATACAGGTAGTCCTCGACTTACAACAGTTCGTTTAGTGACCATTCAAAGTTACAACGGCACTGAAAAAAGTGACTTAGGACCATTTTTCCACACTTATGACCAATGATCACGTGATTTACATTCGGAATCTTGAACAACTGACTCACATTTATGATGGTTGCAGTGGGGGGTGGTGGTGTCAGGCGATCCCCTTCTGCAATCTTCTGAGCCAGATTCACTTAACAACCGGATTATTAATTTAATAACTGCAGTGATCCACTTAACGAACGCAGCAAGAAAAGTCATAAAATGAAGCAAAACTCACTTCACAAATTTCTTACTTAACAACAGAACTTTTGGGCTCAATTGTGATCGTAAGCTGAGGACTACTTATAATGAATGAAACAAGTTGTGTACTAAAGTCTAGGAAGAAAAAAAAAAACCTAGGTTCTATACTTAACTCAGAAGCAACAGCTACAATTATATATGAGGCAGAGATACGAATTTAAAACCCATCGTCCAAGAGAAAATCTCCTTACCTGCCCTCTCATGACAGACATTTGGTTCTCAAATGTAGCTTTGTCAAACCCCTTGTCAGTCTTTATTGGAAGAAAAATAAATTGATTTGAGAAACCTTCATAAGTCAAATCAGATCCACCTATAAATAACCAGACTTAAAATAATGAGAAAGTATACCAAACCATTAAAAAGCTTGTACAAAGTCCAATTAACTTTCCGTATTTTATTTATTTATTTATTTATTTATTTATTTATTTATTTATTTATTTATTTATTTATTTATTTATTATATTTCTATACCGCCTTTCTCCCGTAGGACTCAAGGCGGTGTACAGTCAAGAAAAATATAGACACACAAACATCATAAAATTGCTAATTAAAATTATTACTTAGTTTGGTCAATCAAATAAAAACTCAGAATTAGATAACATTTAAAAAATCATTCACACGTTTGTATGTTTAGCCCCGCCTGTTGGAACATCAGGGTCTTGAGGGCACGGCGGAAAGCACGGAGATCAGGGATATTCTGTATCTCAGTTCATTCCAAAGGGTTGGAGCCCCCACAGAGAAGGCCCTCCCCCTCGGAGTCGCCAGTCGGCATCATTTGACTGATGGTACCCTGAGTAGTCCCTCCCTGTGAGAACGAACTGGTCGGTGGGAGGCTATTGGTGGCAAAAGACGGTCTTGTAGGTACCCAGGTCCTAAGCCATGGAGCGCTTTAAAGGTGATAACTAACACCTTGAATCGCACCCGGAAGACCACCAGTGCAGCTCACGTAGGAGAGGTGTTACATGGGCGTAATGAGCTGCGCCCATAATCACCCGCGCGGCTACATTCTGGACCAGTTGGAGCCTCTGGGTGCTTTTCAAGGGGAGCCCGATGTAGAGAGCATTACAGTAGTCCATACGGGAGGTAACTAGGGCATGAGTGACTGTGCGCAAGGCGTCCCGATCCAGAAAGGGACGCAACTGGCGGATCAGGCATTTTGACATTTCACTGTATTTTACAACTTAGAACACATATGTTATAGAACAAATATGCACGAGTCTGCGTTATTCTGCCATGGCGGTGCTACTTTAAACAGTTTCGCCCAAAATTACTTTTGAAAATTTACCTTAAAAAGTTCATAAAGATCTTCACAGAGGTCCTGTACAAAATTCATGTCAGAAATACGAGGAAGTATCAAATCTATTGTCTCTTGAGAAAAAGGGACCTTTGCTTGCGGAAGCCAAGCCCAGTGGAATGGATCTGAGAGACGGGGAAGAGACAAAAAGAGATGCTTCCAAATAAACAGGTGGAATTTTCAACTTTTCAGGCGTCATGTTCAATTTATTGACTTTTAAGTCAATTTCCTCATGCACGTAATCCTTGACTCGTGACCACAATTGGAACTGTAATCTTGGTCGCTGGGTTGAAGCGACTGCGCTTCAGTCAATGAGCACAATCCCGGCACACCAGGTTGGGGTTGTTAAACGATCACTTGGGTCGTTAAGCAGATGGGAGTCCAGGGGAAAGAGCCTCAGGGAGTTGGGAAGAGATCCCGGGAGGATCCACTCAAGAGCTGAAAATCTTCCCTGCCAAAATCCCAGCAGGGTTTTCGGCCCCTGAGCTCCCAGCCATTTGCCAACAAGGAAATTCAATCTTAACATCTGTGTGATTCATTTAATGACTATAGTGATCTGCTTATCAACCATGGCAAAAAGAAGTGCTGAGATTTGCTTAACGACCGACCTCATTCAGCAACAGGAATCCAGGTCCCAATTGTCGTCGTAAGTCGAGGACTACGTGTATAAACATATTTTTATCTAATGGGAAAAATTCAGAAGGCGCATCCTAGCAATCTTGGCCTTAGAAATTCTTAAAGGTGTGGTTATTCGACCCCATGAAGTTGTGTATTCTTCCCAACTTAAACAAAACAACAGACTGTCCTTCACATGAGACAGGTTAATGTTACCCAATTATGCATTTTGCACATCTATTTTGTCAAGTGACAAAATAGATGCACAAAATGCATAATGATCAATTACGTATAATTGATAATCAGGTGTAACAAATGTGAAACTACTTCGAGAGCTATATAAGCCCTGATCTTTGCAATGCAAAATCCTATTAATCATTTCTGTTCACGTGAAGTTAACAACTTCAAAGAAAAGCATGAATGCCTGCCTTATGTTTGCTAGGTGGATATTATTTATTATTTAGTGTATTGGATTTTTATCCCATGTTTATTACTTTATAAGTAATCCAAGATGGCAAATATATATAATAGTCCTTCCTCCTCTTCTTTTTCCTCCCAACAACACCCAGTGAGGTGGATTAGGCAAGACAGAGTGACTCAAAGTCACCAAGCTTGCTTTCACCCTAACGCAGGACTAGAACTCACAATTTCCTGGTTTCTAAGCCAGCACCTTAACTTTACGCTAGTGTCCATCTGTAGATATAATAAAATCTGCTAATAGCAATACTTGCAATCTCATGCCTTCTCATCTAGAAAAATTCAAAAACTCACACGCTCTCCACTCATCCGGATGCTTGAAAGGAAAAGCGAGGCCATTATCAATGGCTGCAATTTTAATAATAGGTTCCTTTTCATTAATCCACTGGATCTCCTATTGGAAAACAATTAACAAAAAGCAAATTCAAAAGTACCCTGTTTCCCCTAAAATAAGACATCCCCTGATAATTAGCCCAATCAGGCTTTTGAGCGCATGCGCTAAAATAAGCCCCCCACCCCAAAAATAAGCCCTCCCCGAAAATATTTAAATGCATGTACAGTCGCTCTCCGCCATTTCCTCTGGTTAGGGTTAGGGAGACAGAGCTGGAAATCAGGTAAGATGGCAAGAGGAGCCCCGTCTTGCTCCATGCGCCCCAAAATAATAAGACCTCCCCAAAAATAAGGCCAAGCACTTATTTAGGGGTTCAAAAAAAATATAAGGCAGGGTCTTATTTTCAGGGAAACATGGCAATCAATACACACCTATTTAACATAGAAACAAAAACTAACATTTGAACAGAATATTAAGCCTGCGCAATATATCTCATGCAATATTCTTTCCAATTTATAATTCGGCGATCATCTAGCATGAGCATATAAAATTGATGATTGAGGAAGCATTACACATGATTTAATTCTATCTTATTCCATAAGAACACGGGATAAGAAAGGATTCTTTATAAAATCCATAATCGGATACATAACTGAACACAAATCACAACAATAATTGATCATTGCGGCATCCCTAGGATCAAAGCAGAAGAGCCCTTGTCCGTCCTACCTTGTCAGAGAGATCAGTCCCATCGCTCTGTTTTTCATACTTCACTAGCCAATTATCGTTGCCTCTATCTTCAAAGAAATTAAGGAGAATCACAGTTAAATGAAAGGCAAGGGAGCTGCGGTAAAATCTGCCCCAGTCAGGACATACAATAATGGAATAGCTTGCAATATTGAAAGATCTGGGCCTGTTATATTTAAACAAATTGCAGGTTGAATTTTTTTAAAGAACAAATTGCAGGTGACTCCGGGACACTGTGACCGTCATAAATACGAACCAGATCCCAGGCGTCTGAATGTAAATCACGTGACTGTGGGGATGCTGCAATGGTCGTTTAAGTGTGAAAAATAGTCCTAAGGCACTTCGAACGGTCACTAAATGAACTGTTGTAAGTTGAGGACTACCTGTATTAGTCTACCAGCCTAAAGGCAGTGATCATTCAATATAGATCATTTAAGCCTTAAAGAACATGGACATTTCCTAGCCCATTTTCCTCTACTTGAATTTGATCAGAATTCAAGGGTAACATCTGCACTACTATTAATCTTCTCATCGTTCCCATCACTCATCTCCTCCCACTTATGACTGTCTGACTGTAACCTTGTTGCTGGTATCCTTATGATTTATATTGACTGTTTCCCTATGACTATCATTAAGTGTTGTACCTTATGATTCTTGACGAATGTATCTTTTCTTTTATGCCTCTGAGAGGGTAAGCACCAAAGACAAATTCCTTGTGTGTCCAATCACACTTGGCCAATAAAAAAATTCTATTCTATTCTATTCTATTCTATTCTATTCTATTCTATTCTATTCTATTCTATTCTATTCTATTCTATTCTATTCTATTCTATTCTATTCTATTCTATTCTATTCTATTCCAGACGAAAAGAATAATAATAATTGAAAATGTTTTAAATTATGGGCCAAATTTTATTTAATTATTTTTAAAAATTATTTTAACTTTTGTGTACAAATGTTTTTATTTTGGCTGTTCACCCCCCTGAGTCCGAAAGGAGAAGGGCGGTATACAAATCTAATAAAAGATAAAGATAAAGAAAAAACCCTATTACATACCAGTATTTCTGATAACATAATCAAGCACAACCAGTTTCTCAAACTGGGACTGAAACTGTTTCCTTGTGTTCTCAGGCAAGGGGTCGGTTTCAAATTTCCTGAGCCAATAATCAGCCTCTTTGTAACCTTCCACGAAAAGCTGAAAGGAGCCAACCTGCCATTTAAAATAAAGCCTGCATTTATGAAATGGACCTGGAGGCATAACGCATTTGAAGCGCCCTTTATACGTGAAAGCCAAATAAAGGTATTAAAACAAATGTCCTTCCTAAGTACAGCCATGAGCTTAATCAATAGGTATAAAAATAACATTTATCGGGAAAGAAGATTCCACTGCTAACTTATCAAATTACAGTTGGCTTGAGAATAGCCTTTCAAAATGTATATTTAATCTGAACCTGCAAGTTAAGACTCAAAAGGCCCAAAAGTCCTCTGATGCATGGGGAATTTGAGAAACAGGACTGAGTTTGGTCTGTGTTTTTTGTATTTCTTAAGTTAAAAAAATAATAATAGAGTCTATTGAGGAAATAAGTCTTCTAGCTTCACCGTTCCTTGGTGGGGTAAACAAAACTTTACTGTCTTTAATGTTACATCAGACTTAAAAGTCTATAGAGATTCTCCATCATCCAGGTCAGAGTTGTCCCAAAGATGCTTTTTCAGGAGGCAATTTTGAAGACGTTTCGCTTCTCATCCAAGAAGCTTCTTCAGATGACAGGATAGCGGTGAATGGAAGGATTTATAATATAGAAAATGGAAGGAACCCTAACCCTATCCTGTCAGAACTGAAGAAGCTACAGAGGAATGATTGAGTCTGTCATCTGCACCTCCATCACTGTCTGGTTTGGTTCTGCAACCCAACAAGACAGACACAAACTTCAGAGGATAATTAGGATTGCAGAGAAAACAATGGCTACCAACCTGCCTTCGATGGAGGACCTGTCTACTGCAGGAGTCAAAAAGAGGGATGGGAAAATATCTACAGACCCCTCGCATCCTGGACATAAACTGTTTCAACTCCCACCCTCAAAACGACGCTATGGAGCACTGCACACCAGAACAACTAAACACAAGGACAGTTTTTTCCCGAACGCCATCACTTTGCAAAACAACTAATTTCCTCAACACTGTCAAACTAAATCTGCACTACTATTAATCTTCTCATTGTTCCCATCACCCATCTCCTCCCACTTATGACTGTATGACTGTAACTTTGTTGCTTGTATCCTTATGATTTATATCGATATTGTGTCCCGATTGCTTATTTGTACCCTATGATTATCATTAAGTGTTGTACCTTATGATTCTTGACGAACGTATCTTGTCATTTTATGTACACTGAGAGCGTATGCAGACAAATTCCTTGTGTGTCCAATCACACTTGAACAATAAAGAATTCTATTCTATTCTATTCTTGGATGAGAAGCTAAACATCTTCAAAAGAAAAAAAAAACCAGAAAGTCCAGTTGCCTCCTGAAAAACCATCTTTGGGATCAGACTTAAAACTTTTCCTTATTATTTATATTTTACTACTTACAAGTTATGCCAGAGCAGGAATAGAAGCGAAGAACAAACCACACACCCCCACCAAATAAAATTGAAGTGGGGAACATTTTTCAGGGCTGCCAAGGGGTTTACCTTAGGAGGTAGTCCAATTCGATGAAACTTTTTGCCAACTTTTGGCACTTTTTCCAAAGCGTATTTCTTGCCTCTCGACTTGGCCCGATCTATTGCACTGTAGTTGAACGTCTCGCTTACAAACCAGACCACCTGAAAGACAGACAGTGGAATAACGTTTAACATTTTCAGGGCGACAACTGTATTCATTGTATCCACCTCTTCATTGAGCTGTGCAGGTAGTCCTCGACTTACGACAGTTCATTTAGTGACCGAGGTTACGGCAGCACTGACAAAAGTGACTTTTGACCGGTTTTCACTGACTATTTTGGCATCCTCGTGCGTTCAAAATTCAGACGCTTGGCAAGCGGCTCAGATTTATGACCGTTGCAGCATCCTGGGGTCATGTGATTCTGACAAGCAAAGTCAAGGGGGAAGCCAAATTCACTTAACATCCAGGTTACTAACTTCACTGCAATGATTCGCTTAACAACTGCAGCAAGGAAGGTTGCAAACTGGGGCAAAACTCAGTTAACAAATGTGTCACTTAGCAGCAGAATTTGTGGCCGTAAGTCAAGGACTCCCTGTATTTTGTCTTTAGGCCTTCTAGCAATAAACAAAGATCAAAATGTTTATCTCAGAGGTCAGAGGAGAATCAACCGAGGCTTCTTGGTGGTTTCATTTGAGGCAACCTCTGCTGTAGTTGCTTGCTTGCATTCCAGCAACATTTTTATTAGGCCAGTTTCGGAGAATTACAACAACAAAATTGCAAGTTGTCAAATTTCCAAGCTGTTGCAAAAAGGAGGAGTGAAAAAGTGTGCAGTAAAGGGAGAAAAGGGAGTGGCTGGATCCACCCTGAAAGCTGCATGGTTAAGAGTGATGATGGCACCTCTGTATCTACAGTAGCAGCATATTGATAAAATATACACAAAATTCCAACTGGACCCCCAGGCCAAGAAAGGAAAGGGCCCCTCCCATACGCTAATTTCCTGCCTCACGCTGACATTTCCATCAAATTCCACCAAATTCCCACAGAGACCAATAGGAGCCAGCAGTGGCAGCCAAAAAATCCAATGCAATGCTAAATTGCATTAACAGAGGGATACAATCAAGATCAAGGGAGGCACTAATACCACTCTGTAAAGCCTTAGTAAGATCACACCTAGAGTACTGCATCCAGTTTTGGTCACCACACTATAAAAAAGATGTTGAGACTCTAGAAAAAGTGCAGAGAAGAGCAACCAGGATGATGAGGGGACTTCAGAAGTTGTGGGAGCTTCATCCCTGGAAGCTTTCAAGAAGAGACTGGGCTGCCATCTGTTAGAAATGGTGTAGGGTCTCCTGCTTGGGTGGGGGGTGGGGTTGGACTAGATGACCTCCAAGGTCCCTTCCAACTCTGTTAAATCTGTTAACTCCAAAATTCAAAGCTATTCTCCCAGTCTGAACATTAGTTTAAAAGGTTTTAATTCAACGTGTGTTTACAGTTTTGACCACGAATTCTTTTCTTCATGCTCAATTGATGTTGCAAACCACTCTTACCTTCGTTTTGGGTACCACTCCTAATCCTAGTTTGCTGTCCACAAGATAGGCACCAGCTTCGGAGAGATATCCCTGATTAGGAACAAGACAGCCTCTGCCAAAGCAGCAAGGGCAACAGATTTTGTGGAAATATTTGGTCCATTTTGGATTGAGATGACCGTAAGGCTCTTCAGATTTGGGTTTAAACACTCCAATACTTTTCTAAAGGAGAAAAAGGAAGAATGAATAAGGAATCATAAGGAAAGGAATCAGAAAAGTGTGCACTTCTTTGCTAGTCGTATATAGAAATAGTTTACAAAAACATATATTTTAAATTTTTTTCATCCCGCCTTTATTAGTTTTATTAATAACTCAAGGTAGCAAAAATATCTAATGTTCCTTTCTCCTGTTCTCCTCAGAACAATAATTCTGTGAGGAGAGTTGGGCCAGAATGGGCCAATTTGCTGCAGGACAATTTAACAATTCTAATTATTTAAAATAAATAAATAATAATTTAATTTTGCCCATTCATTCTGTCCCTCCCTTGGCATCCTTTCTTTAATGATTCTGTTCCACCATTTCTTTGATATGAGTGTAACTCTTGTCCCGCGTTGAGTTGTCCCAAAGGTGAGTTGGCCACAGCAAACAGCCATAGATCCAAAGAGTGATTGGCCCAAAGTCATCCACGTTGGCTTTCCTGCCTAGCGGAGGCTTTCCTGCCCAGCTTCTTCATTTCCACTAGACAAAACGGGCTTGGAAGAGAAGCCTTTGTGGCCTTGGTTGACTAAAGCTACCTGGTGATCTAAAATTCAATGTCACTACAGGTAGTCCAGTTCATTTAGTGACCGTTGGAAGTTACAACGGCACTGGAAAAAGTGACTTCGAACCGTTTTTCACACTTACGACAATTTCATTTGTGTGATCCCCAAGGTCACACAATCAAAATTCGGGCACTTGGCAGCTGACTCATATTTATGTCCTGGAGTCATGTGATTACCATTTGTGACCTGACAAGCAGAATCAAGGGGGAAGCCAGATTCACTTAACAACCGTGTAACTGACTTAACAATTGCAGCGATTCAGTTAACCATTCTGAGAGGTTAAAAGTGACGTAAAGTCAAAATACAAGTCGAGCATCAAAATAGAAAGGGTTCAGATTTTTTTGCAACTTCACCTTCCAAAACAAATACATACAGTATTTAAACCATAGTCATAATAACACAAGCATGTTTTATTTATACAATATCCATTAGCAGAATAAATAGCATTCCAAAAATAAATCAAAAATTCAATATGATGCTGTTGTTTCGGAGATGCCATTGATTTCGGATGGAAAGAAAAGTGGACAAGGCAGCTACTGGAAGTCCTGACTTTGAACATGAAGGAGCAATAAAAGAAGCAATTTTTTGACTCTCGCAGCAATGAGATTTAAAAGACCAGACGCACAATAAACCATTAGTTTACCTCTGACAAGAATTTTACTTGCCCTCAAATGCAATCACTGCATATTTTCCAAATGTACTACCCTGTTTCCCCGAAAATATTTAAAAGCAGAGCTGGAAATCGGGTAAGATGGCAAGAGGAGCCCCATCTTGCTCCACGCACCCCAAAATAATAAGACCTCCCCGAAAATAAGGCCAAGCACTTATTTCGGGGTTCAAAAAAATGTAAGACAGGGTCTTATTTTTGGGGAAACATGGTATAATATTGCCTCTAATAGAGTCCCTAAAGTTAAGGGTGATGTATATTTTGCCATTGTTGTTACTTGCGAATTCGTGTCCGACCCATACAAATATTTTGCCATATGAAATACTGGCAGACTAAAATAAAATTTTTTAAAAAAACCAATGGGCTGAAGCTGAGCGACTACATGATAAGTCACCATAAACAAGAGCAGGTTTCACTAGTTATGCTATTACAGCATTTAGTGCCAATCGATGGCTGGCGTAGAGCCAGAGGCACAGAAATAAGCCAAGCCTATATAAAATTCTGAACCAATTTGTCTTCTTTAATAATGAATGGCCTTAAGAGGAGAAGGTGGAGACATTGATCTGAAATTTAAAATGGGATTGCATGGATACAAGGACAAGCACGGAATTATCCGAAGTCAGAGACTTCAAGGCCCAGTTGCTAATACAATGATTTCATTAGCAGTTGGCTTTGGAGCAAAGAGCTGCAACATTTGTTTTCATGCCAGGATCCATTATATAGACAATTATTTCCAATTTAGCTCCCTTATTTCCTCTCTTTTGTCTCCTATGCATCTTAACCTCTGCAGCCATATTCAATTACTTGCCTGGTTCATGTTTACTTCGTAGTAAAGAAGGGTATCACTGCAGAATCCTAGGCAAAATTGTGAAGGGAAGGCTGCTGTAGAACTATTTTAGTATGGAGCTCCTTTATGGGAGATAGTAGTTATACTAAAAAACTTATTGTGTTTAATGTTAAGGTCCTTTCATCCAAATTTCTTATGCCATCTAATGTCATTGAGTATCACATATATTTCAAGTATTTATTAAGTTTATTTTCCTTGTCTATAAAGCAACCTTATTTCCTTAATTTTATTTGATCCAGGAATTGTTGATCAAGGCAAAAGGCTCTTCTAATTCAGGTAGTGCCACTCAGTTATATTATTTCAACACAAAAGATAATTATGGCCCACATTTTACTGTTTAGTAGGTTCTGGAGATAGATCCAGAACAAAACAGCAATTCTGTTTCCCAAAAGATGCAATGCTCTTATGGATTAGTGTGCTTTAGCAGTTTGCATTCATTTCAGTTTCACAAGTTACATCACAAAACCCCCACAAAACCTGGCCTCTCTCAGCTTTTTCTAATCCAACTTCTTTAGATAATATCACCTAAATATTTGACAGTTTTGGACAGTTACTATGAGGGTTGGAGATCAACAAGAGTTATGAAATCTAAAGTTAGAAAATGTGTACATATACATAAATTGTGTCATCAAGTTGGTTTCAACTCTTAGCAACCACATATAGACTTTCATACAGATTACAAACATGATCTTTTGAAACACATTGCAGAAAATAAATCACCTGTTAAAGAACGCCGAGCTTTAATTTATAAAGCAAGAGAATTGTTATGGGACAAAAATGAGACTTTTCTTACAACTGATCATGAAGTCTTTCCAAATAATGTTAACTGAAGAAATGCTGATCCAATAAGCTCCATAAATACACAACAAAAAAGGGAACATTTTAGTTAATTAACCGTGACTAAAAATCCCAGGGTTCCCTCCATCCATGGTGTTTAACATTATGCACAGAGTAGGATTAGACATTTGTTATTCTCCTAATACCAGTTTTCCTGAACCGGTCCAAACTGGCAGCAGCCCTCCACTGAGCAGGCTGGACTAGAAGACTACAAGGTCCCTTCTAATTCTGATAAGTCAATTTGCCCCAGGTTGTATTAACTGGTCACTAAAAGGATTTTAAAAGAGGATTGGGCAAGTAACTATGCAAATACAAACTTCTGCATATTGGGAGAGAGCGAAGGAAGGAAGGGATACATCCCTGCATGTGCACAATGCTCAACAAACCACGGATTTGCGCAAATGCATTTAGCAGTCCTGCTAGCAAGATACAGCAGTATAGAAAGCGCTGCACGCTTGTTCCTTCTGATAAGCTGCAAAGATAGGACTCTGGTATTGCTATGTGCAGAGATGCATGCTCAACCTTACTATGGCAATTTTTTCTCCCAAAACCGTTCAAGCATTTTTTTTAATAACATAAACCCCCAAAGAATCCTGAAGCCCAAGGCACTCACTCTCTTAGAGTCTTTGACAAAGTAGCTTCCGCTGGAACCTTGGGAGATTCTTTCCGGGAAGACTTCGCTTTCGATGGCTTGTTCTGCTTGCTGCATGACTTCAGCAAATTCGGGATCATCCACAAAGAAGTTCATCTCTGCAATGCTTCCAACATTTCCTGTGGGTATTGCGACAATCATTTCAAGTTAGTGCCGTCAGCTGATTTTTTTTTTCTCTTTCCTCAACTCCATTCCCCCCCCTTTTTTTTTCATCTCTCAATATACTCTTAACACTGGCTTACTTCCTACCGGTATAAGAAAAAATACAGGGACACAATAAAAATGCCAAAATAATATGTACAGGACTGCAGATGCTACATTTGCATAATACAGCTACGTTGTTGGAAATTTGACTCGCCATAGGCAGAAGGACAGCACGCGGAATGAATCATATCAGACCCAGATAGAAGACCGTTAATATTGAACGCGGCACAGAGATTCAGTTTCAGTCTTCAAAACCAACTTGTGGATTTCCCTGAAAAGAAACGATGGGGTCCAGTTCGTCTTGTACACTACTCTCTACTGCTACCAACCTGCCTTCAATGGAGGACCTGTATCCTGCACGAGTCCAAAAGAGGGCTGTGAAAATATCTACAGACCCCTCGCATCCTGGACATAAACTCTTTCAACTCCTACCCTCAAAACGAGGCTATAGAGCCCTGCACACCAGAACAACTAGACACAAGGACAGTTTTTTCCCGAACGCCATCACTCTGCTAAACAAGTAATTCCCTCAACACAGTCAAACTATTCACTAAGTCTGCACTACTAGTAATCTTCTCATCCTTCCTATTACCTATCTCCTCCCACTTATAACTATAACCATGTTGCTTGTATTTTTACGATTTATATTGTTTTTATTGTTTCCTAGTATGATTTGATTGCTTATTAGTAAGCTATGACTATCACTAAGTGTTGTATCTTATGAATGATTCTTGATGAATGTATTTTTTTCCTCTCTTTTTTCTTTTCTTTTTCTTTTATGTACAGAGAGCATATGCACCAAAGACATATGCAAAGATTGTGTATCCAATCTCTATTCTATTCTATTCTATTCTATTCTATTCTATTCTATTCTATTCTATTCTATTCTATTCTATTCTATTCTATTCCATTCCATTCCATTCCATTCCATTCCATTCCATTCCATTCCATTCCATTCCATTCTATCCTTCCAGCTTATTCTATTCTATTCTATTCTATTCTATTCTATTCTATTCTATTCTATTCTATTCTATTCTATTCTATTCTATCCTATCCTAGAACAGTAACAATGGCAACAAAGGAACAAGCACATAAACAATTCCCTAAGCATGCATCCACCTGCAACTCTTTGCTCCTATATTTTTTTAAAAAAAGAAGTTTAACTAAGCCACATTGTCCTCCCACCTTCAACCCCAAAGAGCAAGGATATGGCCTCCAAAGCAGCTGCATCCCACCCCTAATTCAGTGCTTGAGGGGCTGCCCCAAGTTCAGCCAGTGGGCTTTGTGCATCAGCTGAGACTGCCTTAATCACTACACTCGAGGGGCGAGTCGGCCTTGACTCCAGGCAACTCCCTGGAGTAGTCTCTGCAATTTTTTCAAGCAACATACAGATAGTCCTCGACGTACGACCACAATTGAACCCAAACTTGAAACATTTGTTAGATGAATCTTGCCCCACTTTACGACCTTCCTCGCCACAGTTCTTAAGCGAAATATACCCCAAGTTAGCAACACAGTCGTTAAGCGTATCTGATTTCTCCATTGGCTTTGCTTGTCCAAAGGTCGCAAAAGGGGGGGGGGTTGTCACATGACCCCAGGACATTGCAACCGCCATAAATATGAAGCAGTTGTCAAGTATGCTGAAGCTGGGCCAAAGTCCACCAGCTAGGACTTCAAATCAGGGACTCCGTGAGAGGTCAGCTGCCTTCCATTCATGGCCACCCAACTGACGGTTAGTCCTCGACTCTACAGCCACAATTGAGCCCAAACTTTACATTGCTAAGTGAAAGATTTGTTAAAGAGAGTTTTGCTCCACTTTAAGACCTTCCTTGCCACCGTTGTTAAGTGAAACACTGCAGTTGTGAAGCTAGTAACACCGTTGTTAACCGAATCTAGTTTCCCCATGGGCTTGGTTTGTCCGAAGGTCGCAAAAGGGGATGACGTGATGCCGGGAGACTGCAACCGTCATAAATAGGAGCCAGTAGCCAAGCATTTAAAGTTTAATCACGTGACCACGGGGAAGCAAAACGGTCATTAAGTGTGAGAAACAGCCGAGTCCCTTTTTTTCCTGTGCCGCTGTAACTTCAAGCGGTCACTAAATGAACAGTTGTAAGTCAAGAACTCCCTATATCCAAATTTTGATCAGGGGGGATGCAAAACGGTCATTAAGTGTTGAAAAACGTCCCTGTGTCCCTTTTTTTCAGTGCCACTGTAACCTCGGTCACTAAATGAACCGGTTGTAAGTCGAGGACTATCTATATCCAAATTTTGATCGGGGGATGCAAAACGGTCATTAAGTGTGGAAAAACGTCCCCGTGTCCCTTTTTCTCAGTGCTGCTGTAACTTCGGTCACTAAATGAACCAGTTGTAAGTCGAGGACTATCTATATCCAAATTTTGACCAGGGGGGACGCAAAGCGGTCATTAAAGTGCCCCCAGTCCCTTTTTTTTGCAGTGCCTTTGAAACTTCCAGGGGGGGGTCACTAAACGAGCTGTTGTAAGTCGAGGACCGCCTGTACTTCTCCCCTCCCCCTCCCTCCTTGGGGAGAGCCAAGCCAGGAGCAGCGAGAGCCTCCCACGTGCGGCCACGCCCCCTTCCCTCCTCTGCGCAGGCGCGCTGTTTCCTCACGCGGCACGAGCATCCCACGTGTGGCCACGCCCCCCGCCGTCCCTTCCCTCCCTCTGCGCAGGCGCGTCCCGTTTCCTCAGCCGTCAACATCGGCTACGCCTCAGCTCACCTGTCCCCTCGCGGGCCCTCCGGCCCCAGCCCGCCGCCGCCGCCGCGCCCAGGAGCGGCTCCGACTCCTCGCCGTCGCCTTCCTCGTCCTCGTCCTCCTCACACGCCGCCTCGAACGGCTCCCGGGCGGCGAGGAGGCGAACGGCGCCGCCGGGAGCGGTCGGCGCCGCCCGTCCGGAAACCGCCACGGCCGGCGGTTCTGTCTCCAGCTGCAGGAGCTCCTCGTCGGCCTCTTCCTCCGCTTCCGCCTCCGGGGAAAGCACCGAGCCGGCCTCCGCCATGGGGGCTCGCGGAGGCAACGGCCGGCTCTCGGGCTCGAGCGCCGGACGGCTGAGGGCGCATGCGCCGGACGGCTTGAGGGCGCATGCGCCCCAGGCTCAGAATGGAGCGGGGGAGTATCGCGCCTGCGCGTAGAGGCCCTGGCGCGTGGGGTTGTCAGGGCGCGTGGGCGGGACCAAGAAAAGGGGGCGGGGCTTGGCTTCCAGCCCCTCCCTTTGCTTTTTCCTCGTATCTTTAAGAAGGAATTCGTGGGAACTGGCAGCCAAATGCGGGGCGTGTCAGGAAGTGGGGATTTTAATTGCATTGAGCCCTCCATCCGAAAACCCAAATCCTGGTTTGTTTCCGAAGGGAAATGTTGGGTCTGTATAAAAACAAGGGGGTCGTTATGCAGGTAGTCCTCGACTTACGACCAGGGAGCCCAAAATTCCTGGTGTTAAAGAGTGAAACGTTTGTTAAGTGAGCCTGGCCCCCCATTTTACAACCTTGCCACAGTTGCTAAGTGAATCACTGCAGCTCTTAGTAACAGGGTCGTTAAGTGAATCTGGCTTCGCTTATCAGAAAGTCGCAAAAGGGGATCACGTGACACCCCCCCCCCGGGGGGACACTGCAGCCATCATAAATATGAGTCAGATGCCAGGCGTCTGAATTTTGATCACATGGGGATGCCGCAACGGTCGTAAGTATGAAAAATGGTCGCAAGTTTCATTTTTCCAATGTCGTACCTTGAAGGGTCAGTCAAGGACTACCAGAATGGCAGTTAGATTTGAACCAGGGTGCAAACGAAATTTAAAATGCATTTTTTTCCGCTATTGGACGAAAATGCAACTATGAGTCATTTGCCAAGCATCCAAATTTTGATCACATGATTATAAGGATGCTGCGAATATAACTGAAAAATGGTCATAAAGTTATGTTTTTCAATGCCGTTGTCAATTTGAATGGTGACTAAACGAACTGTTGTAAGTCGAGGACTACCTGTACTGTCTTTTCTACATACATCCTTCAATATAAAGTATCCGTGAGCATTGCAGCCATCTTTGCCATTATGAATAAGGTTCAGTAGTCCTTGAATAAATGCACGAACGCACAAATGCCCTCTTTCCTTATCAACTGTCTGAGTAAGTCAACACTGAAAATATCAGAGAGGAGGGAGTCAAGCTATTCTCCAAAGCACCTGAGGGCAGGACAAGAAGCCATGGGTGGAAAATAACCAAGGAGAGAAGCAACTTAGAACTAAGGAGAAATTTTCTGACAGTGAGAACCATTAATCAGTGGAACAACTTGCCTCCAGAAGTTGTGAATGCTCCAACACTAGAAGTTTTTAAAAAGATGTTGGATAACCATTTGTCTGAAGTGGTCTAGGGTTTCCTGCCTGAGCTGGGGGTTGGACTAGAAGACCTCAAAGTTCGTAACCAGTGGAACAACTTGTCTCCAGAAGTTGTCGGTGCCCCATCACTGGGAGTTTTAAAAAGACTGGACAGCCACTTGTCTGGAACGATACAAATAGTCCTCAACTTACAACAGTTCACTTAAGTGACCGGTCAAAGTTCAATGGCCCTGAAAAAAGGGACTTACGGCCATTTTTCACACTTATGACCATTGCAGCATCCCCATGGTCATATGATCAAAATTCAGATGCTTGGCAACTGATTCCCCTAAGTCATGGGGTAACTCAGAATCACTTAACAGCCGTGTTTCTAACTTAACAACTGCAATGATTTGCTTAACTGTGGCAAGAAAAGTCGTAAAAATGAGGCAAAACTCACTTAGCAACATAAATTTTGGGCTCAATTATTGCCGTAAATTGAGGACTACCTGTATAGGGTCTCCTGCTGGAACAGGGGTTGGACTAGAAGACCTCCAAGGTCCCTTCTGACTATTATTCTGTATCCTTAAAAAATTACCTGGTTGCTGCTTTGAATGGTTCGATAAAAACCTAAAATAAAGCGAATTGTCCACCCATCACAATCCAGCTTTCTGACCGTCCTGTGTAAACTCTTTACGGCTTTAATGCCAAGCTAAGCAGAATAAAACGAGTGCCATTAAAAAGGACTGTTTGTTCCTGAGAAATGGTCCCAACCCTGGAATTGTTTGACCGCAGAAGGACACTTCCTGAATTTCCTGCCTATCTTGTTTCAAGGCAGAATATTTTGTGATGAAACGTTTTGCAAAGCCTTGGCCATTTGGGGGAAAAAAAACCTGCCCAATTGCATTTTCTTTGAAGGCCTCTGGAGCAACAGGGATTAAAAGCATAATTGCGAATACAAATGCCAAATGCCTTCTCCCACTTTTAAATAAAAGAGACTCTACTGATAAATAAAAACAACAAAATTCTAGATTTCACTAATTTTATATGACCAATATGGATTTATACTGTTTATACCTTTTATTTGATTTCAGATGCATTTCAGGCTAACATTTTGTTTATACCTGCGTGATTATTAACGGGTCCTGCTCCTTCATCATCTGGCAGTGGGAGCAATAGCATTTTACAATGTAGAATGGAAACCGAGTTGTGTGTTATAAATCGGCGCCCTCTTGCGTTTCTAAAATGCAGAACTCTTCCAAACACTTTTTAATCAGCCTTAATTTTTAGTTCAAGAGAATACAGCCAGTGATGGACAGGAGGTCTATATATCAAACTGGAATCAAAGTGGGAAAAAAATCCTATATATTTGTTAAAGATTTACATTAATTTGTATTACCTTTCTGCATCAACTAACAAGATGAGGGTTTCCAATCAATTTTCATGTTCTTATCAATTGAAGGTGGGGGCAAGATACTGAATAGCAATAGCACTTAGACTTATATACCACTCACAGTGTTTTACAACCCTATCAAAGCAGGTTACAGAGTCAGCCTCTTTCCCCTAACAATCTGGGTCCTCATTTTACTGACCTGGGAAGGATGGAAGGCTGAGTCAACCTTGAGTCGGTCAGGATTGAACTTCAGACCGTGGGCAGAGTTAGCCTGCAATGCTGCATTGTAACCACTGCACCACCATGGATGGATGGATGGATGGTTGGTAGGTAGGTAGGTAGGTAGGTAGGTAGGTAGATAGATAGACAGATAGATAGATAGAATAAATAGGTTGTAATATTTAATTTAATCATAGCTCTGGAAAGCAATCACAATAGCACTTAGACTTAAATACCGCTTCACAGTGCTTTACAGCCCTCTCTAAGAGGTTTACAGCCTCTGGCCCCCCAACAGTCTGGGTCCTCATTTTACTGACCTAAGGAGGACGGAAGGCTGAGTCAACTTTGACCCAGTCAGGATTGAACTGCCGGCAGTTGGCAGAGTTAACCTGCAATGCTGCCTTCTAACCTCTGGGCCACCAGGGCTCTCTAGGAACTATAGAACAACTAATATTTTTGTCAGTATTATATTAAACAATGGAACCCATGGAGACTGGATACCCGGCCTGTAAATCGTCCCCACTGGGTTCCAGCTTATATGCTTTACAAAGGCAAACTGAAGCCCCTATTTTATTTTATTTTCTTCTCCGTATATCCGTGACATTCAGCCCAAGAAAGAGCTCTGGGCTTCAAAAGGCTACAGTCTCAGTTGAGAGCTGGACTTGAGGAAAGAAACGGCTACTGATAACAGTGTGAGTTGACTTTGGACCAAGGCAATCCCAGATTGCCTGGGGACGAAGGGCAAAAGACAGGCGGATAATAACCTCTTGTGCCGTCATTATGCAAAAGCCACAGCTCTTGCACTTGCACAAGGCACGGGAACACGCCTGCCTAATACTAGCATCTTTGGGGCATAAGCAGAGTTCAACACGGATATTTTTTTTTTAAAAAAAAGGGGGACAGAAGGAAGCAAGCTCCTCTTTTCAAGTGGTATCCACTGGTCTCCTTTTCATAGCATTTCTCTTTTTTTCCCCCCACTTCCCAATTGGGGAATCGCCCAGTGGCCTCCCGTCCCAGTCCCAATCAACTCAATTGGAGCTTCCTCCTCCCGGCCTGTAGAGGGCGCGCGCCGCCTTCACGCAGGCGTCGCGGGCTCGTCCGGGGGGAGGCGGAGTTACCCGCCAGGGGTCAACTGCGCCTGCGCGCCGGCCTCGCCTCCTCCTGCTGTTGCTGCTGCTGCTCGCTCGTGGCCCGTCATGAACTCCGAGAACTTCCAGGCCGGCGAGAGGCTGGTGAACGCGGCCTACGTGCGGCAGGGATGGCAAGGCCGCCGCGCGCACGAGCTGCGAGTGCGGACGCTGCTGGAACAGGTGCCGCTCCTCTCCCCGGGCGGTTGGGAAAGAGGGGGCGGAGGCGGGGTTTCGAAGAAAGCCCCGCCCCCGGGGCGGGTTAGTCACGCCTCTCCGTGGGCGGGGCATGGATCGAGCGACTGGTTTTGCTTTAGCTGCCACTAGGCGGAGAACTCCGGCGCTTTTATGACGTATGGACTGCAACTCCCAGAATTCCTCAGCCCGCATGCCCGCAAGTCATAAAGGCGCCATAGTTTCCCCCCCCACCCCTGCTGACTCAGGAATTCTGGGAGTTGAAGTCCACAGGTCAGAAAAGGGCCATAGCTCTTCCCCACCCCTCCCTTGCTTGCCCCAGGAATTCTGGGAGTTGAAGTCCACAAGTTTAGCTCCTAGTCTGGGCTGGTTAGTTCTTGGATGGGAGGCCACCAGGAGAGCCTAGGGCTGTCCGCTGGATTTTTATTTTCCACCTTTTTGTTTTCTAGACACCCCTTGGGAAGTCGCTCCCAAGCTTTAACTATGGTTTAACCCAGTCCAGCTGGTTGTGAGTCCATTAAATCCTAAATCATAAGCTGGTTTGCTTTGAGTTTTTGAAAGGAGTGATTGGAATAATTAGACTAGACTAGACTAGACTAGACTAGACTAGACTAGACTAGAGTTGAGTTGAGTTGAGTTGAGTTGAGTTGAGTTGAGTTGAGTTGAGTTGAGTTGAGTTGAATTGAGTTGAGTTGAGTTGAGTTGAGTTGAGTTGAGTTGAGTTGTTGAGTTGAGTGAGATGTTAGGATCCTGGTCAAATAGAAGAAAACAAGAGTGTGTATTTTTCGCATACCTTGTTTATATTGTATTTATTATTGTTGTGCTGTTTTTTTCCCCCTGAAGGGCAAATGTCCTGAAGATGGATGGGACGAAAGCACAATTGAACTCTTTCTTCATGAACTTGCAATTATGGATAGCAATAATTTCCTGGGCAATTGCGGTGTGGGTGAGCGAGAAGGAAGAGTTGCGTCCCAAATAGTGGCTCGGAGACATTACAGGTAAAAAGGTGGTTTGTTTTGACCGAAGTTTTGTTTGAGCTCAAGTTTATTCACACAGGATGCGAAAAATAATAATAATAAAAAAAAATTAGGGTCACTTCATTACAGGCAGTCCTCGAACTTACAACCACAATTGAGTCCAACATTTCTGTTGCTAAGTGAGGCATTTGGTTTGCCCCGTTTGACGACTTTTCTTGCCGCAGTTGTTAAGTGAATCCGCAGTTGTTAAGTGAATCAAACCAGTTGGTAACACAGTTGTTAAGTGAAACTGGTGTCCCCGTTGGCTTTGCTTGTCAGAAGGTCGCAAAAGGGGAATTGCGCAACCCCGGGACGCTGCAACCGTCATAAATATGAGCCAGTTGCCAAGCATCCGAATAGAAACCATGTGACCATGGGGGAAATGCTTCAGCGGCCGTAAGAGTGAAAAACGGGCAAAGCTCACTTTTGTCCTAACTTCGAACGGTCACTAAATGAACTGTCGTAAGTCAAGGACTATCTCTACTGGCGAATATGGAGATCACCCAACCTTTTGAAATTTGGTTTGTGATGCCGAAGATCGCCCGCTTAAATTCGAGTGCAGAATGACACACACACACAAACGCAAGTGATTTCTAGCTAAGGCGACAGGATGCAATGCAATGCAACGTTTTCCACGGAAGCAAATTCCTGCTCGCGTTGTCGGATTCCCCTTCCTGTCTCAAGCCACTGCAATAATTCCCCCAGCCCAAACCAGAGCTCCACCTAAGAGGGGGATAGTAAAGGTAAAAGTTCCCCTCGCACATATGTGCTAGTCGTTCCCGACTCTAGGGGGCGGTGCTCATCTCCGTTTCAAAGCCGAAGAGCCAGCGCTGTCCGAAGACGTCTCCGTGGTCACGTCGCCGGCATGACTCAACGCCAAAGGTGCACGGAACGCTGTTACCTTCCCACCAAAGGTGGTCCCTATTTTTCTACTTGCATTTTTTACGTGCTTTCGAACTGCTAGGTTGGCAGAAGCTGGGACAAGGAACGGGAGCTCACCCCGTTACGCGGCACTCGGGATTCGAACCGCTGAACTGCCGACCTTTCGATCGACAAACTCAGCGTCTTTAGCCACTGAGCCACCGTGGATATCGAAACGCTTTAAATAAATATTTTTTTAAAAAATACAATTTATTTTATTTATTTTTTATTTTTATTTATTTTTAGTTTATTTGATTTGTATACCGCCCTACTCCCGAAGGACTCAGGGCGGTGAACAGCCAAACAATAAAATACATAGATACAAAAAATTTAAAAACCAGATAAAATCAATTTATATGCCGCCCCTCTCCGGAGACTCAGGGCGGCTTACAATGCGTTACAATAAAATTCCACTCCCATCAAAACCGATGGTAGCTCTTCCCTACAATTTCCCCCAAGAAGAACTTGCTCCTTCGTCCTTCGAGATTGCACCGCATCCGCTCCTTAAGTCTTTCCAATTTTTAAATGGGAATTTTTTTTCCCCCCTAGTTTCACCCATATATTCGGTTTGATTCGCAGGTTGATTCATGGGATCGGGAGGTCCGGAGACGTCGCAGCGGTCCAGCCCAAAGCAGCAGGCTCCAGCCTCTTGAACAAACTGACGAATTCGGTGGTCTTGGATGTTTTAAAGTTGGCTGGTAAGTACGGAGCAACGTTTTCTTGGATCAAATGCCTGTAAAAAGAAAGAAAGACTGGTTATATTTTGGAGACTGTCTCATGATGTTAAAAGATTTAATTAAAGTTGAGCAGGGGGAGGAGTAATGCTGAAGAAGAAAGTATTATTGAAGAAGGGCTGGGGAAAAAATATAGAAAGAAAGAAAGACTGGTCATATTTTGGAGATTTTCTCATGATGTTAAAAGAATTAAAGTTGGATAACTTGAATTTCATGGTAGCTTTAAAGTATTGAAGTCTAAAGGCGGATAACTTAAAATTTAATGGATAACTTTTTGAAAGTTTTGAAACTTATATTTTGGAGAATGTTCTGTATTAAGAGATTTTAAAATGTTTAAAATAAGATCATGGTTTTTTTTTTTTAATAAATGTGAAATGTGATAAGAGAATTTATAAAAGGAAGGTTGAAGTATAATTTTTAAAAGGGGAGTTAACAAGTGTGAGAGAGTTTTGAATTCTGTAATAGTAGCATATTTTAGTTTATGTTTGTTAAATGCTATATCCTGTTTTTGCTCTGGAAAGTTGGGGGGGAATTGGGGAGGGGGGGTTGGGTGGGGATAAAATGATGCATGATAATTGATTGTGTAAAGTTTGGTTGTTTGAATATAAAAAATAAAAAACTTTTTGTTTTTTTTAAAAAAATGCCTGTCCCCTCTTTTGAGGGGTTCTCGGTGCTCTCGGAGGGGGGGGGGTCTTGGCAGACGTTTCCTGACCCAACTAAGTAACATCATCAGTGCTAGAAGGGAGTGGGATTTTGCTCTCAGTTTATATTATCGTGTCTTGCCCTGTCAGTGAAGGTTATGGGGGGGGGGTGTCTTGGATTTTTATTTTTATTTTTGGTTGGGCTGTTTACCGTTAGCTTGTTTTGACAGTTTCTTGATTGAGGTTTTGTTTACTTCTTGATTGTTGGTCTGTTGTTAATCTTGGAGTTAATCTGTGCTGGGTGCCAATTGCTGATGGGGAGGTGCTGGGCTCCTTTTGGGCTGGTTGATTGTCTCTCGGATAATGAAACATCTGCAAGGAAACCACTAAGATCAGAGAGCACTGAGAACCCCACAGTCTTCCTCCTCCTCCTCCTCCTCCTCCTCCTCCTCCTCCTCCTCCTCCTCCTTTCTGCAAATCCCACCTCCTTCTAGTACTGATAATGTTACCTAGTTGGGTCACGAAATGTCTGCCAGAAAACCACTAAGATCAGAGAGCACCAAGGACCCCACAGTCCTCCTCCTTTTCCCCCCGTTCCCTTTCCTTTCTGCAAATCCCACCCCCTTTTAGCATTGATGCTGTTACCTAGTTCGGTCATGCAACGTCTATAAGAAGACAAGTCAGCTCAGAGAGCACCAAGGACCCCACATAAATCAACACCCACCCACCCCCGATCTGCAAATTGTCTCCTCCTCTTAGAAGTTTAGATACGAATTCTCCTTCCCTCGCAGGGGTCAAGGCCGCCAGCAGCTGCTTCGTGGTTCCCATGGCAACCGGCATGAGCCTCACTTTATGTTTCTTAACGCTTCGGCACCGAAGACCAAAGGCCAGGTACATTCTCTGGCCTCGCATCGACCAGAAATCCTGCTTCAAATCCATGGTTACCGCAGGTAACGGACGCCTGACCCGCAAAGGGGGTGGGGGGAGCTGGTGTGGCGCGCACAATTTCAACACGCCTTGCATTTAATTTATATATTTTTCGAAATGCGCATGCGACACACCTCATTCTGGAGGCGAACGGCAGTCACACGTCAGCTGTGGGAACAGACCGAAAAATGGGCTCAGGTGTGAGGGTTCCCACGATGCCCTAATTAAGAGCCAAGCTTCAAAAGAAGTCCAGTTATTTATTAGGAGCTTCATGTCAGCACGTTCCCAAGTGAAGCCAACTCTGACCCCACGTAATTTACGCTCCAATCATAACCCTGTTTCCCTCCCCTCCCCCCCAGGGTGTGTCATCAATCACATTCGCCACCGAGGCTCCATGAGTTGTAGAGATCACTCCCCTCCGGCCACTGTGGGTAACCTGGGAGATGGCCTTGAGAGAGATAAGGCTGGAATGTGATTCTGTTTTTGGCTGCCGTGCTACTTCGTCGGTTTGTCATCCCCCCTGCCGTATGGCAACTCAAGAGCAGGCCAGGGATGCTTTGTGAGTTGACATCATGTTTTTTTTTAGATTGAGCATCGTTCTTTCAGGTGCTTTTACGTAACGGTTATTTTGGAGGGTCGTGGCATCCACTGTCACTTCCCATCAGGTTTCTTTTGAGTACAGGTGGTCCTCAACTTAACAACTGTGATTGAGCTTACGACATTTCTGTCACAAAACGAGACAACAGTGGAGTGCCCCATTTGACCACCTGGCCTCGTCACGGTGGTTGTTAAGCGAAACAAATGCTGGTGTTAGGTTTGTAAAATGAATCTGATTTCCCCCTTGACTTGGCTCATCGGGAAGTCGCAAAAGGGGATCACGTTACACACTGCAGCCATCATAAATACGAGTCAGTTGTCAAGCATCCAAATTTGGATCACATGTCATGTGGACTTGTTACGGTCACTTAACAGTCATGATAGATAGATAGATAGATAGATAGATAGATAGATAGATAGATAGATAGATAGATAAAGAGTGAGAGAGAGAGAAAGAGAAAGGGAGATAGGTAGGTAGGTGGATGGATGGATGATGGATGGATGGATGGATTCAGAAAGGGAGAGGGAGGGAGGAAATAGGTAAGTAGGTGGATAGATAGAGAGAGAGAGATGATGGATGGATGGATGGATGGATGGATAGATACAGAAAGAGGGAGAGACAGAGAAAGAAAGAGGGAGATAGGTAGATAGGTGATGGATGGATGATGGATGGATACAGAAAGGGAGAGGGAGGGAGGAAATAGGTAAGTAGGTGGATAGATAGAGAGAGAGAGATGATGGATGGATGGATGGATGGATGGATGGATAGATACAGAAAGAGGGAGAGACAGAGAAAGAAAGAGGGAGATAGGTAGATAGGTGATGGATGGATGATGGATGGATACAGAAAGGGAGAGGGAGGGAGGAAATAGGTAAGTAGGTGGATAGATAAAGAGAGAGAGATGATGGATGGATGGATGGATGGATGGATGGATGGATGGATGGATAGATAGATAGATAGATAGATAGATAGATAGATAGATACAGAAAGAGGGAGATAGGTAGGTGGATGGATGGATGGATAGACAGATACAGAAAGAGGGAGATAGGTAGGTAGATAGGTGGATGGATGGATGGATGGATGGATAGATAGATAGATAGATAGATAGATAGATAGATAGATAGATAGATAGATAGATAGATACATACAGAAAGAGGGAGATAGGTGGATGGATGGATGGATGGATGGATGGATGGATAGACAGATACAGAAAGAGGGAGATAGGTAGGTAGATAGGTGGATGGATGGATGGATGGATGGATAGATAGATAGATAGATAGATAGATAGATAGATAGATCAACAGATGAAGCTAAACATTACACTAATCTTCAAATCCCTCTGTTACCCATCTGTTATTATATTTAGCGCGTAGAAAGTCCACGATGGTTTCCAGCCTCTAATAAAGCTGTCTAGAGTCCATTATCTCTTTATCAAAGCAGTTAATTTTGCCATCTCTGCTAATTCGGTCAATTTCAAAATCCATTCTTCAAAGAGTTGGCAGCTCTTTTTCTTTCCAGGGTTTGGCAAGTACAATCCACGTGAAGGAAACACACCCCAAATTGTTTTTGCTTTGCTTTGTTTTTTCAATTGGCTTGTGTCCATCCTACCCAAAAGAGAAGCTTCTGGTTTCGTGAAATATTTGCATCTTAACTACTTTCTGCAGATCGTCGTTCTGTTTGTCCACGCGTTCGCGAGACATATTTTTAACCTGACATTTCAAAACTGGCTACCGTCATTGTTCTGCCCCAGCTATGGACCCCAAAGAACGCAGCACACACAAAGTCCGTACAAACCTTAGTTTACTAATTAAAGACTACTAATGAGCTTTCTTAGTAGTTGTTCAAACACAAGTACAGTTTAAATCAGTCTTTTCTGAACAAGGGCTGTTAATTTAACTTCATTAACAGCCAACAAAAATCCAAAGAATAATAACTCAGTTCTGAGGTACAGTATTTCAGATAACCGTAATCTTGCTGTGGTTGGCAGAATGCCCAGAAGCAATTTGCAGGAAAACTGACAAAAGAGAAACAGCCGAATCAAACGTTTCTGGAATCAAGACGCGAAGGAATATGAATGAAGTTGTTCCCTGCAAATTGCCTCAGTCGGCATCCTTCCTTAAATAGGCTAAGGGAGTGGCCAATTAGCCCCAAGCCTTACCCTCGAGGAGACCTCCTCCTGAGGAGCCCCTCCTGCCTTTTGGCAGCTCTGCGCACCCGTGCATCAAGAAGAGGCTCCTTCTCTTCTTCCTCCTCACTTAAGGGAGCTTCTGGAGGTTCTGAAGGCCCTGGCTGAATCCCCGTCTCTGGCACCACATCTTCTCCAGCCTCCTCACTGTCCGACTCGAGTGCCAGCTGCACAGGCTGCTGGCGCAGCACCACACCAGCCTCCTCGCTGTCGGAATCAGCTACTAGCTGCACAGGCCGCTGATGGGCCACAACAGTCATGCACAAATCGAACCAAACAAAAAACAACCATGAAGTGGAAGGGAGGGGTTTGCAGATAAAAAAGAAAAAAATTGCAGAAGGATCCCGGATGCCCATTCATTTGTTCATTCTCTTTTTTTTGTTGTTGTTGGCCGGATTAGGTTTTGAGCCAGTGGTGATAGAAAATGTTTTAGAAGGAGACGAGCTACGAACCGATCTCCAGGCAGTGGAAGCTAAAATCCTGGATCTTGGGGCTGATCGCATTCTCTGTCTTCATTCCACTACATCCTGTTTTGCTCCAAGGGTACCTGACAGGTAAATAAATCCCCAGGTAAACGGTGGCATGAAGAGTTTGAAGGGTATGTGTGTGTGTGAAGATTTAGCTGAGTTTCACAGAGAGGAAGGAGGTGAAAAAACACGGATTGATTCAAATAAGAGTAGGACAGGTTCAATCAATCAATTAATCAGAATAGAGCTGGATTCCCTACTTCTGGTGGGCCCAGAAGGCCTGAAAATCAGCTGGCCGGCACCGGAGCTGAGCTGGTGTGCCAGGCAACATGGCTCTGCGTGCTGCCTGTGGCACGCGTGCCTGTTGTGGCTCCGTTACCTGAGCCTGTGTCATCGGCAGGAGAGGACTCCGAGAGTGAAGGAGAGGAGTTGGCAAGGCTTCCCTCTCCAGGACCCTCCTCTCTGGCAATGCCTTCGGTGTCCGCCGAAGGGCAAGAGATAGGGCCAGGGCCAAGCACATCCACACATCCACAGATGGACAGTGATGAGGGTAATGAGTCTTGGCTGGATCCACGCCAGCGTCCCAGAGATAAGCGCACGCAACAGAAGAAAAGGCGTGCCAGAGATTAGGCTGAGTCACTGGACCACACCCCACAGGGTATAAAAGGGGGTGAGGTGGCCATTCAGACTCTGTGATGGATACACATAACTACTATCGAGTCACATTGCATCTTTGGAAACAACATTATCTGCCTTGGATTTATTTTACAAATTAGACAATTCTTGAACTGTGTGTATTTTGTTTATGAGTAAAGTTCTTGGCAAGCAGCTACTGGGTTGCTGCCAAGCTTCTTATCAAAAGAATTGGTTGTCTGCCAGTTTATTTAACCCTCGGCTGTCTGTTTGTGTGCGTGTGTGAGACGGGGACAGAACAGTGCCATAGGTTCTCCATCACGGGCATAGAGCGTGGGAGGGTCCACCCACGAATTCCGCAACCGGTACAGACGAACCGATCCGAACCGGCTGAATACCGTCTCCGGAATACACATAGGAAGTTTCATTAAGTCCTTTTCTTTCCAAAGGGTTAAATCAGCAATAATTAAAAATATCTCTCTCTCTCTCTCTTTTATTTATTTCATCAGCTGCATCAAAACCCATTCTACACGCTTGATGTTTTTAGTAAGAGGTTGGGTTTTTTTTAAATAAGAGCAAACGGCACCAACAAAATACCATTGATAAGAATCTTGACCCCCTGCTTCTCTTTTCAAGGTTGAATTATCGTATAATTTTGTCGGTGATTTGGGTTCTGTGCAAGGAAGCCGAGCCGGTGACTAAGCGAATCAATTATGTTTGCCGTTCACAGTATAATGAGAACATTTTATCCTTTAATTGTTAAGGGGAAATTGTATTTCAAGGAAAGGTTGGTTAAAAGGATTCTGGCAAGGATTTTTCTTACCTGCAAAGAGGGATCTTTGCAACCACCTTGTTGCAAACACAAAGAGAGGTTTTACACGATAGAAGGATATTAATAAGAGCGTATTCATGTAATTTTTAGACATTTGATCTACCTGTAACAGGAGGTTCCAGGTGGAATTTAGCAATCCAACTGTCATTTTCGGGGTCTAAATCTATAGCGGTTTATTGCTACTATGGAGACCCCAGTTACAGCATGCGTTTTCCCTTGGAAACCTTAGTATGTTTGTCCATCTAGAGCAGGGGTGTCGAACTCAAGGCCTGTGGGATGTGAGATACTTAGATCTGACCCACAGGGCCGGTCAAGAAGTAGCAAAGGACCGGCCTGCGATGCCTCTGCCAGCGAAAAATTTCTTAACATTGAGAACAATTAATCAGTGGAACAACTTGCCTCCAGAAGTCATGGGTGCTCCAACACTGGAAGTTTTTAAGAAGAGATTGGACAACCATTTGTCTGAAGTGGTGTAGGGTTTCCTGCCTAAGCAGGGGGTTGGACTAGAAGACCTCCAAGGTCCCTTCCAGCTTCTGTTCTGTTCTATTCTATTTCTAGTTTCTTTCCATATTTTACAGTATTCTGTTCTGTTCTAATGTTATCTAATCCTTCATTCCGTTATTCTATTCTACTCTATTCTATTCTATTCTATTCTATTCTATTCTATTCTATTCTATTCTATTCTATTCTATTCTATTATTCTATTCATTCCCTATTCTATTCTATTCATTCCTATTCATTTCTATTCGTTTCTATTCTATTTTCATTCCATTCTCTAATTTATTCTAATTCATTCTATCCTATCCTATCCCCTATTCTATTTATTCTATTCTATTCTATTCCCTATTATTTTTCTATTCTATTCTATTCATTTTACCTTTTCTTTCTATTCTATTTTCATTCCATTCTCTAGTTTATTCTAATCATTCTATTCTATTCTACTCCCTATTGTATTTATCCTATCCTATTTTCCTATCCCCTATTCTATTTATTCTATCCTATCCTATCCCCTATTCTATTTATTCTATTCCCTATTATTTTTATTCTATTCTATTCATTTTACCTTTTTTATTCTATTCTATTTTCATTCAACTCTCTATTTTATTCAATTCTGTATTCATTCTATTCCGTATTTTATTTATCCTATCCTATCCTATCCTATCCTATCCTATCCTATCCTATCCTATCCTATCCTATCCTATCCTATCCTATCCCCTATTCTATTCTATTCCCTATTATTATTCCATTCCATTCTAAAAGGCTTGTCTGTCATCTGCTTATGGTAAAATTCACAGAACGTTTTTTCAGTTCTGACCTTTTTGCCTGAACTTTTCCATTTTGTATTTGCAGATTGGAGGAACTGGCTGAGATCTGCGCCAAGCACGACGTCCCCCACATCGTCAATAACGCGTACGGAGTTCAGTCTTCCAAGTGCATGCACCTCATTCAGCAGGTAAGGTGAGCACCCCACCACAGAAGAAGGCAGGATGGGGGGGAAAAAGCGAGTTACTAAACCATCAAATGCAGTAATTCACTTAGCGACTGAGGCAATTTATGTTGCTAAGTTAGTTTTGGCGTTGGCGAGTTAAGTTTGTGAATCACTGCGAGCAACCCGGTTGTTAAGTGAATCCAGCTTCCCCCTTCGACTTCGTTCGTCAGAAGGTCGCAAAATCGGATCACGTACCTCCAAGTCCCTGCAACCGTCATAAAAATACGAGTCACTTGCCAGGCGTCCAGATTTGAATCACGTGACCATGGGGAGAATAATTGCAGCGGTCACAAGTGTGAGAAATGGTCCTAAGTCATTTTTTTTCAGTGCCATCGTAACTTTGAGTGGGCACTAAATGAACTTGCTGTAAATTGAGGACTGTGGACTAGCCATGCCGATCAAAACAAACAGCTAGTCCTCGATGTATGACCACAATTGAGCCCAAAATTTCCATTGCTAAGTGAGACGTTTGTGGCTAAGTGACGTATTGCCTCGTGCGAACCCAACTTTGCAAGATTAAAATGAAACTTTTATCGCTTTTGTTCTTCTCTTCCTGTTTTGGGGGGTTTTTTTTGCTTTTTTAGGGTGCCCGAAGAGGCCGGATCGATGCGTTTGTACAAAGTTTGGACAAAAATTTCATGGTTCCAGTAGGTGGCGCTGTCATCGCTGGCTTCAGTGACGCCTTCATACAGGAAATCAGCAAAATGTATCCAGGTACATCGGAGTTTTGGGGTTATTTTTTTTTTAAAAAATGATATATCTTTTTTAATGAAAGTGGAAATTACTGTGAAAAAAACCCCATGTCTTCCCTGGTATAGCCGACAAAGTGAGGAGAACCTGTGGCTTAGAGGTTAATACATCTACCTAATATACAAGCAACCCGGATTCTAATCCCAGAAAGGGTATGGCTAGCTGACGAGAGCTAAATAGCTTGAAATAGATCTATACTAGTCTCCCTTTGTTTCTTTGTCGGTAAAACCTAGATTCAACACAAAAAATAGTTTGTCATGAAACTGACTGCCTGCGAAGGCCCCCGGATTGGGCTGAAAGGCGAGAAAAACAGTTATGCTCCATCCTGTAATTGGGTAGATCAGGTTGCCTTGATAGACTTCGATGCTATCTCAAAATAAATGAATTTCCAAACTGCCAATCTTTAAGGAAATCTTTTCTTTAATTGAGCACAGCAACCGGATCATGACTCGATGCGGACAAGACTGACCTTTTGCCCCCCAATCCCTCCCTTTCCGATCCCCAAGTCTCTGCTTCTCATTGGCTATCTTCCAAGTCATTCTCCAGACTTCTTGTCTCGTCATTTCCCAGGAATGTCTCCCCCCTCCTCATTTCCACGACAACCCGGCTTCAAAGGGATTTAGCAGGCAAAAGTTCAGAGCTTATCTCTCTCCTCTCTATGCCAGCGCTGAGGCGCTGACACCAGTCCCACCAGGAAAAAAAACACTCATGTCGTGAGAGGTTTTGTTTTCACAATAAGAACAGAAATGATGGATTGCTGTCATGCCCCTGTCGGAGCCTGACTCTGCGGAGGAAGATGAGTCGGAAATGGAGCCGATGAGGGGACGGGAGGAAAATGGGGAGGAGCAGGCCGAGTCAGGCCAGGGCCTTTCAGGATTGGGACGGCTTGTAGGCAGGGAGGAAGGGGGGACAGGATGACTAGGAGAGATTAAGCAGTGAACATGAGAGACAGAGCTCAGGCGATGAGCAAGGACCATCCCCTCCTGATCCCAGAGCACGGAGAGTGGAGAGAAGGTGGGAACAGAGCAAACTGACTCAACTACTTGGGAGGAGAGGACCCCACCCGTCTTCACAAGGCACTCCTGGGGACTGAGACTTAAGGAGACGCTGTGAGGAGGAACATTTGTTGGGAACAAATGCTGAATTCCTGGAGCGCTGAGTCCCAACGTTTGAACTTTCCTGGATTCCTTGCATTCATTCTGGATTTCTGAATTAATTGCCTTGCTCCTTTGCTTCCTGGACTACTCGACTTACCCTGCTGGATTTCTTGCTTTGCAGCCGTGGTGCTCACAGCGTTGGGCTGGACTATTTGCAGCCAGAGGCTGCTTGAGGTGTGGGTGCATGCGTGTCATCACTTTGCTCTGGGACTTGCCAGAAACGTGGGAGCGTTTGGGGAAATTTGGAGCAATAAAGGGGCGGTTTGAACTGCCAGCTGCCTTTGTTGCCTCTGTGCCGTCCCCCGGGTCATCACAGATTGCTTTTCTTTTTTTTTTCCTCTCTAGGTAGAGCTTCGGCTTCTCCTTCCTTAGATGTGCTCATTACATTGCTGAGTTTGGGCACCAAGGGATACCGGCAACTTCTTCGAGAAAGAAAGGTAGCATTTCTGGATTAATGGGTCCAAGATGTCCATTTTCACTTATGAGCAACATGTGTAGGGCTTCGGCTGTTGGGCAGTTTCTGAATTCTGTTTTGATCTTCGGCTAGTGACGTGTCCATCTTTGGCCCAAATTAGAACCAATCTTAGTGTTTCTGGAGATTCTCCAGGTCAAATTTTTTTAGAAGCGGTTTGCCATTGTTTGCTTCTTAGGGTTGAGAGAGAGTGACTGGCCCAAGGTCATCCAGCTGAATTTGGCCTAAGCCTTTCGCTTGCTAACCTGCTGCCTTTAAACATTACACCAACAACCATCTTTAATCGCCAAAAACAGTCTCTGGATTAGCGTATTTACAGTGGCAATAAATAAATCCAGGTTCCTGGGCACTATAAATTGACGATGGGTGGATAGCAGGGGTGAAATGCTACCGGTTCGGGCAAACCAGTATTTCCGACAATCAGCTGTGACGCACGATTTATATTCGCTAGAATCGTCGGATTTCCTGCTTTCTAGCTAATCTAAATCACATGGCACGGTGGATCTTTCCCCCCTTTTCAGCTCCAGTGCACATGTGCGGGCCGGCCAGCTGATTGTTGGGCCTTCTGGTCCCACCAGAAGTCGGGAAACGGGCCATTTCTGGCCTCCAGGGAGGTAGGGAAGGCTGTTTTCGCCCTCCCCAGACTCCTAGAAAGCCTCTGGAGCCTGGGGAGGGCGGAAAATGGGTCTACCGGGCCCACCGTGCCATCGCGTGCCAAAAGCTCCCCCCCCCACTTTTGGCACGCGATGGCAAAAAGGTTAGCCATCACTGGTATAGGGTCTCCTCTTGAGCAGGGGGTTGGACTAGAAGACCTCCAGGGTCCCTTCCAACTCTGTCCTTCTGGTCTTAAACTTGCCAAGTTTGGGCGCTCCCCACATCTAACAACGTACTTTTGCTCCGTAAATCCAGTTCTCGAAATGTCGCAAATCTATCGCTTATTCAATATGCGGAAGGAATAAGACGCAATAACCTTCCTTTCCGGAGTGTATTTTGGCCTGTGTGATGAATGATAAAAAATTTAATGCCGGTGGTTTATTACCTTATGCTCTTTAAAAGCTAAGCCAAAGCTACGATGTTCTCCGGGGAAAGCTATTTATAGTGCTGTTTCTATTTCGGTTCCACTATACCTAGGGGGCAGGAAAACCTTTTTTTTTTTTCACTAAGGCAGTGGTTTTCTTTTCCTTCCCTAATCCTTGCATCAGTACAGGCAGTCCTCGATTTACGACCACAATTGAGGCCAAAATTTACAGTCGTGGCCCAAATTGTGGAAACCTTTTGGGAAAAGTGTATATTGGAGGTTTGATGGCTAATAACACCACTTTTTTTTGGGAGTTTCAAGAGAACCTAGTTAATAGAAGCCATCATTCCATCTTGGTTTCACATGATAACAGCTGCAGAACTCAAAGACTTGGTTCCCTCCATGGGAAGACATTGTAAGGCCGTCATTCATGTTAAAGGTTACCCAACGAAGTATGAACTGACATGGGGATTATTTTTGTATATCTTGTTTTTTCTATGATGATAACTTTTGTATATCTCGTTTTTCCCTTTTCTTCTTCATATTGTAACTGCTATTCTCATAGCAAATCCTTCCTAAAAGTTATTGCATGACACTCTTGATTAAATTATCTTTCCATGGATATATAATTTCATGGCACTACTCCCAAAAGAAGTGGCCTTATTAGCTAGTTTTAGAAAATACACTTTTCCCCCAAAAGGTCTCCACAATTTTGGCCACTACTGTGTGTTGTTAAATGAGAAATGTGTTAAGTGAGTTTGACCCCATTTTACGACATTTCTCGCCACGTCTGTTCAGTGAATCCCTGCCGGTCTTAAATGAGTCACCCGGTCGTTAAATGAATCCCGCTTCCCTATTGGCTTGGCTTGTCAGCAGGTCGCGAAAGGGGGAATCACGTGACCTTCGAGACACTGCGACACTGCAATGTGAGTCAGTTGTCGAGCATCCGAATGTAAATCACGTGACCATGGGAATGCAGCAACGGTCATAAGTGTGAAACACGGTCATAAGTCCCTTTTTTCAGTGCCGTTGTAACCTCAAATGGTCACTAGTTTAATTTAATTTAATTAAATTAATTCAATTTATATGCCGCCCCTCTCCGAAGACTCAGGGCGGACTCAGACTAAATGAACTAAATGAACTAACGGTCACTGAATGTAAGTTGAGGACTACCGGTAATACAGTAATTTAACACCTGCAATGCTTCACTTAACAACGGTGTCTAGAAAGGTCGTAAAATGGAGCAAAATTCACTTTAGAAGTGTCTCCGTTAACAACAGAAATTTTGGGCTCCATTGTGGTCATAAATCAAGGACTACCTGTAGTTCAATCTCAGATCTTGGAAGTTAAAAGAAATAAAACTTGCTCTAGGTTGAAATTTCCTCATTGGACTTGCTTAATTCACAACTTAAATGTTTTATTTTATTTTTTTGTACTAACTTGCCCCTCCAGAAATTCAGCTGACACTCTAGCAGGGAATAAATAACCTATTTAATATTTTCTCCAGCATGATAGTATTCTATCGTGTCTGGCTTAAATATGGGATGTAGAAAAATCAATGCAATTCAGTTACAATTTTGAAAGTTAAGGCTTCTCCTTGGCGTCGTAATAAATTCCCGAACTTCGTATAAAGGACCATTCATTTATTGTACAAGCAAATTGCTTAGCTAGCTGTTTGTAAGATCTAGGAGCTCGTTATGGGGAGCGGGGGGGGGGAATTAAATGTATATCCTCTAATGAGTAAGGGCTGTTCGTTTCATTTTTTTCCCCCCATTCTTTTATTGTGCTGAGAAAAAGGGACCAAGTCAGAGCTCTGTTTCACAGACAAAAGGCAGTCCAGTCTCTTCTTAAAAACCTCCAGCGATGAAGCTCCACAACTTCTGGTGGCAAGCTGTTCCACTGGTTAATTGTCCTCACTGTTAGGAAGTTTCTCCTTAATTCCAGGTTGTTTCTCTCCTGGATTAGTTTCCATCCATTATTCTTGTCCTGCCCTCAGGTGCTGTGGAAAATAAGTTGAACCCTCTTCTTCGTTGTGGGAGCCCCTCAAATACTGGAAGACTGCTATGTCCACCCCTCAGTCCTTCTTTTCTCTAGACTGGCCAGACCCAAATCCTGCAACCGTTCGTCATATGTTTTAGTCTCATCATACCGGTAGTTGCTCTTCTCTGCAGTTTTTCCAAAGTCTCAGCATCTTTTTTGTAATGTGGGGACCAAAACTGAATGTAGTATTCTGGGTGTAGCCTTTTTGTTGTTAGCTGCAAAGTGGTGTCCGACCCATCGCGACCCCATGGACAACGTTCCTCCAGGCCTTCCTGTCCTCTACCTTCCTCTGGAGTCCATTGAAGCTCACGCCAACTTCTTCAGTGACTCCATCCAGCCACCTCGTTCTCTGCCGTCCCCTTCTTCTTCTTTTGCCCTCCATCTTTCCCAGCATTGGGCTCTTCTCCAGGGAGTCCTTCCTTCTCATTAAGTGGCCAAAGGATTTGAGTTTCCTCTTCAGGATCTGGCCTTCTCAAGAGCAGTCAGGGTCGATCTCCTCTAGGACTGGCTGGTTGGATGGCCTTGCAGTCCAAGGGACTCGCAGGAGTCTTCTCCAGCACCAGAGTTCAAAGGCCTCCATTCTTTGGCCTTCTCAGCCTTCCTTATGGTCCACTTTCACAGCCGACATTGCAACTGGGAAAACCATCGCCTTGACTATACGCACTTTTGTTGGCAGGGTGATGTCTCTGCTTTTTTAGAGTGCTGTCTAGATTTGCCATAGCTTTCCTCCCCAGGAGCAAGTGTGTTTTAATTTCTTGGCTGCAGTCCCCATCTGCGGAGATCTTGGAGCCCAGGAAAATAAAATCCGTCACTACCTCCATTTCTTCCCCATCTATTTGCCAGGAGAGTGTAGCCTTACTAAGTGTTACATGTGCAGTAACACTTCACATGGTTTTTCTTCTACGCCTCTGTTTATACAACCAAGGATTGTATTCGCTTTTTTGGCCGCTGCCGCACACGGCTGGCTCCTGTTTAAGCGACGTGTCCAAGATGTCTATTATTCCTTGGCCGGGGTTCGAAGGATGCTTTTTTTTTTCCTTCACTTCATCCAGATGTAGACCGGGGAGAGATCTGCCCAATAAGGAATATCTCTGTCTAACTCAAAAAGGCGTTTTAAATTGGGGAGCCATTTTGGATTTAATTCTGTTTTAAACGTATTTTAATGTTTATATTGTATGTTTTTTCATTTTGGCTGTTCACCCCCCGAGTCCTTCGGGAGAGGGGCGGTATAAAAATCTAATAAATAAATAAATAAATAAATTGAGCCCAATTTTGGAGGCAACAACTTCATTGATTTAATCACTTCTCAGCAGTTTTCCAGCGTTCTCTCCTTTTTTTCAAGCAAACGGAGCTATCTCTGCCTTTGATTGAAATTGAGATGGAAATCGTTTTCCTACTGGGGGGAAAAAAACAAACACACTATTCCATCTTTGCCTTGTTAATCTCGCAGGCCTGTGGTCTCTACTCTTTCTCCATCCGTCTGTTTGTTTTCTTTCTTTCCTATCTTTCCTCCCTTTCTCTTAGCTGCGAACAAAACCCATACAAAGAACAGGAGAAACGCACGCTCAGTTTTTTATTATGCTTTAGACGTGTCACCATAGCAACCGTATTATGTAATTGTACCCATGAGGGATGTTTCAAGATGGCCGCCGAGAGGGTACCCAAAAGTCAGAGAGAGACCCTTCCTATGTGTTTTATGCAGGCAACGTTTGACATGCAACTCTTTCCCCAGAAATTAGCAAAACTCAAAACAGATCGTTTTCTTTTCTTTTCCTTTCTCTCTCTTTTTCTTTCTTTCTCTCTCTCTCCCTCCCTCCCTCCTTCTTTTTATTTCCTTATTTCTTTCTTTTTCTCTCTCCCTCCCTTTCTTTCTTTCTCTCCCTCCCTTCCTTTCTTTCTTTCTGTCCCTCCCTCCCTCTTTCTCTTTCTTTTTTTCTCTCCTCCCCCTTTCTTTCTTTCTTTCTCTTTCTCACCCTCCTTCCTTTCTTCTTTCTTTATTTCTTTCCCTCTTTCTTTCCCTCCTTCCCTTCCTCCTTTCTTTCTTTTTCTCTCTCCCTCCCTCCCTTTCTCTTCATTTCTTTTTTCTTTCTTTCTCTCTACTTCCTTCCTTCCTTCCTTATTTATTTCTTTCCCTCCCTCCCTCTTTCCTTCTTTCTTTCTTTCTTTCTTTCTTTCTTTCTTTCAGGAAATGTTTTCTTACCTTTCAACGGAGGTGAAAAAATTGGCAGAAAGCTACGACGAAAGACTGTTGGATACCCCGCACAATCCTATCTCTCTAGGTAAGGTTGGCTTTAAGGGAGTGACATGCATAAAACAGTTGTTGGTTTCCCTTCCAAAGCAGTGTGTGGTGTGTGATATGTCGTATTCTGGGAAGAGTAACATTAAGATACGTCAGAGTTTTGCAAAGCGACAAACCAGAGTGACTAGTATTACGAGATAAACCCAGGAGCAAAACACAGCACACAGAGCCTTTAGATAATTAACAGTCGTTTATATACAACTAAATATTTACAGACTTATACGTGGTTAAATACCTTTACAGCTACGGACACAAGAAGAGCAATGAGATACAGATGAGACTGAACTTGAGGAGAATATTCTGTGCTGAGTCATGTGCTGTTGACTCTTGATTTTTCAATTATTGGTTGAGACACAACGGCAGAAGTTATACGTCGGCAGGTGCTGAGAGGCCTGAAATATTTTTCATCTTTTTCTTTAAAAAAAAAAAAGAGAGAAATCTTATCGCCCGAGCCTTTTTTGTCTGCGCAAAATGAAAAATAATTTCTCACAGACGTTTTTCCTGCTTGTGGAAAAATGCTTGTGATTCAAAAGGAGAAAGGCGTGAAGTGTTGCTACACACCAGTGTGGTTTTTTTGTTTTGTTTTGTTTTGTATTTTCAGCCATGTCACTGAGAGAACTTGACGAACAAAACCCTGAAGCTGTCACGCAGCTCGGATCCATGCTTTTCACCAGACAAGTTTCCGGAGCAAGGTCGGTCCATTTATATTAACATTTCCACTCGGGAACATCTCGGTGTCAGCACTTCAAGCTGCATTTGCTCTAGTGCTGACATAAGAAGGAGAAGCGGAGGCATCTGGAAAGGGACGTTTGACTTTTCACCTACTTATTTTTCCTGGAGATGATATCCCCTAGGAGATGGGATGGGAGGGGAAATTCCTTTGAGCTGGAGCAGTAGATTAGGGGTAGAGTGACTTGGAAGATGGCCAATGAGTGCAGAGGAGTGGGGAAAGAAAAGGGAGGGTTTTTGGGTCTTGAAGTCAGTGTTGGCTGCGATGGAGTTGGAGTTAGAATATCGTGCTTAATAAATGGGAGTTTTTCATCAAAGACTTTGTTTGAAATGCAATTTATTTGAGACGACCTCGAAACATGACACTCGGTTCATGGACTGCGTTGCACCACAAGGGGCCCCTTGTGAATATCTGGGGCCTTTAAAACTATTATGGCCCTTGAGTTCTTCTTTCAATTTTGCTGTTTTAATCTTTATGGTGTTTATTCTTATGGTGTTTGACCGTCTTACGCCATGTGCATTACAGATTGTAATTTGGAGAAAAGTTACAGGATAATAGGCAGCCTTTCAATTCAGAGGGGCCCTGACCTTTACGGCTTGGCGGACCGATGGATGGGGGGAGGGAGAAGGGAGGGTTCTGGGTGAGTGGTGGGCGAGCATGTATGTACATGCAACTCTGTTTGCACAAGTGCCCGTTGCTCACACCAATGGAGCTTCACATGTGAGCAATAGATGATTGGTAGATAGATGATTGATAGATGATAGATAAACAGACACGATAGAAGATTGATAGATTAGATAGAGAGAGAGATACAAAGAGAGAGACAGAGAGAGAGAGAGATAGATGATAGACAGACACGATAGATTATTGTTAGATTCATTAGATAGACAGACACGATAGGTAGGTAAGTAGACAGACAGACATGATAGACAGACAGACACGATAGATGATTTATAGATTTGATAGACATACATGATAGATGATAGATTACAGAGACAGACACAATAGATGATAGATAGATAGATAGATAGATAGATAGATAGATAGATAGATAGATAGATTAGATAGATGATAGACACGATAGATGATTGATAGATTCAATAGATAGACACGGTAGGTAGATAAGTAGACAGACAGATGATAGACAGACAGACACAATAGATGATTTACAGATTTGATAGACAGACATGATAGATGATACAGAGACAGACACAATAGATGATTGATAGGATAGATAGATAGATAGATAGATAGATAGATAGATAGATAGATAGATAGATAGATAGATAGATAGAATAGATGATTGATAGATTAGATAGACAGATAGATGATTGATAGATTAGATAGACACGATAGATGATTGATAATTCAATAGATAGACACAGTAGGTAGGTAAGTAGACAAACATGATAGACACAATAGATGATTTACAGATTTGATAGACAGACATGATAGATGATACAGAGACAGACACAATAGATGATTGATAGATAGATAGATAGATAGATAGATAGATAGATAGATAGATAGATAGATAGATAGATAGAATAGATGATTGATAGATTAGATAGACAGATAGATGATTGATAGATTAGATAGACACGATAGATGATTGATAGATTCAATAGATAGACACAGTAGATAGGTAAGTAGACAAACATGATAGACAGACACAATAGATGATTTACAGATTTGACATACATGATAGATGATAGATTACAAAGACAGACATGATAGATGATTGATAGGATAGATGATAGATAGACAGACAGACAGACAGACAGACAGACAGATGATAGACAGACAGACATAATAGATGATAGATAGACAGACAGACACAATAGATTGGGGTGTCAAACTCAGGGGTGCTTAAATTTGGCCCGTGGGGCCGGCCTGGAAATATCAAAGGACCGGCCTTCGGTGCCTCCGCGCAGCCCGTTTTTGGCCGGTAGAGTGCTGCTGGAGGCTGGGGAGGCCAGAAACAGGCCGCGCCTTACAGTCCTAAGACGGGGACCACCTGTACACAACCACTGAATTTTTACTCCGAAGCAAGTCTGACAGATTTTAACGGAGCTTCCAATATGGGCACATCTGCAGAAGACGGCACCCTTGGTGGATTTTATGTCCTCCTAGAATTGAGCCCTCCCTTATTCCAAGTCAAGCGGTGGTAGAAACTGGTTTTGACTCCCGTTTCCTTTATTTGCAGGGTGGTGTCTCCTGGGACCCTACAAACCGTGAGTGGATATACCTTCAAAGGTTTTATGGCCCACACAGACCAGTATCCTTGCTCCTACCTCAATGCTGCCTCGGCCATTGGGATGAAGGCAGAAGACGTGGAGATGTTTGTGAAAAGGCTGGATAAATGTCTGAAGGCTCTAAGAAGAGGAAAGGGCCTTCAAGATGGACCACTGCCGAACGTAGATATGGATTCCGAGATGGAAAAATGCGAGATAGACGAAGGAGACACCCAGCCTTAGATTATCCCGAAAATGAACTTCCATTTTAGAATGATTTTTTTATTTAAATTTAGTAAAATAATCAGGTGAATCAACTCAGGGCCTCCTCCTCCCATTGTCCCATTGAAATGAATAAAGAGATCATTTTGCTCCTTCACTTGGATTTTATATGTCCAAGAAGGCATTTCGATTTAAATTTCAGATTTAAATCCATGTTGAATTGTGATCATCTTAACATTCCTAAGAAGAATTGGGACGGCCACACGTCACGAGGGCAGACAAATGAGAGTTAAAAGTCATTAATTGGGGGAGCTTCTCAGGGTTTTAAGAGCTGCCCTTCTGCATATTATCTGCTACTTTTCAAGTGAGTTCGTTGTCAATTCTGTGCAGGTAGTCCTTGAGTTACAACGGTTCACTTAGTGACCGAAGTTACAAGGGGCACTGCAAAAAGTGACTTAGGGCCACTTTTCAGACCTACGACTGTTGCAGCCTCCCCAATGGTCACGTGATCAAAATTCAGACGCTTGGCAACTGACTCATATTTATGACGATATGTCCCGGGATCACGTGATGATCTTTCTGACGAGCAAAGCCAATGGGGAAAGCCAGATTCGCTTAACAGCCGTGTTACTAACTTAACAACTGCAGCGATTCACTTAACAGCTATGGCAAGAAAGGTCGTACAACGGGGCGAAGCTCACTTAACAAACGTCTCACTTAGCAACGGAAATTTTGGGCTCCGTTGTGGTCGTAAGTCGAGGAATAGCCGTAGTTGGGTAATGCCTTGATTAGGACTGAATACGGTGGCCCCAAAATCCAGGCAGGCTTGAAGGCTCTCCAGAACTTTTCACCAAACGCCATCTTGAAACATAAGCTAACCTGCATGCAAACGATGAATTTGGATTAACTGCCTACGTATAGCAGTTGAGATGAGTGGTGCGGTGGCCTAGAGGTGGAACTCTCTCCTCACAATCAGGAGACTGTGAGTTCGATCCTAGGTAGAGGCAGATATTTCTCTCTCTGGGCACAATGAGGATATATCTGCTGAATATAACTCAGCACTGGCAACAGGAAGAGCATCCGGCCAGTAAACACTCAGCTCCATTCAGTTGCCCAGACTCCACCCCTCAAGGGATTATGGAGTCTTTAAAAGAAGATGATGATGGTGTGTAGCTGTTGAGACTTCATTCCAAAGCCACCTTTCTCAGGGTGAATTAAATTACCTCCTTTGAAAAGAGTACATTTTTAAAAATGCTAGAAGAAACTTGTAAACAGGATATGTGGAGAGAAATGACCAAGGATGCAAAAAAGAAAAGATGCATAATTGAGCCAGCTTGCTTTTCTTGCAGACATTTCATTACCAGAGTAGGTAACATCATCAGTGTTAGAAGGGAGTGGGAGTGAGATTTGCAGAAAGGAGGAGGAGGACTGTGGGGTCCTTGGTGCCCTCTGAGCTTGCTTATTTTCTTGCAGACGTTTCATGACCCAACTAGGTAATATCATCAGTGTTAGTGGGGTTTGCTGTCAGTTTATATTCTAGTGGCTTGCCTATCAGCGTTGGTTTTACAGGTTTTTTGGTTGGGGTGTTTGCTGTTGGCTTCTTTGGCCGAACCTTGATTGGGGTATTGTTGACTTGATTGTGGGTCTGCTGTTAACCTTGAAGTTGATCTATGCCAGGGCTCTCAAACTCCCAGCCTGAGGGCCGGATGCGTCACGGCTGCCCACACCCAGAAGGGGGGGAAAAGTCCCGATACATCACGTGATGCAGCCGTGATGACGTGAGTTTAACACCCCTGCTGTCAACTTGCAAAGCTTTCAAGTTGCCGTGAGCAGGAGGAAGGAGAACTGATAGAGCTGATTGATTTCCCTAACTGAAGCTGCATTCCATACATTCTTCCTGACCGCAATCAGAAGGAGAGTTTTGGGTTTCACAAGCCAGCCGAAGTGGTTAATTGGAGAATGTGATTTATGACATGGCCAGGGAGGAGGGGAGAGACAGGGTCATAGGGGAACGTAAATCTACGTGGGATCAGTCCTAACTGCATCCGAGTATTGCCGGAATGTTGCTCCTAATAAATGACTGTATTTCCTTTGAAGTTTGGCTCATGGCTCATGAATTAATTAGGGCATCTTTTGGAAACTTCACACCTGCTCTATGATGATCCTTCCCCCCTCCTTCCTTTCTGCAAACCCCACTCCTAGCACTGATGACATTACCTAGTTTGGGTCAGGACACGTCTGCAAGAAAACCAACCTCTGAGAGCACCAAGGACTCCGCCTGTCAACCCTGAGCTACCAATATTCTCCTTTATTGCATGCATCATTTTCAGTGGGGTGGTTTGGTTTTTTTTTTCCCTTTCTACATTGCTGCAGCACAAAACACGGGCAGAATGTAAAATGCAGCAGTCCGATTTATATGAAGGGAAGCAAAAGTGCGGTAAGTGTGGAAAATGATGGCACTGCAGCTAGAGCTGGGCAATGCAAGCCTTTTCTACTGTACAATCAGCAGTTTTTGAGGCTGGTTCCCAGACGCTTACCAAAAATGATTTGCTTTGCATTTTCTTCCTTTTGTCTCCCTCCGTTGGGGTTGCTGTACCATTCCCCTCTGCAAACGCCTGTCCTACTTTTCAACAACATTGTCTACTTCTGAGGAAGGGAAGGTAGCGCTCCTTGCTTGCACGATTTTGCAGTCTTCGACCGATGCAGTCAATCTTCTGAAAGTTTCCGGATGCGATTCCAAGTTCAAAAGTTAGCCGAATTCAAAACGTTTGTTCCCCCCCGATGATTCATCCTTAGATGATTTATCCCGATCCCCACTTGATCAAAATGTGCGCCCTTAAGTCATTTAAATGCTGTGTTACTTTTAAGGTTGCAAACAAAACTCCCATTATTTTTCCTGCAGATCGGAGTTATCTAATCTTGGCAACTCTTTTAAGACCTGTGGATTTCAACTCCCAGAATTCCCCAGCCAGCCACGGCTGGCTGGGGAATTCTGGGAGTTGAAGTCTACAGGTTTTGACATCCCTGCTTAAAATATTATTTAATCACTAGAAATCATTATGCCATGTTTGAGTTAAGGAAGTGTAGGAGATGACCAGGTTGAGACCCATCAAACGTGTCACAAGTCCCTGCGTGCTTGCAAGAAATCTAAGTCCAGCCCAACTTGAATCCCTTTCTTATCTCCCGCTCATTTCCCTTGGCTGTTAGTTGGCCAGATTCTTGAAGCTTGCCATAAATCTTTTATACTCGTTTGAACTGCCTGAATCTCCTGATTTCCCCGGCATTTGATAGGACCGTGGGTAGATTCAAGATCCATCGTAAGGCACGAAAGTTCACTGTGTGATTTTTGAGTCAATCCCTCAACACAATCTACTTCAAAAGGATGCCACTGTGGGGCGGGGGAGAGTGGAATGGAAGAGGACATGTTATAAACATTGCCTTGAGTTCCTGGAGGAAAAATGGCACAGAAATACAACCAGTGAGAAAGAAAGACTTATCACCTCAAGATAATTTTTTCCAGGGGTGAAATCCAGCAGGTTCTGACAGGTTCCGGAGAACCGGTAGCGGAAATTTTGAGTAGTTCAGAGAACTGGCAAATGCCACCTCTGGCTGGCCCCAGAGGAATGGAGATTTTGCAGTATCCTTCCCCAGGAGTGGGGTGGGTTTGCAATATCCTTCCCGGAGTGGGGAGAATGGAGATTTTGCAGTATCCTTCCTCTGCCACACCCACCAAGCCACACCACGCTCACCAAGCCACGCCCACAGAACCGGTAGTAAAAAAAATTGGATTTCACCACTGAATTTTTATACATATACATATACATACATATACATATAATATATACATATATATACATACATATATACATATACATACACACACACTAATCAGTGTCCATTCTGAATACGTAGCAGAAAGAGGAAACTTGAGTGTTCACAAGGTCGACGAATTAATTAACTTTATGGAACAATTTAATAAAAAGAGAAGGCTGATAAATTGAATACGGTTGACCACAGCACGCATTTCCCTTAGATAGGAAGGATCATTATTTTTCGTCCTGTTCTCAGACACTTTTCTAGCCAGAAAACTCTCCTATCAAGTGTCTGTAGATACTTTACTTAGCTATTCCTCCCTTTCCTTGTTGCTTTTCACCTTCTGAACAAAAAAAAACAAAAAAATAATTGCAAGCACCTTCCTAGTTCTTCTGGCTTTTTTTGATTGGCTGTAGGTGTCCATCTTTGTCTGCATATTTCATGTCCCTTCGTCTCTTCTTTTCTTGGATATTATTGTTTCCTTGGCATTTCCCTCAGCTGAACCCTGTCCAATCCTATGATTAATGCTTACGGTGAACAAATACATACTAAATAAGACTTCCACATCTTAGTAAATGGCCTGTTTGGTAAGTTGCCAGTTCACGGGGCTGTTCTGGATCGGGATGCCCTTTCCTTCTTTCAAAGCCGCTGTGAAATGGGCCGTTTGGACAGGATGAGGTGGACCCAGTGAAGAACATGGTGGCCACGTGAGGTAAATCGAGCTGTAGAAACCCCGAGGAGCTGCAAATCTTTCCTCCTATAGTAGGCCAAATGTCACGATCCAAGGTGAACCTATATTGTACATCCTAATGTACAGAATTAACAGAGCCGGAAGGGACCTTGGAGGTCTCCTGTTCAAGCAGGAGACCATAGACCCTTTCAGACAAATGGCTGTCCAATCTCTTCTTAAAAGTCTTCGGTGATGGAGCACCCACAATTTCTGGAGGCAACTTCTGTTCCACTGATTAATCGTTCTCATTGTCAGGAAATTCCTCCTTAATTCCAGGTTGCTTCTCTCCTCGATGAGTTTCCATCTGTAGCTTCTTGTCCTGCCCTCAGGTGCTTTAGATAATAGGTCGACCTCCTCTTCTTTGTGGCAGCCCCTCAAATATTGGAAGATTGCTATCATGGCAATCAAAATAGAGCTGGAAGGGATCTTGGAGGTCTTCTACTGCAATGTCCCTGATCAAACAGAAGATCCTATACCATTTCAGACAAATGGCTGTGCAATCTCTTCTTGAAAGCCTCCAGTGATGGAGCACCCCCAACTTCTGAAGGCAACTTCTGTTCCATTGATGGATTGTCCTCTCTGTTGGGAAGCTTCTCCTTAATTCTAGGTTGTTT